TAAATCCTGTTGCTATGTCCTTCACTACGAGTGCACTTTTCTCTTCATCGATTCCCAACTCATCTTCATCTCTGGTGACAATAAAATCAGCAGTGATGTGGTCACCAAATTTCTCAGCTTTAACTTTGGTTGATCCGCCTACAGCTCTTGAGGGTGGCTTGAACATCTTAGCTCTGGTACATATGTCGCAAAAGGCGTTCTTAGGGATGTGAGTCAGCATATGTCGAATGGACTTAGCTTCTTCTTTCAATTCCTTTTCCCCAAGTGACCTTTTGTGAGCACCATCATCATGGACGTTACTACTGCTACCCTTGGATCCTTCCACAGGCGGCTCAACCTCCCGGTCGGCATCAGGAACATCAACCTCCTCAGCCTCCAAGGGCTGGGGCTCCGGTAAGTCAACATTGATACCCATGGGGTCATCTCCAATGATTTCAATGTCCCCATCGGGCTCCGGAGATTGTTGAGCTTCATCTGATGCCGGGGTGGCAATACTTGGTCTAGGCTGAGTTGATGGAGTGGAAATCGTCTTTGAATTATTTGCAAAGTAGGGTACGTAATCTCTGACAACTAACTCAATGCGTTCCCCATTTGGTTTGACCATGTAAGGAGGTTCACCTTTGGAGCCTCTCCTTATGAAGTCGTAACCGTCATCAATGCATCTCATCCCGACTGAAATGACAGGAGGTGAGCTTCGAACAAGATATGGGTCAATGGTCTTGCCTAATTTTGGAACAAATACTTTCCCTTGTTTCGATGACGAACTTTCACCATTGGCAGTAATCATGCGAATGGGATTGTTGGAATAGTATCCATAGTCATCCGGCAATTCACTATCATTGACAAGATCTTGAGCGCTCCCCGTATCTGCAATCCAGTCAAGTTCGAGGTTGATCGCTCCCTTCACGTCTTCTCTACATTCCGCAGGGGTGGCTTTGATTCCCTTTGGGATACATTCATTGCAACCAAAATCTGTGTCACATAAATAGGCACATTTGCATTCTATTCCCCGAAGACAATTGGAAACAGATCCTGCCAACATGGTACCGGTCAAAGCGGCATCATTCACAGCAAGTTGATCAACTTCAAACTGATGTCCCCATGGAAAGGTAACCTTATCCTTGGTGACTGCGTTTCCAATTGGCCTCAAGTTCCCTCGGACTTTAACATGAGATACGTCCGGCGAATCATCAAAACGAATCGATGGACAAAATACTCTTGGTTGAGGGATACAAAATGCCTGAGACACGGATGCAAGCATGGATGCAACAAGACAAACTGCGGCAGGAGACGGCTTAGATGAACTGGCCCCGGATCCTTTAGACTTCGGGGATTTCGGGCTCTTGGGGCTCTTAGAGCGGCTAGAGCTTCGGGATCCCTTCCTTTTCGGGTTCTTGGGATTTCTCTTTTTATTTTTGTTTTCGCTACTGGCCGAACGGGCAGGAGTAGCTTGTCTTGGCTTTCCCACTGAACCCTCATGAAGGAATTTGCAATCAGCTCCTCTATCGCAACGTCCCTGTTTCCAAAACTTGCAAATCTTCTTACCTTTCCCCTTTGGTCTGGGAGAACCAGAACGTTCATTCGAGCGACCTCTGGTTTTGCTGGGTTTGCGACTTCTATCACGTGGCTTGGGGACTTCATGCTTGTAAGTACAGTTGTCCTTGCTACAGCCTCCCTTATTCCATGCCACACAATACCCCTTTGGTATGAATCCTGTCTTGCCCTCGACTGCGGGAGCGGAGGGACGACCGGAACCCGAAAGACCTTTGGCAACTCGATCACGATTTGCCTCCAACCTCTCACGGTCAAGGTGGCGTCGCACGGCAGAAACAAGGAAACTGTAGTTCCGTTTTTCGGTTCCTTCATCAGCTCTATGATACTCATTCATGTCATGTTGGATGGCCTTGCAATTCTTCACTTGTTTGTAGAAGAGTGTCTCCAACACACTTACATCAGGAGTCTGGACGATACCAGCCAACACTTGATCCCAGTTTGAAATGAAAGACTTCAAATTCTCCCCACGCAATTGGACACTGAACAAATCTTGAAGGGCATAGGTTGCTCCGTGCTTGATATTGGTACTGAAGTGGTCATGCAACATGAACAACACTTGTCTCCCTCTTACAATTCGTCCAGCGGTGGCTTCAGTCTCTTTGAAGGTATCTACCTTGCGGGCGAAGTCACCAGTGATAACATTGGTGAGTGCAGAAAGTAACTTTGCATCAAGTGTCGCAAACGGCGCAACCTTCCGGAGCGCTTCAAGGGTCTGATCTTCTTTCCAAGAATCACTAATCCACTTGAAAGCACTGTCGGGATCGGTTGATGCTGCTACAACTGCCTCTCTGGTTTTGATTCTCCAATTACAGTAGGTTTCCGCCAATGGGAATGCTGGGATTTTGATAGTGTCAGCTTCCTTGACTTTGGGTTTATCGTCATGCCTTTGGTCAACGTAACCACCAAGAAATTTGATCATCCTTCGCCTGAACTTCTCATCATCGTCATCATCGGGATCATCATAACCGTCATCACCACCGTCGGGGGGGTTTGGATCATTCCTATTCCTTTTGGGAATCTTACGACCCTTATTTCCCTCCGGCTTGTCATCAGGTGGTGAGGGTGGTCCACCTCCCCCGTTCCCTCCATTGCCATCTCCTCCATCCCCGGGATCGTCACCATCTAGCAGATCGTCTTCCCCCGGCTCGAAGTAGTCCACTTCATCTGGGCCTAGTTCGGTCGGGGCATATTGATTGGTCGGCGCAGGGGAATTGACGTTATCCATGGGATGGTTATCTCGGCGTCGATTATTGGCCTCTCCTCCCGAAGGGCGTTCCTCAGCGGAAGACCTTGCAACATCCGACTCCTTCTTCACTTGAACTGGGACTCGATATGATGGATCATGATAAATAATCTCAATACCATCCTTTTCATAAGTCCTGGTATCAGGTGAAGTAAAGTTGATCGGCGTTCTTGCAATTGGAGGTCGGGCTACATTCGTTGGAGGTGCTGCGGGTGCAGCCTTGCGGGTTGGTGGAACAAATTCGAAACTTGGAATCTCCGCTGATGCATGGGTTCCGGCTGTCATAGTCATGGCGGCAGTTTCGACAATAGGACTTGGACGAACCTGAGCAAATTGGGAATCGAGCATACTTTGCAGTTTCAGATTATGTTGCATCTGGGCTTGTACCATATGTTGAAGCTGTGTAATGCGTTCATTCTGAACCCTTCTCTCTTCCTCAGCTGCTCTTTTCAGTTCAAGGATCTCATGCTCCTTACTTGACAGTGATTGTCGATGGTTAGCATCAATGACACGTTGATATGCCTGAATTTTCTCATTCATCTGAGCTTCACGGAACCTTACGTGTTCATGCGCCTCATGCTGTAAGTTCTCTTTATATTGGGCACCCGCATTCAACAGTTCTTGTTCTTTGATTCTGATAGCATCTAGGGCCCTCTGACTTTCAATGCCCTCGCGGACTCGCAAAGCTTCCTTCAACTCCTCAGTCTTGGCCGTGTGGATAGCTTCAGCCTGAGCTTCAGTATGAGCCAACACCTCACGATGGCGGAGCTCGGCCGCTGTTTCCACAAGGCTTGTCATCGCAGTATCATGTGAATGGACATGCAAATTCTGCTCGACAAAATTCACTTGAGGATTATCCATTTGCACATTGTGATGGAAAATGTTGTGAACATTCGTTTGGTTCAACTGGCGAGTCGGCGGCCCACCCTCCCGAGCGGCTTGGGGGACGTAACCACGGTGGTTGAAACCAATATGAGAAGGCACAATTGCGTTACTCATTGATGGTAAGTGGCGTCGGTCCCTTAGGCTTCGCGATTTATCGGAGCTGGGTGGTGTGCTTATGTCAACAGAAAATGGGGTGTCGGATATAGGCAAGGCTCCCGGATTCGCCATGGCTGCATCAGAGGAAACGGGGATACCGGGGCCCTCAGAGGAAGCACCTGAGGGGGCAGACATGCCTACCTAGAGAAAAGGCGTTACGGCTGATAACCTGTTTGACAGATTAACTAGCCAAAAGCAGTCAGCATGTACACGCTTGTTTCTTGAGCCATACATGACGAGTATAATCAGTGAGACCAGTGAAAAACAGAATTGATAGTGATGATTGATAATGGTTAATGATGGTTAATGATGATTGATAATGGTGAATGATGGTTGATAACAATACTGCTTGGTGGTGCAATAACCATCTTGAAACATATGAGTTCGTCAATGGGAAGGATGACACAACCCATATGTGAAATGGAAAATAAAAATGTTTGAAACCACCAACCAGTAACATACTTTACATATAATTGCATCTGGGCAACGTATTTTTCAAAAACCGGGAATCAGCAATTTTGACCCTGCGGTATCTAAGCATAAGCTGCTGGAAAATCCACCATTTGGTTCATTTGGTTCGATGATGCATCCCCAGGTCACCATGGCTTCCGATACTAAGATGGTCTAATTTGGATGATTTGGGGGTACCGCCATGACTTAGGAAACGTCCAATTTATAGATCCCGATTATATGGGTATGGGTCAAAATCTGGTACCCCAATATTTTTTTTGTTTTCATACAAAGAGTGGACTTAACAGTCTGTGGTATGACTTGACCCATACCCAAATCGCAAGGACCTCATATTTTTTTTCCTATGTGCCCCATGCCCGTGTCATGAATTTTCGATGGTTTTGCCAATGCATTTCCAATGTATTTCCTACTTGGTGGATCATCCAGCTCAGTAAGTAGGTGATATCCCTGTTTTTTTCAGAAGTCGGGTTGATCCTTTGATCAATTGGGCTTGTAACCTACTTCGTGGGATGATCCACCAAGTCTGGTTGGTGGTTGACCTACCCCTCTGAAAAATATGAGTCAGAGTGGATCATCATCCCAACTATTGGGGAAGAATAACAAATGTTCCAAACCACCAACCAGACCAGGTAGATATTCCCATGGATGTTCCCATTGATCCCTGAGGAACCACCAGAGCAGCTCGAGCCACCTGCACTCCAAGGTCTCCCAACTACTGCCCGAGAGCTCCGACACGGTCTGCGGAGCTCCACGTGGGCATCGAGGTGTTGACATTTTTTGGGCATTTTTTGGGGGAAAAATACTGGGAATATCATGGGATTTCACCAGGATTTGAGTTTTAATGGGGATATTCTGTGGGTTTTAGTAGGATGTCATGGGGGTAAAACGGGGGTATCATGATAATAATGGGAATGGAATGTATTCCGAAAGGCCGAAGTCTGAAACACAAGTCAATGTCAAGCCTGGTAGCCTCTGGTATTTCAGACTTTGCGAACTGTCTGCAAAATCAGCAACTTGAAATCATCGAACTACATTGATCATTTACCATCTGGTTATTTAACATAGCTATGGAAAATCACCATGCTATTGATAGGTAAACCATCTATTTCTATGGGCCATTTTCCATGGCAAACTATTAAATAACCAGAGAGTAGATGGTGAATGAGACTTATCACAGTGGTTGTTGGTGGTGTGGATTCGCCAAAAACCAAGCCCAAAAATTATTCGGGGTCAGCTGTGGAGGATTGGTAAATCCAGTAAAACATCTGAATATTTTTGGTGGTTGCTACATCATTCACTCTTTTGATGTGGGAAGCCTAATTGGACTGTAAATCATACCGCTAAAAAAATATCAGAAGTAGCTGAATTGAAACACATAGTTCCTATTGCAATTTATCTGGGATACCGTGGTGAACTTAGATAAACCATTCCCGTCTCCACGGTTTAAGACAGACAGGTCGTTTCTCACCACAGGCAGGGCGATATCCCAGGTTTCATTTGCTCCAAAAGAAACCGCTCGTGCCAGGTATCACCACAAGGGGTTGCCGAGTTCGATGGTGGTGGAGAATGAAAATCTGTGGCATTTTTTCATAGAAAATGATGAACCCCCGGGAGCTGGGGGAGCTGGGGGAGCTGGGGGAGCTGGGGGAGCTGGGGGAGCTGGGGGAGCTGGTATCTTTTCATAAACCCAAGATGTGGTGGATATGTGGGGTCTGAAAATGTGGTACTCCAAATTCCGTTCATCATTTCCCCATATCTCAATGGATTGCTTTGAGTTTTTTTAACAGGAAAACCCCCTAGTTATCTGGTCAACTAACAGTTCGCGATTTGGAAAATCACCATCATAGGAGTTTCAACTATAAAAGGACCATGGCTTCAATAGCAAACTGTCACAAATTACCAGAGGGTAATGGGAAACTCTAAGTTTCCCCACGTTTTTTTTCTCAAAAAAACAATTCATTTTTCAATGGTGCCTCCTCCACAATGGCGCGGCCCCACATCATGCTGTGGCTCACCTAGCGGATCAGCCATGGGGATACTGTGGGCCAGCGAAAACCGAATCACCAGTTAATAGACGGTGGATGACGGTGGTAAACATCCTATTATTTATAGGCTTTCAACACGTTTCAACCATCCTGGATTGGTGGTGCAGGATTTCGCAACCATCCACCGTATGTTGTACTATATGCTTCTTTTGATGAAAACAAACCTTGGCTGGTGGAGCAAGAAACAAATACAAACAATAACCAATTTTATCATGGATCTAGCATGATTTAGCTATCAAAATGGTGATGAACACGACAAAATCAGGATTTGTTTAATGAAAACAGATATGAGAGATGTGATTTTTTTTTGAATGCTGTAAACAATCAGCAGCACTGAGTCTTACCCTCCAAACATTGCCAGTTTGTGGCGCCTTCAACAAACCATCCACATATTCCGGTGCTCGGCAATGAACCGCTCCTACCGCGGAGCAGGGAACAGCGTAGCCTAGAATGGTACCCAAATCCCCACCCAAAAAATAACCAGGGGGAAGAAAAATAAGGGACGCATGAGAAAAATATGGTGTATATATATATATATAAGATGATCACAGGTATATCCGAAATTGTTCATACCAAATCTTTGGATGCGAAATCCAAGAAAGTGTAGCAAACAACGGGGCATAATTTAATCTAACTATCGAAGGTCCAGGATAGGATAGAATTGGATGGTTGCTGTTCCCTCCCAACGTTTGATCCTGTGGTTTTGGTATGTTTTGGTGGTGTCAATCCCCCAACATAGGAAAGTCAGTTGGGACTGACTAACTATATAGATCTATATAGTCTTGTGGATAGGGCAAGATGACAATCAGTCGCAGTGCATTGAGCACGGCCAAACGTTTTCTCAGCTGATAGCTTGTGCCCCGTGGGCTCTGGCGATAAAATGAAAATGTGCACATGCCGAAAAACTCGCAACTGCAGCCAATGACAGTCAATGCTCAAATGATTCACAGACTCCTATCAATTTCTCTTGGCTGCAGTTGAAGTCCAGCCATCCACTACGCAGAAATTCGTACAGTGGACCTCGATTGCCAAATCTTTTGGTGAGACAGTCTACAAGCATTCTTTCATGTCGGACCCACTTGATCTCTGTAGCGGTTTCCGCCAGAGACTGTCTGACGACTTGCATTTCGATGGCAGTTCTTCTGTCATCTGTTGTTCCTACCGTGCTCTTCACTAGATGATCGTACAGGGACTTTGCATCCACTATGCACAAACCTTCTTTGAGGGTCGGATCGATGTCTTCCTTGGTGAGTGCTTCTAACCTTCTCTGCTTGGCCGCTTCTTCCCATTTCTTGAGTTCAAAGTCAGGCGTGCTCATCTCGTTGTAAACGGTGACGCACCATGCCAGTTCTTGAAGGCCCTTTGCAAGGCTCTGTGTCTCTGCTGCCAGCGTAGAATTAACTACACGCTGGATCTTCCCAGAGCGCCAGTACAGAAGATTTCCTCTGGCACACCCATTCTTGGCAAGACCCTTTTCGTAGCATAGCACTCCAAAACCACCTTGTGAACTTCCAATGCCTGCATTGGCATAGGACGCGTCTGTGATGACGCCAAAGCACATGCTGTCCTCTGGGATTGCTTGGATCTTGATGGACATGGTTGAATTTTCTTTTGTCTCTTTGATGATCTTGTTGAGATCTAGGATGTCCTGCACCTTGAGTCTGTTTAGACATCCTGCAATCAGGGATGCGCCTGCTGCGCAATCTGGTCTTCCTTCCTTTGCTGCCCACGTCAAGGCGCCTACTGACGCTCGTGTGGCTGCCACTTCCTCCTCCGTTGCTAGATCTTCTTTTTCTGTGCTCCTACCTTTCTGAAGTGGCACTTCTTGCAATCTCTCCTCTATGAACTTAGTCATATCTATTTCATATCCTCCTTCTGGTATCGCTCTAATCCTCCTTCCATTGAAGGATGCTCCTTCTGCCTCTTGTGACAATTCTACGAACTTGCCGAAGTTGAATCGCTGTCTCAGCTCGGCCAGCTTCTCATCATGCATCTGGTCTCCAAAGCACAAGAGATCGTCCACCTCCACTATGATGATTCCCCTGAGCACCTTGTTGCCTTTGTGGTCTGTGCCGAAGTATTTGAAGGTGCAGGGATCCATCTCTGATTGCATATACCCTAATGCAATCAAAACTTTCTTGAGAGACTTGCGCCAGTGAGCTGGAGCATCTCCCAATCCGTATGCTCCTGCCAGCACCTCTATGATTTGCTCGGAGCTCATTCCGGGCAATCCTTCCTTAGGCTGTCTGCAGAACAGCCTTCCTGTGGTTCATTGGAGCTGGTCGCTTTGCATGAAGGCGTTTTTCAAGTCTGCTATGTATGTTTTGAAACCTTTGTTTGCTGCCAGCTGCATTGCTATTGACACCACTGCTGTTGTGACTGTGGGTGCGTATCTGTTGAGCTGCAGCAGGTCAGGATCCTTGTCTCCTCTAATGCACCATCTGCTTTTGCGTGTTGCAGCCTTGCCTGGCTGTTCTGAAGGCTTCCACCTTCTGACAATCCTTGAGGGCAGAATTCTGCTGGCTGTCCCCGCTTCGCGGAGTTGTTTGACTACCTGCTTTGATTCTTCTTCTGTGAGAACCTTGACTGCTCCTGTGTCCAACACCTTCTGCCACTCTTCTTTATCGGCTTTCTTCCATTCCGGCCATTCTTCGGCGGGAATGTCTTCTTCTCTGAGCTCACTGCTGTTCTTCTTCACCATACATGCTCTGACTTGTTTCATGTCAGCATGTTTCTTCAGCTTGAACTCTGTGAAGCCGATCCATTGTCTTGGGGGGCCCTTGTCGTCCTCCTCTCTTCCGCTGCCCTCTTGCCTCCAGTTGCTCTTGGTCTTGGTTCTTCTTCCATCTTCGTACACCTTGACGGTGGTTCTGTGAGACGTGAGGTCGCCAAGTTTCATAGGACATTCTTTGTCGTATGGCTTGAAGGGCTTCAGTCTGGACTCTCGATGCACTCTGATGAGTGTCTTCCTTTTCCAATCTACCATCCATGCATCGGCGGATTCTTTGTCGCCCTCTTCTGCTTCCTCCGCCAGGCCCTGTGTGATGTAGACTTCTTCAGAGTGCTTCTGCCATCGCAAGTAGCCCTGCTGTGCTGTGGTGCATTGCTTGTTTTCAGTGATGTGCTGATGCTGGTATGGCTCGGACCTTCTCTCTTGCATTCTCCTCCTCAATGGCTCGTACTGTTGCTCAGCCTGTCTAGCTGTAATGGTCCCATCGAGCCTTTCGTTGTGTATCACTGCTCTGGCTGCTGCTGATGCTTGCTCCTCAGATATGGCTTCTCTAAGCTCTTGACTCTCCTCTGGTGTCAGCTGCTGGGCTTGCTCTTGCTGGTTCTCATCGCCTGGATTGCTTCCAGTCGACGTGCTGCTGCTGCTGCTTGATGATGCTGATGCTGAGCTGGTTTCATCTTCTTGTGCTAACCTCCTCCTCTGTGCTGGAGGTTCGTCTTCTTCTTCAGTTTCATCGGGTGGGAGCTCCCATCCTGTGATGTCTTTGAAAGCCCTTTTGCTTTGTCTCCTCTTGAGCGTCTCCTTCAATTCTTCAAATTCTTCTTTCAGAAGTCCCAATGCCGCTTCTTCTTCATTGGTGGCTTTCCTCACTTGCTCCAATGCGCACTTCCAGAGCTCTCCTCTCATGGAAATCCAGGCATTTGGTCCTTCCACCATTATCACTGATCCTGGCCCACACCATGTTGGCTTCACGCCTGTCCTTGTGTCGTGTCTTCTTGGCAGTGGCTTACGAAACACGTACACGACTTCTCCTGGTGTGAAGGTGTTGGTGGTTCGGCCCCTAGCTCTGGTGGCTTTCTTCATTCCTTCTTGTGTGTTGTGTCTTGCAAATGCTTCTAGTGCTGCATCTCGGATCTCCAGTGCTCTTCTGACATCAGTTGATGCTGCTCCTCTCAGCATCTTGGCTTCGATGTCGTCATCTGACATGAGACTTCCTGGGATCCTCACATTTTGTCCAAGCTGGCGTTGTGCTGGTGAGAATCCGGAACGGTGGAACATCCGGTTCTTCGTGGCTTCAACTTGATGTAGGCACTGCATCCATTCGTCTTCATTGATGGGCCCTACCTGGTCTCTCAGCTTCTCAAAAATGCCCTTGGCTACACCTCCTTGCCTCTCGGTGCGCCCATTCTGCCATGGTGCCCTGGCACCTATGAGCCTGAGCAGTGCGCCATGCTCGCCAGCCTTTCTGGCGAATTCTCCTATGAATTCTCGGCCTTGGTCCGCCACAATGATGCGTGGCATGCCGAAAATTCTGTTCCATCCTCTCTGGAACGCAGTCCATACTTTCTCTGCTGTCATGCCTTGGACTGGTTCCAGAATTTGGTAGCAGGTGCCCCAGTCCACAATGTTCAGGACCGGCACTTGCTCGTTGGGGTCTATCCAAGGTAGATAGAGCACGTCTACCCCAACTACCTGGTTGGCTTCATAAGACTTGGGAACTGTCGCAGGTCTTGCTGGCTTGGGCATCTGATGTCTTTCGCAGAGGTCGCACTTAAAGGACTTCTTCACATACCTGATGACTTCATCTCTGGCTCTTCCCATCCTTAGTGCTCGGGCGAATGCTTCAGTGGAAGGATGCCCCATATTCTGATGGAGCTTGCTGATGAGCTTCTTCTCTTCTGGACTCACTGCACACTCCATGTGATGTCCACCTTCCTCGTCCTCCTCATCTTCTAGCTGCAGGCTTTGTCCTGCCGCCCATCTCTGCACCGCCTCGCCACCTGCCTGTTCCACTGCTTCATCGAGATCGTCTTCTAGATCTCTTTCTTCCTCCTCTTCTGCTGCAAACACTAGCTGAGTGTCAGCCTGTTGGTGTGCTTGTTTTGCTCCCTGTACAACTGCTTTGCACAGGGCTTGTGGATACTGCTCTGCTAGCTTGGCTCTTCCGTGTAACAGTGGCTGATGCTGGTGATTGCCGTTACATCGCAATGCTAGCTTGCTTGCCATGTGCTTGCTGTTTACCATGAACCTTGTGGGCTTTCGGTTCAGGTGCTCCTCCTCTCGAACTCGCAGACCAAAAGCGCACTGATCTGCTTCCACTACCTCCACTCCTGGAAGGCTCATACATCGGAGCACCCTGGGCTCCTCCCAGCTTTTGGCACCCCGGGGATGCTCGAAGAGCGCTATCTTGCCTCTTCTGACTTGCCATTCATAGAGCCTCATGGCATAGTCGAGATGGTGCAGCCCTTCTTGCAACATCAGCTTAGCTTTGTGGAACTCCATTCTGCCATAGTTCCATTCCTGCAATCTGCTAAAAGGACCGCAGGGAGGACTGATGACCAAAACATCTGGATCCTCTTCCTCTAGCCGTCGGAAGCATCGTTCCTGATCGGATTTGAGGTTCAGGTCGTATCCATTCTTCAGGTCATAGGCTCCTCCTGTTGGCAATCCTTGTTTGCTTGCTTCGGCTGTTATGCGAGGTGTTGAGTACACCTCTGCTATCTTAGGATTGCTCAGTGCCCTGATCAGCCTCTTCCTGCACCCCTTTTTCAAGACTCCATCTACCTCGTTCATGAAGTCCTCTTCGGGGAGTTCCTCAAAAATTCCAACCAGAATCTCCTCTCCTGGCTGCAGCTGTCCTGGCAAAATGCCTGGCTCATAGTGTGTGTTTCCTGTGGAGTCTCTCCTCCAGAATCCTGCACTCATCTTGCGATCAGCCGGTCGCATGCCCTCCTCCCTCAGTTGTATTGCTGTTGCTGTGTTGAGCTGCCCCTTGTTTCGGATGGGACACATCCACGGGGCCTCGTCCCATCCCGCTTCCTCCTTCATTGGCCTGATGGAGGACCTTGCTGGGTCTCCATCACCTTCCTCAGCACTGCTGTCTCCTCTGCAATTTGTTCCTGGAACTGCGAGTCCTGGAACGCCTTTGTCATTCTCTCCTCTCCTGCCACTGCAGTCATCCACAGAACCTGCTCCTGCATGTAGCGGATCTGTGATTGGTGAATCTGCTGTTGCTGCTGCAGTGCCGCTTGTTGCTGGTGTATTGCTTCCTGGGAGACCTCCTGTGCTGCTTGCTGCAGACGGCGCATCTCGCCCTCCATCTCCTTCATCCTGAGCTCCTTCCTCTGCAATTCCTCCTTGGCCCTCTCGAGATCTTTGCTCTGCTGACTGGACTGCTGTCGCGTTGGCATCGGTGGCACCGGCTGTTGCTGCTGCTGCATTGCCCTGATCTCCTCTGGGTCCCACACAAACAGCTGGCATACATGCTGGGGACATTTGTAAAAGTGCCTGCCCTTTGTCGGTCCATCCTTCTTGACCGTGAGTCGCATGGCAGGCAAGTTGCATTGACATCTGATCTCCTTTGGGGGCTCCCGGATCCAAGCTGACTCCGGAGTCATTGGAGTTGGGCTCTCCAGGCTGGAGGCTGCACTCGATCTTCCTGCATGAGCTTTCGGTGTCCCCTCGGTCTTTGTGGGAACTGTAGAGGCCACCTTCCATCGCGCATGGCATTCTTGACACCAGACCTCCTTCTGCACTTGGTTGCCCGCTCCTGCAAGCGAGCTCATGGGGTGCTTGCAGGACTCCACAGACTTGTTGGGCGTCTTGGCGCACTTGCGGAGTCCAAGATAGATCCCCTGTTGGATCTGTATGGCATAAAGTTCTTGCTTGCTGATATGCATGGGTGAGCTCATGTAGCTGGACTTCTCCATGAATGCTGGTGCCATGGGTGCTGGAAAGGGAGGCGGTAAGTAGCCAGAAGCATATCCATCTGGCTGCCAAGCGCTTGCCTCCCCGTATGGTCCTTCTTGACCTCGCATCTGCTTGAGCATCTTGCTTCCCACTAGTTTCCAGTTCAACATAGCGCGAACTGGATCCGTCTCTGCCATCTCGTCGTCCTCGTCCGAAGGCACTGGAACCCTCAGCCATGGCGAAGACATTGTAGGAAGACTGAGTGATCTGCGAATTGGGCTGGAAACGATTTGAGCTTCCGTTCATGGCTGAGTGATGCCGTCCATGAAGCTTAAAATCTTGTTCTTGAAGGCCTGCCTGACTTGCCTCAATTGGTAACCTCCAACCGCTTTCTCCAAACTCAACAATTCCAGTGGTTGCATGACCAGAAGGCATGATTTCCAAAGGCACCCTGACTTCATACTTTTTCAAAAACATCTCATTCTTTGCAAGATCGATTTGTGCTCCCAGATCTCGGAGGAGACGAATGGGAATAAGCAGTGGGACATCCTCTTCCACTACAGTGCATTCCAAAACTCCGCAAACTCCCCCAATTCCTAGTGGCACTTCTGCAACTCCTACCACGCTAGCTTCACCGCCAACACCTCTTGCCTGAGCCTGCCTATCTCTCCATGCTACACAAAGTCCATGACTGTTCAACGTGTCTTCTAGTCTCTGCAAAGCCCTGATGCCTACCAAACCGGACTGTGCTGCTGTGTCAACCACTCCATGTTGAGGTTGGGTGGCAATTCCACAAAACTGAGTGCTCTTGCTGATCACCTCATGTCGGTTTTTCCTCAGAAAACTTCCCAAGGTGATGACACTTCCATGTTCTTGCAACCCTTCCCACAAAACTGAGGCATCTTTTTGAACGCTAGCGCTGAAGAAACCTGACTTGCCCGACATGCTGTCTGCCTTGCTTCTCGCGTAGGAGTCAGGTGGACTGGAACATTCTTTGGCCCAGTGCCCTACCTGTCCACACTTGGCGCACTTCGTTCTGAGCTTCAGCATGTCTATGTGGACCTTTCTGGCCCCCAAGTCTGCCTTGGTCTTGAAAGGCCCTGGCAATTTCCCATAGCTCTTGCCCTTGCCTTTGTTCCAAGAAGACCTGTTGATCTTCTGCTCCCGGATCGCCCTGCGTACCTCTTGGTACGTGGCCAGCGCATGCTGAAGATCTTCCTCGTTGAAGACCTCGCTCAGATCTCCTTCACCGACCCACACATAGCTAGGATCGTCATCATCTTCAAACATGCCATAGGTCTCTTCCGCCTGACTGCTCTCGCCTGCCATGTCCTCGGTGACAAAGCTTTTGACTTTCTGATCCCTATGCACCTTTTCTAACTTTCTCAAAGCCTTGATGACCTTGTCCCGCTCATAGGATCCAGAAGTCCAAGTTGTCATTTGATCCTCCTGGACCTGCGTCAGGCTTGCGTGCCTGTACAGCACATAGCCTTTCACGGTGTCGTTCAACACCACTCCCTCATCGCTAAGCTCCTTGAAAGCTCCATCCATTCTGATCACGTATTCCTGCAGGGACTCCTTGGACTTCCGATGTTCGGCATAAATCGCCTTCTCGAAAGCCCTGGGAAGTGCTGACTCCAGATAAGGTGCAAAGTGATCTTTGAGCTTGGCCAAGATCTTGGCCGCACCCTGAGCTGACGTGATCTCTTCCACCGTCAGTTCATCTGCCGCGGCACGAGCCGCTCCTGTGAGCTGCCGGAGCATCTTGACTCCATGCTTGTTCTCTGGAATCTCCGTGTCAAACTGCCACAGCTGCAAGTCGCGCTGATAGCGCTTGAAGGCAAGAGGGTCGCCTCCGTCAAACATAGGTGGTAAGTCTCGATCCTTGTGGATGCCTGAACTCGTCGCAGCCACTGAAGGTGCCGTCGACGTCGCGCCAGTCATAGCGCTGTCCATGCTGCCGCTACCACTGTGGATAGGGCAAGATGACAATCAGTCGCAGTGCATTGAGCACGGCCAAACGTTTTCTCAGCTGATAGCTTGTGCCCCGTGGGCTCTGGTGATAAAATGAAAATGTGCACATGCCGAAAAACTCGCAACTGCAGCCAATGACAGTCAATGCTCAAATGATTCACAAGTCTAGTTAAACGGTTAAACTATGTGCAACTCCCACCCATATGCTCCATGTATGGAAATTTTACCAACATTTGCCCGAACAAAATCACCCAGTTTTGTAGGTAAATATACCAGCACCATGGAGCCTATGGGCCATAAATCCCCATTAAAATGGTGCTTGTTTTTTGCGAAATTCAGATTCTTCAGATCCTTCACATCCTTCAGATCCTTTCAGAAAGTCATCATGTCGTCCTTGCATCTGAAAGGCCGCATTCAAAGCATCCTGTCCATCTTTGTCCAAGTCCTGCCGGATCGGAGCTACATCGCTACATCTTTTTCGGAGCTACGGCGAAGAAACGTACATCATCTGTAGTTATAATCAATGGAAACCATGGTTTTCACCATCAGATATAGGGTTTTCCTGTAAAAACTCCCATCATCCAGTTCTATGATATAAGATGTTAATACGAATTATGGATGACATTGATGATTATGGCATATGGATATAATATGATATATGTAGATGTTATAAGGTTTTATAAGTATATGGGATGACATGGATGACTATGGAACATGGAGATGGTTTCTGGATGGGCTATCCCGATATTTTGTTGTACGTAGCATCTCTTGTATCTGATTTTTTGCCCCTCTAGCCTTTATGCATTGCCAATCAGCCAGATACCCTGCAAAAAATGACAAATTCTTTGCTGGTGAACGTAGATATTCCCATTGATACCAAAAGACTAAAGGATTAAAGTAGCCATGTAAGATTGACCTAGTATGCCTTTATATACCTTCATGAAATTCCTCTCTGTAAAATGTAGTAGATATCCACCATTTTTGAATATAGAGTATTCATATCTACAGCCTTATTGCAACCCTTATCATGTTGCATAACCATGGTGAATCTTAGATACCTGTCAAAAAAACACGTTTTAGCTGGTTTGCCATTGATAGCAAAAGATTTAAGTATTAAAGTATCTAACCAAGGTTGACCCAGTCTATTATATATAATGGTGTATGGCCACGTAGCCACGTATGGCGCTCCTCGTGAAAGGCTTGGATGCTACGGGAGACCTGCGGGGCACGTTACATGGCCATGTTGGGTGCAAATAACTTCAATAACTATAGGTTGATGCTAGATATATCTGTAGTTAATGGGGGTTTATAAACCAACAAACATAACTGGGGGGTGGCACAACCTTATATAATGTCAAACAATGTCATAAACTGGCGCCATGACTGGGAATTTTGTTAACATACCACATGTCTATTTTCTGGTGATCTGGGGGATGATTTATGAAACCTGGTGATATACAATTATATATAATAGGATTTATGAAACCTGGTGATCTGGGGGATATTTATATCAAATTGGTTTGTGGTTTAACCACATTATAATTAGGATATTAACCCCTGGTGATTATATAAACCTGTCATTGGAAAAAAAAAACAAACTATTTTCATGATGAAACCTCTGGAGAAATACTCATCGGAACATCATCTGGTGTTTACCCTCTGGTAATGACTAACGTAGCTATTGAAAATGACCATAGAAATAGTGGATTTTCCCATGAATAGCATGGTGATTTTCCATAGTGAACTGTTAACGTTTACCAGAGGGTATCACTTTGCGAACTGGAAGCCAGTTCGCCTATTTGCTTCCATGGATGAATCCGATGATTTACCTCTCAAAACTGGAAAAATTGTCCATATGTGAAATTACCAGAGTGTATGTCATGGAAATACAAGGGTATGTCCAAGATCTATATATAACCTCATGACGTTTTGTGTATATATATAATATATATCTATACATATAATATATACACATAGAATGGGCGTATCCAATATTTATAACATAATGATGGGACATGTCATGGATATATCATGGGACATTCAATCCAATTCTTTGCCAATCGCTAAGCCATCATCCCAGTGATTGGCAGAGTCACATCGTGGAAGCTCACCTTCCGACCCCTGGCAGGGTCTATGTTAAACGTCCGGAGTGTATCTGAAGAAATATCTGGAATTAGACAAGTGGATTAGAAAAGTTGAGATCTGGAAAACGTTTCATACATGATATGCGACAAAAAATGCCGATTTGATTTTGCCAGGTGTGGATTTTGAACAGTTGATGGTATGGAATGAATAGACGGCTATAGCTGATGATTATTCCTACAGTTGACTACCCAGGAATCAGAAGTGTCTTCGAAATTCCAGTCTTTCCAGTCTATAACTGGACTAATGTGGTAAACCATGGTAAAGCCAATAATAAATCATCCCCCGGTCATCATCATTTTTACGGGTGCGATTTCAACCCCCAGTCATAGTAGGTTTATGGCAGCCAGGGTTTCCCACATTACCCCTCACCTCGGAAAAAACGAGGTTATAAGTTATAAGATGTTATAAGATGTTATAAGATGTTATAAGATGTTATAAGTTTGGTTTACCCCATTAAGTTTAGATATATCCCCCCCATAAACATATATAAACCATGGTTATAAACAACCAACTTTGCACACTCGCCAACAGGGCACATCACCTAGCGATGGTCCCACGCCTGCTGCAGCTTTTCCGGATCTCTCAATGAATCCAGCACCAAGTAGGAGAGGCTCTCATGCTGCGCGGGGTGAGGTGTTGGTGGTGGTGGTTTCAACTGGGAAAAAAAAACCTGAGAAACCTCGCTTTTGTGACAGGAGAATAATCTATTGAATGAACATAGTCGGAAATTTCGCCAGGTTAGCTTACAAGAGGGTTTTTTCGGGGGCTGTGTGAGAAGCAAGATATGAAGATGTTTTCCTTTGGAGATGTGATCAGGAAGCAACATAAAGCAGCCGGTATGGTCACAGGACACATTTGAAAGGTGGCCGTTGCCATGTCGATGCCCCAAATTTATGGTATCGAAAAATCATAAGACCAAGTCTATGATTGTTGGTTGTGGGAGGACAAAGCTCCTTGGTTTGGAAATAAACAATTCTTGAAAACCCACCAGTTTTGTAGCATTCCCACTCTTAAGCGCCATCAGCATCATGGTGCGGTGTCCTTAAAACGTTACCAGTCAAATTGCAGGGAACCCAAAAAATGGCTACATATCTCCAATAAGAACATCAGGTGGGGGGCCCAGTGCCATTTCTTGCCCATGTGGAAGCGCTACCATCGCCAAGCTTTAATGGGCATAGGAGGTTTCTCTGCAGAAATTGGGATTTAACCAACATATGATCTGGATGTCATCCAAAAGAAAGGGGACAATCCGATCATCCATCTACATCAAACTGTCTAGCTATATAGTTAGATCTGTTTCTTTAGTATGCTAGATTAGAGATCATTATTCACCCCAATGGCAAAAAAAATGAGTATGTCTGAAGTTGGGTTATATCCAAAACTATGGCCATTTACTACAATGTGAGGCCCCCCAGTTATGTTTGTTGGTTTATAAGCCCCAGTAACTATAGTTATAAGTACCATAAACCATAGTTATTGGAATTATAAACCAACTTTGCTATCTTGGGGGCCTCACATTGTACCATTTACTACAACTAGGGAACAAACCAATACAAACCATGGGATTTTCGTGGTTTTCCCCTAGATTTTCCGAGGAATCCCAAAGCCGAAAGCGCCGTGTTGGCATCCCGCGGCGGCGCCCCGCGAAAAGCCACCCTTTTTGGAGCGAGCGCTCAGACCGCACGTGCGAGGACTTAGACGGGCGACTGAAACTCGATTTTTTATTTGACCAACGCAGATTTCACCAGCAATCCTCTTCCAAATCGTCACTGCTTGGTGGTGCAATAATCATCTTGAAACATATTGAGTTCGTCAATGGGAAGGATGACAACCCATAGATGATGGAAAAATCAAAGTCATGTTCCAAACCACCAACCAGGTCAAAAAAAAAGGGGAGTTGACCAAGTTCACCGGAGATTTCTCCATGATTTCTCTATGAAAAGTGACTGGACGAAATGGAGATCATGGAGCCGTGGAGCATCTCTGAGGCTCCCCACATTTCTGCAATTCCCGGTGTTCCTGGTCACAGGAAATGCCTCAGCTGGCAGGTCAGCTGTGCAAGAACCACAACAACTTGTCGATCCCGTGTGTGTGTGTATTATATAAAGAAATCATGTTCATAAGAAATAATAACAAGAATAACAATAATAGTAATAATAATAGTGGTAACAATAATAATATGCATATACAATATACACACATACATGTGTACATCATATACTCCAGGTTTGGCATTTGTAGGTACCAAGTGGGTCATTTGTGGGGGACATGTTAGTGAGCCACCTACGGCAGATACACATGGAGCATATGGATTAGCTGGTGAAACTATCATGTCTTAGTTGGTCAACCCGGAGGGCGGTGATACGTATGTTCTCATCCAAATATGAATAGAAACTCGCTGACAACGGTACCTGGTTGGTGGTTTCAACCCCTCTCAAAAATATTATATAGTCAATGGGAAGGATTATCCCATATATTTTGGAAAATAAAAAATGTTTGAAACCACCAACCAGGTACTGTAGTTGATCACCAGCAAAGAAGCTGACGAGGAGGGGTCGGGGCCAGTGTTTTCTTGATGGACGGTGGATGGAAGAAACGGTGGTAAACTACCAATGGACCCGCAAAATCGTCATTTCTACTATTAAACCATCCAATGTCCATAATGTTCAAGTCAAGAAGTTGAAAAAACACGTGCCACATCCATATGATTCCAGATGATTCCATAGTATTCCACATTACTATACATTACTACCAATTATTCAAAGAACGATATCCATATTGCAACATGCCAAACCACATTCCTCTGCCAGGCTCTACTGGTCACCCGACAGAGGTCAGATCCTTTGCTGACCTTGTTCTTGTAACACTCGCTACCTCGCTCGACCAGTTGTGGAAGTCTCTGGTTGGGTCCAGGGGTCCAGGGGGAGAATGATGATCATATATGGAATATTGATTGATCTAAAATGGAAATACCTCAAAATGGATGGTTTAGAATGGGAAATCCGATTGAAGTGCATATAATTTTGGCTTACCCATGGGTACCTTTAGGAAACCTCCACATATGTTTCACAATAATTCAGCTATAATTTTCTTCGCCAACGTGAAACGTTTGGCCATTCTGGGATAGTTATAGTTACGCGTATATATTAACAAAAAAAAACATTCAAGTAACGTGGCCACGTGAGGTTGTCATAATTCGCCCAGGTCTATGTAGGAAAGAAATGAAGAAAGTTTCTGAAATTGAAAGAAAGGTAGAATGTGAAGCCAAGAATAGTCAATCCCTCCAATGAAACAACTCGAGACTCGAGAGATCTATGGTTTCAGTATATGTCTCAACTCAATCCATTACCATTTCCGGATATGTCTGGAAGTTAGGATCAATGGCTAGTAAACTCAATGGCTATCCCAGTCATGGATATGGGGCCACCGTGCAGACTTGGATCATCGAAGCTCAGTTGGATGTTTCTTCGGTTACCCATCGTCTACCCAGGTGAAATTTCCAGTTGATGCCACTGGTGTTTTTCTTCCGAGGAAAAATCTGGCATTCTGGGACATACATCAATCTGGATGACATCTCAACAACATTCTTTGGATACAACTGCATAGATATGCATAGATATTATATCCAGCATTAGCTCTATTCGTATCTAGGATTGTGTTTTTTGGGGTGCCCTTCGTACAGGTTTCATGGCCGATCTTGGATATCTTCTTGCATTTCTTTTTCTTCCTGGTTAGGTTGTGTAGTCACTCAGTTTATACCCCCATGTATAGCAAAAACCAATTGTCAGTGCATCAGATTAATTCTCAATAGGTAGAAAAGTAATTCATATTATTTTCGCAGGATGTTCTTGTCTATCTTTTTGGGGCGTGCTATACTCCCTTCACCTGTCCGTTTCTTCAGTTCAAAATAGTTCACATGGTGTCTGAAAATCAGGTGCCCAACAATTTGATGATATTTGATGCTTAATCACAATGTTCCCTCTTAAATTAAAAATGCATTTGTGCAATGTACTTTTGAGTCTTTTTCGATGGTATCCCCCATTTTCAGCAGACCCAAATATAATATGCTGTTAGTTATATGTACATATCTTACATATATTCTGGTCATATCTCTCTCTCTCTCTATTTATGTACATATATAAATATATACATACAGATAACTATACATGTACATATAATATCCTACAGGTTCCACCTGCCCCGTCGTCATTTCCATGACCTGCACTGAGGTGTTGGCTCCTGTGGGACTTGTTGGGACGATACTTTGCTTCGCCATTTTCTTGTTGCACATCGGCTTTATGTGGTTCCAGCACCGAAGTTTGGGGCTTCATTTTTGAAGTCAAGACTTCTGTCTTGTTATCGATGTCATTATCACATTTTTCTCCTGTTCCAAGGAGTTGGAGTGAGACACACTGTGAAGGTGTCCGCTTCGCCGTCGATTGCAGCGCAAGAGATGCTTGAAGCGAGTTGGGAATTGTGTTGGCTCTTCCAAGTCCGAATTGGCTCTACAAAAAGACATGTATATTATACAAATGATATCAAATTATTATATCCCATTATGTTCCCGTTGATATCCCCAATGTTAATCAATTTTACTGGTTATACCATGTTGTACCCTCCAAGCTCCCGCAGTTGCACCCTTGCTTCCGTAACGGTCCACGCCGAGTGACACAGCTTGGAGGCCTCCGATTTTCGGGACATGAAGTGGCTGAGCCTCGGCCGCAACTTGGGATCCATCAGAATGGTTGATTATGTTCTATATAATAATAATATGTATATATATATATATGCAACTTGTATGATAAAAGAACAACAATATTATCATATTATTCTATCTACTTCAGGTATATAATATATATATATATAATATGGGCAAATTTCATCATGATTCGCTGGACTGTTGTGAGGCTATTTTGGGATAGTTATCCCTCGCTATCACATCATTCCAGTGATCACAAATTTCGGTCGCAGTGAGCTCGTTATGATTTGGCCCCCAGAGGTAATGGTCCATCAGGGTGCATTCCAGTTATACAAGTTATACATTGACATGGAATATCCCCAGTTACGCATTGATTAAACCACTTACATCCACTGTTCCCATCTGTTCCCAACTCCCCGTCGCAAAGTTGCTACAAAACATTCTAGGTATAGATGAGCATTATCCCCCAAAAAGAGAAGTGCCTGGCCTCCTTTCGTCCTGAAATTCCGACTCCAGATCCAGCAAATGAACATGGAATGCCCGCCATTTGGAGGTTTCCTACAATGGGGGTGCCCCAAAATGGATGGTTTGTAGTGGAAAATCCTATTAAAATGGATGATTAGGTGGTACCCCCATTTTAGGAAACCTCCATTTGTAGATCATGTTCTGGGAAGAATCGGCTTTCCATTTCTTTCGTCATCATCATTCATCCATGCTAGTGTAACGTACATGAACGACCCAAAAACAACACTGGTTGGTGGTATACCTACCCCTCTGAAAAATATAAGTTCGTCAGTTGGGATGATGAACTTCCCAGCTGAATGGAAAGTCATAAAATTCCATGGTTCCAAACCACCAACCAGAACACGTTTCGCGGAAACTCATCTTCCAACCGGGTAAAACTCGGACAGGGTCTGCCGTCCGCTGATGGGCGGGTCTGGGATTGGATAATTTGTGGATGTTCATTCCCCTCATCTACTGGATCATCTCGAGTCACTAGCAAGTCACTAAGCTGATATCATCTGATAGTATATACCCTATGGATCCAAACACTGTCTGAGAAGGTACTTGACCCTCCAAATTATACCCCAAACACTTCCTAAGAAGGTACTTGGATCCATAGGGATACATATATTATCATATATTATTACATATCTTTGACATGTTTTGGATCTTTAGCCCTGTCATCCTAGTTACTTCACGACGTGAGGTTGCTATAGTGGGATGGAACTCCAAGCATCATCAACCATCTACCTTGACCCGCCCAACTTACATGTTTTGGGGTTAATAGTTATAGTTGTAGTTATATAGTTATAGTATACAGGTTATAGTTGTTTATGGGGTCAACGCCCCGAGGCGGGCGTGGTTTTTTCCACGTTTGTGCTCTTTGGCAGTATACGTGTTTAACGCTCTTGCCGACTGTAAGATGACGTTACCGAAGACACGTTGCCCAATTTTGTTGCTGACGTCTTGCTACCTTGACCGGGAGGGGGGGTGGGCAGGGGATGATAACGTTCCTTTCGACTGTAAGATGAGGCTACCGAAGACACGTTGCCCAACTTTGTTGCTGACGTCTTGCTACCTTGACCGGGAGGGGGTGTGGGGGGGGGGATGATAACGTTCCTTTCGACTGTAAGATGACGCTACCGAAGACACGTTGCCCAACTTTGTTGCTGACGTCTTGCTACCTTGACCGAGAGGCGGGGGGGGGGGGGTGATAACGTTCCTTTCGACTGTAAGATGACGCTACCGAAGACACGTTGCCCAACTTTGTTGCTGACGTCTTGCTACCTTGACCGGGAGGGGTGGTGGGGGGGGGGATGATAACGTTCCTTTCGACTGTAAGATGACGCTACCGAAGACACGTTGCCCAACTTTGCCGCCGACGTCTTGCTGACGTCTTTCTTCATCTTTGCTTTTTCCTTTACGGTTTGAACTCCTGGTTTTATCTGAAACAGTCAGAATGGTGACTTTTCCAAGCAGGCAAAATGCCAGAAGGCCAAGAATTTCATTCTTCACTATGGTCTACTTGGTGCATTCGAACGTGAGATCATGGCAATTTAGATTTGCACACCAGCATCAATACATCCAGACTTTGGGCAAGCTCTTCAAAACGAAGAATGCCGACTGAAAGAGCACTGAGGAAGAAAGAATGCATTGAACCTCAAGCAGATGTTGCGGAATTGCAAAAGTTTTTGTTTGGCATTTTGACCTCTTGCACCAAACGTCAAAACATCATAGATCACAACCATAAAATACTGCAAATTACAGTGTAAAAAGGTGATTTTTGATTCAATCAACAAGTACACAATTGTAGAAAACCCACACCCGCCTCAAGGCGGTGTTCCCTTGTTTATAGTATGATATGTTATGGTTGAATCGACCATGCAAGTGTTTATCCCTTTTTGGGGTTCATCGTTCTAAGTTCTATGTCGGACTAGGCATGCTGGCAGCTGAATCTTCCTGATGCTTCTTGGAATCTTAGAAGGGGTTCTGGGCACCCTCTGGTAAACATACAAAAAACTATGGAAAATCACCATTTTCAATGGGAAAACTCACTATTTCATACTATTTCTATGGCCATGTCCAATAGTTTTTTGAATGTTTACCAGAAGGTAAAACAAGTGTCAAGTAAACCACCATTGGTGGTCCTATGATTGTCCCATATTGATGGAACACCTCCGCTTCTTGAGCTTCCAAACGCTGTGGCCTGAACTAAAGGAGCATCCTGCCATCGCACATCGCATAAAGCATGGCCCAACGTTGGCGATAGACAATGGGATGCACATGGATTTCTCTCGAATTTATGGCAATTATATCTGGTTGGTGGTATACCTACCCCTCTCAAAAATATGAGTTCGTCAGTTGGGATGATGAAATTCCCAATATATGGAACAATGAAAATGTTCCAAACCACTAACCAGATATGCAATTATTGTTCATGGGAAAATTGTAAGAACAAGCGTCTGATAAAATGGCTACACATGGTGTCTTATGCAACAAAACATGTGTAATACTGGAGATAAAATAGGAACACCATCTCCAATGTGGAAAATCGAATGCCAAATGAGGTTTTTGTTCTTGGCTATCCCTACGTGACTGAGATGATGGTTAGTTGCTACGGATGGTTTACTACATGGCTTGCGTCACAAGAATGCACGCATGGTGAGTTGATGTTGCGGATACGCATTCTTCAACCAGCCAAGGTCGAATAAACGTGGCTTTGAGTCAAAAACCCCACCCAGATGGTACCCTAGGCCCTAGCTCATATAGCTGATGTTTATTCCCCCAGTCATATGGCAGTGGGTCAAAACCTTGTACCCCTGTAGTTCACATCAAAATAGCTGGGATTTATGGATGTTCATTCCCCTAAAAAATGGTATTTTCATAGGTATTGATCCATAGCCATATATGATCATCATTCTCCCAAGATAGCGTTCAGTTGGTTTATAACTCCAATAACTATGGTTTATGGTACGCAAATAACTATAGTTACTGGGGCGAATCTAAACCAACTTATACCCATATGGTAATTTCATCGGTAACTTGACCCATTCCCATTGGCACCTGCGTGCGGATCATCCCGCGACTCCGCAGAGCCAAAGCCGTGTCAGCCTATTGGGGTCAGACCAAGCCATGGTCATGGTGACTTCGCCACAACTTGGGATATACCCTCTGGTAAATAAACATAGACCCTGGCAGTCATCGGGGTTGGAAGACTAGTGAAACCATTAAACATTGGTGATTTTCAGGGTCAACAAGTTTATTTACCAGAGGGTAATATGAAAATCAAATATAAATAACCCCTAATTAATATATAAGCCCTATATTTCTGTATATGAACCATATATTGGGATATATTGGGATAAACATTTAAAACACCTTTGTAACAATCCTTTTTGAGAATCCCACAACTATCAGTGTTTTCATGTTTTTGTCCATCCACCTGAAACCTGGAACTGCCGGGGCCACCTGTCATGGGGATCCGCAGTTGTCTACCTTGGATGATTTGGGGGGTTACCACTTAGGAAACCTCCTGGCAGCCCTGGTTTCTTCGAAAAAAATCATGCTTTGAGAGGTTGGTCCGGACAAAAGACTCTTCTATAAATCTCTTCTGGAGGGTCGATACAGAGTGATACCATGCTGTTCACCGTTCTCAGAAGTCTAGACGTGACCAACAAATACGATTTCGTGTGTTGCTCAAGTTTTTTCTTGCAGCGCGAAACAACATATGTATTTATTAATGAATTATTAATGTATATATACAGCGAGATCCATATATTTATGAACAAACCACAATTAGGAAACACCAAAGTTTACTGCAAGGAAATGACATTGAAGGTTTCCTTGTGAACTAAACATCAATGGTGAGTTCGGCCAAGAGCCCTCCAGTTCTTGTAGATTCCGGGTCCCCAGGTTGCTACAAGAAACCGAGGAGTTTTCCCATCAAATATGTGGAGGAGTTCTGAGTACCAGACTATAGACATTCGCAGAAACCAATTCATTTAGATCAATTCTGTATCCACTTTCCATTGACAGCAGGTAAAACAACTATCAATGGGCCATTTTCAATAGCCATGTTAAATTACCAGAGGATACCCCACCCAATTTTTGATGATTTCCCCAGGATTCCAGTTTTGGGTGCCTTTTCACCACCACTTTCTTCACCTTGGTGTAGAAAGGGTCAAGTGAACTATGGGGATCAAACAAAGAGAGTGATTTAACGAACAGCAAGGGAACACACCAGAGTAAACATAGTAAACCTAACAAAAACAACAAACATTGACGCTACACACATGATGATTCAACAAGGAGAATCGAATAAACATCGGGGACATGACAATGAACACCCCCAGTGATGATATGATTCATGACTAACCAAGAAAATAATGGCCGTATCTTCCTTTAGGGACTGGCCGGTGTCGCTTCACGACATTGAACTGGTGAAATTTAACCCACCACCTTTTGATGCTTAAACTGTAGGTCTGTGGCTGGTTAACCTCCACCTTGGTTAGGCATGGTTAGGCATGATACCTGTAAGGCTCATAATTGTTGATAAATCCCCATATACAGCGCAAAAACAAAGTAATTACTGAAATTCATTCCAATTCCCTATCCAATCGCTTTTCTTAGCGATATTCCCATGAGATATTCATGAAGGGTATACCTGATTTCTGATGCATTTTGATACCCTTTGACACTTCCTCTCCGCTTGAAGCACGGTGCCACTGGATTGCGTCACGGGTGAATCTCCTCTCGCTTGATGAACCCCTGCAGCCTGGCGTCCAACGCACAATCCAGCTTTGCGGGCCTGGGATGATGATCAAAACGTGGGGATGTGTCCTCCACAAGTTACCCTCCGGTATTTAATTAGTTTACCCTCTGGTAAACTAACATAACTATGGAAAATCACCATTTTTAATGGGAAAATCCACTATAAATAGCCATTTTCAATAGCTACGTTAAATTACCAGAGGGTAACATAATTTAACAATTTGCTCTTGAAAATCAACATTTTTAAAGGTAAATGATCGAACTAAATGGTTCACTTTCCAAACAGCGTGGCCACACTGAAGGGGTTCTTACGGTTAGGGTTAAGGCCGGGTGTTCATTCAAGGTGGTATCCGGCGCCTGCGGCATTTTCCCTTTAAATTTCAATACAGAATGGCTCTTGCGACATGTCCATGTGCATTTCGACTGAGCAGGCTCGCAAAAAGCGAGACATCTCGCACAGACATCTTGCCAAGAGACCTCTTATAGGGAGCTTGTACAGAGATCTTGCCAACAGAGCTCTTACAGAAATCTTGTACAGGGATCTTGCCAGAAGACCTCTTGTGGAGATCTTGTGCAGAAATCTTGCCAGGACGCTTCTTTTGGATACCTTGTACAGAGACATTGCATAGAGATCTGTTGCAGAGATCTTGCCAAGAGGTCTCTTACAGAAATCTTGCCAAGAGAGCTTTTATAGAGAGTTTGTACAGAGATCTCATAAAGAGATCTTGCCAAGAGATCTCTTATAGAGATCTTGTCCAGGAGGTCTTGCCAAGAGACATCTTTATAGAGATCTTTACAGAGATCTAGCCAAGCGGTCTCTTACAGAGATCTTGCCAAGAGAACTCTTGTAGCGATCTTGTACAGAGATCTTACTAGGAGAACTCTTGTGGAGATCTTGTACAGAGACCTGGTGAAGAGAGCAGAGGTCTTGCTCGGAGATCATTTGTAGATAGCTTGAAGAGAGATCTTACTTTGAGATCCCTTACAAAGATCTTCTGTGGAGATCTCCTATAGACACCTTGTACAGATAGCCTTACACAGGGATCTTGCACAGCAGCTTCCGCCCGAGGCCTTTCGACGATTGCAGCGACTCTGACAAAAAGGTCTTGCGGCTGTCTTCTTACCATGACAGCCCTCTTTCCTCTAAGGATTATGGGTATATAGTTATGTAATGGTATATATCCATGGGTATATATATATAATCTCTAGTTTCGTATGGATGATTATCGATGGATCATCCTGTAAGAACTTTCCTCATTATATCACATTGCTTTCCACCAATGTTTGGTGATTAAATCTCCAATCCAAGCTTTGAATTCATAGTAGCACTAATTACAATCTGCTTATGACTAACAGTTCGCCATGGAAAATCCACCCATTTTTTTTTATAGGTAAACCATCTATTTCTATGGGCCATCGAAAAACCATGGCAAACTGTTAGTCATAACCAGAGGGTACATCCCAGTGCCCAAATAACATATCCCACGATGTGAATCGTCCACGGAATCCATGGTGAAATCCACCGGAACCACGGAGCCTTCAATTCATCACGTTCCAAGGGATCCAATTCGCTGTCGGATCCGTCGTGCTCGAACTCGGCCATGACCTCAGCAGGTCATGGGATACCGTTAGAACCATCCTGAAGCATTGCATTTCCCCTGCCAAATCAAACATGATCTGATGATTTTATATGATTCTATATGATTTTAGGGGGTCCTAGGTGTTTGACCAAACCTGATTGAATCTTCGTTTAGTAAGCGGTCGTGGTAGTGAGGGATCACCCAAGGAGGATTCAATGCTTAACCGATACATCACCTGGCAGTATGAAGACGTCATATTACTTCATATGCGTGCGTCATCATGAGTAAACTTTAGCAGAACACATATCAGATAATATCCCCTCATTCTATATATCAAAAACATATCAGAACATATTCAGAACATATCAGAAAATCATCCCATTCCCATCTTAGTCTGTCCCATTCTGATCTGTTTTCTAGATGATCTGGTGCTGTTCCGTATCAGCCTGACTAAGCCCGGATTGAAGAAACTTACTGTAAATTAAAGTCGAAAGGTATCCCAAAACGGAAGCGTCCCATGAGTAAATTGTTGTTTTTTTCTGATTATTTAGGAGGTAACATAAGGCAAGATGGCCCTGGATCCTATAGGAGAATCATCTTAATCTTGTGGAATCACTGGGCTGACTATCTCATGGTTATGTCACCGGCAGGGACCTCCCTCAGTTCTAAGTTGGTGTATGATCTCATCGAATTCACCTAGTTATTTGCACCAACTTAGCTATCGCGACGGCCCGACTACCTGTTCTCCATCATCACTTACACAAAACATCACCTGAATACCTGAAAAGTCCCCAAAAACCTGGTCACATGCACTGAAGCAGCTAGCGCAAACCCATACAATCCCATATATGCCAGATACATATTAATCAATATTTAAGGGTCTGTTTTTGAATTGTAGCCAGTATATGTCGGTTGAATTTTGAATTCCAGCTTTCAGGGTTCAAATATCTCCATCTCCAGCTGGGTTTCCACACATCTCCCGCCTCACCCAACACCACTTCGGGTGGCCTCTCCAGGGGGGGACTTGGATAATTTCATTCTAAATTCATGGTACGAAAGATTCAAGATTAGAATCATAGTGAAGGTAAAGGGTAAAGAGCAGGACCTAAGTAGGAACAAGAGAAGGTGAACTCAACTGGGGATTGACTATTTTCCCACCTTGTTGTCAATGTTCATCCATCAAAGAGTAAGAAATAGACTGGATTAAATATATAAATCAATCGGCATTTGAGCCTCTTGACTCATTAAAGCAAACACTGCTTGACATGGCCAACCTTGGATACATTGCAAGGACAAGTCGTTAGATAATTTTTTTGGGCTCTGGCACATGGGTGCAGCTGCGTCAAGCTGCGTCCACGCTTTTCAAATTCGGCCGTTGGCCGTGAAATGACTTAAATCAGTCTCGACCTTCAAAACGGGGCACTAACGCATCCGCCATTGCCCTAGGGCGCCGCTTCAAATGCGCAGCAACGAAGTCGCACCGCAGCTTCCAGGGTCCAGCTTCTTGGTCGCTTATTGGGGCTCTCTATATTTTCTTGCCACCAGTGGGTGTTGGAGCATATAAATAGTAAGTCCCCAATTCTTGGATTATTCCATTTATGGGCTATAACTATAACCATTACATATCATTACATACCATTACATACCATATTCATCCATAGTCCCATCTATAGTATCTTTAAATTTTCTTGGAAATGCACTGTAATAAATCACTATTAGCATCTATAGATACATCTATAGATGGGAATAAAGACATGGGGAATATTTCTTAAGGTCCCATCTTAAAGTATCTTAAAGCACTATTTTTTATGCTCCCATCACTCCCATCTCTCCCCGAGTCCACACCTCCAGGCGTCCTCATCAAATTCGTCCTCCGTATCGAAGCAGAAGGACTCCGACGACCTGACTTATCCGTTACTTGAAATAACAAAGAAAAAGGGAAACATCTAGTGATTACCCTCTGGTAAACTAACAGTTTGCTATTGAAAATTGCCGTTTATAGTATTTTATAGTGGACTTACTCATAAAAAATGGTGATGTTCCATAGTTAAGTGACAGTGTACCAGAGGGTATCTAGTGATAAACCCCATAGGAACTATAGATATGTATAGATATATCTATACATTAAAACATTCATAAACCATCATAAACACCAGTGAAACGGTCAGTTCAAAAACCGATTTGCTAACGAACTGGGGCAACGCCGTGGGATCTACTGGCAGCGATATGAAAAATCATGTGCAAAATACGGAGAAACAACATGGGAATGCAGGTTAGACATAAGACATAAAACAAAACATCTGGCTGAACCTGGCTGAACTGGGTGAACGGATATATATAAACGGAAATATATATACACATATTATGTGTGTATTAATATTAATATAATATATATATACAATTATACACATAATATGTTATGTTGTTGATAATATATCGTTGCCAATCATTGTGGGCTGATTCCCCCACAATGGAATCCAATCATCTCTATGGTATGGTGACATCCTTGAGGTGTCGATGGTGTGGCTCCATGATCTCCATCTCAGAAATGTCACACCTAAACCAAAATCACCTAAAAGTATGCAATTCCATTGCCAATCTTAGATACCCTGCAAAAAAATAAATTCTTTGCTGGTGAACGTAGATATTCCCATTAATACCAAAAGACTAGTTAGGATTAGTTTGTAGCCATGTAAGATTGACCTAGATTCTATACCATATACTAGACATGGAGCATAGCTTTGACACGACGATGATCTTTGGAATGGATTGACCGTTCCATCGGTCTTTGCTGGCCGTGTCCAGAACAAATCCCATGTCACCCACCGAGTGAAACCATCACAGGCGTAGATCATCGTAGCCGCGATGTAGGTCCAAAATGGTGCCCAATACAATGGGACATGTGGGGAAAAATATCTGCCAAGTTAATTGACTTAAGTGATTGGTTGGGGTTACACTTCCGAAAGTCCGAAAAATAGTCATCCTTCGAAGTCCTGAAGTGACACAAGATCTTCACCCAATGATACCCTGGAAAAAATGCTACAGGTTCATAGTGGAACTACAAAACCCATGAAATCCATAAACTTGGAAGATAGTTTTAACACAAGAAATGGCAATCTGTGCCGGTCCATATTTCAATGGACTATGGAAACCTGCAAAAAAAAAGTTTCCATCATTTAATTCACATCCTGGAAACGAATGTTTTAAGCGCGTCTTTCTTGGGGGTGACACTATCACCACAAAAAAAGATTATATGTTCAGATAGATACATGGTTGACACAGAAATTACCCTCTGGTAAACTAACATAACTATGGAAAATCACCATTGTTAATGGGAAAACTCACTATAAATGGCCATTTTCAATAGCTATGTTAGTTTACCAGAGGGTAATGGTAATGGGATTCCATGGGCAATGAATCAATGATACTCTGACCCACTGAGGTTTTGATTGTTTTGTGGCCGCGAAAACCGTCCGTTTTTTTAGCCCCTGACTCCTCCATTTGTGGCACGGAACGCTGATCCAGCCAGGACAAAATCAAGCCCTGCCGAGCGGTCAGGGGTCAGGGGTCACATCTCAGGGGTCACATCCCCAGGTCAGGGGTGATGAAACGCGCTAAATGCCGTTGCTTTTTCATATGTCAAAACTTAAATCACCATTTGGATCCTGGCTGGGGTTTTAAAAAGATTATACCAAGCGATTGCCAATTGAAAACGCCATGCAAAAACTGAATCCTGATGTTTTTTTTCTGGTGAGTTCCTTGGTAGTTTTGCATGCTTGGGTGCTTCCAATTCATTGATATTTGTGGTTCAAATCCCCGTGTGGATATTTTGTTGGTTTCATTACCAATTTTCTTGAGTACAATTCCCATTTCAAACTAGATTGTTTGATTGGTTTAATACGCACAACCATGTTTATTCTACATCGTTTGTTGGTTTCATTGTTTGAAGCTTCATATGGATTTGTCTGACAATTTAATTTGGATCCCCCAATTTTATAAAAATGGACAATTGCGGGAAATGATGATTAACCAATGCACTGGTCACTGGACGTTTTCTCACATGTCCGGACACACCAAAAAATTCCGCTGTTGGTTGTATGTAATTATATATGTATCATCATGTATATATATATATAATCATCCCCGTGATTTTACCGTCTGCCTCAATGTTCAATCCGTATAAAATACCCTATCAAAAACCACCAGTAGAGATTGTGCCGCATCCGGGAGTTGAGTCAATGGTACCTGCAGATTTTGTGGGTCGCAAGCTGACCCATAGCCATTTATTATATGCGGATATGTTCAATGTCTAATTATATACCATCCAGTAATTTATATTGATTTATAACATAGCTATGGAAAATTGATGAACATGGCCATTTGCAAGGGATCTACCTATTACAGTAAATATGTGCAGTAAACATATTCCCATCTGGGTGACGATTTTTAAAATTGCCATATTCGATCTACTTCACACTATTTATCATGGTAAAAATACCAATCACTATCAACCACTATCAGTCACTCTTAATTCCTACTAAACACGATTAAAAACAATTAATCATTAGCAATCACTATTAATCGCGTTTATATATAATATATATATATGTATGTATACATGGGTATATATATATGTATGTTATATATATATATCACTCAATGCAAGACCCATCGCATCCCAGGAAAACTCACCTTGGCGTCTTGGAGCCGCCGGAACATGCGCGTGGACCGGACCTGGCGCAGCGCGCAGGTCCGGCGCAGGTCCGGGACTTCCCGGTGTCCCCGGTGTCCATAGTCATGGGGGTAGCCCAATAGCTGGATGATTCACATTGGAAATCCCATTACCCTCTGGTAAACATACAAAAAACTATTGAAAATGGTGATAGAAATAGTGGATTTACCCATTGAAAATGGTGATTTTCCGTAGTTTTTTGTATGTTTACCAGAGGGTAAAATGGATGAGAACTGGGGGTACCCCCATTTTAGTACGGGTGCAGAATAGTTGTTGGATTTTTTCTTTTTTGCTCGGGTTTTCGATTTTTTTTGGGCTTTCTTTCCTGGTACCATTTTGCCTTGTATTTGCAACAGTTTGGAACTAGAATCTGTCATTTTGCATAACTTCATATATATATATATACATATATATGGTAAACTATGGTATGTCATGGCAACTTGTGGTTAATTATGGGGTTAATTACGTGCAAGTATGGTCAATTGTGTCTTATTATGTATATATGAGTCTTTTTCAGGATGACTCTTTATACAATATGTATGTACAATACATATCATCATAGCTACGTTAAATAACCACAGGGTATATGTAAAGCATAAAAGTAATCATGGTCACGTCAGATATCCTCGGTCCGGAACAAAAAATCCGCGGGCGCACCAGCTGCTCTGCACTCGCCTCCCAGTGAGAGATGTTTGCAGGAATCCAATTGGAATCGGGATTTTGTAGGAGTTACAATGGGAATATGATGGGATTTATGATGGAAAAAAGTGGGAGTGTATAAAATGGGAATGTCAAGGGGGCTGAGAATAACCAGGGTATCATGAGAAGAATGGGAATATATTCTAACTAATAACCTCCTTCAGTTCCCCCATGAATTGCGGTGGAGCAACCCAGGAGTGACCTAGGAGCTCCCAAGAAAAAACACATGACCGGAGTCAGGTTGGATCATTCTCTCATGTTTACTTAGAACATATGACTGGTTGGTGGTTTCAACCCCTCTGAAAAATATTTGTCACAGGGAAGGATTATCCCATATGTTATGGAAAATATATTATGACATATGAATGTGTGTATATCACCTATGAAAAGATATGACGAGATGTTTCTCAACCTTTTTTATGCCCATCAGCGCTCGAAACTTTGCCATAGGTGGCTTAGAAGGTACTCCTCCTTCTTCGTAAGGTCTTCAATTGCCGCAGCCGCCAGGCGAGTTTTTTCCTCAAGGCCTTTGTTGCATAACTGAAATTGCCGCAGCGAACACAGTCCCCAACAGTTTTCGGCGGATGTGCCAGCATGACAGACAGCGCCTCTTTGGGCAATAATATATATATATATATATTGTATTATATTGTATTATATTGTATTGTACTGTATTAAATTGTATTATATCATATATTATTATATCATTATATTATTATATTACTATATTTTATATGATTATATTTTATATTATTATATTATATTATATAACTATAATATATAACTATATTATATTATATAATTATAGTATATTATATAATTATAGTATATTATATAATTATAGTATATTATATAATTATAGTATATTATATAATTATAGTATATGATATAATTATATTATATCATATTATATTATGATAATATATATATAGTTGTATATATGTATATATCTGGGTAAATTATAATATGTCACTAACCTGAAATAAGGCCATTTGGGGATGATTCCTCTTATTAACCATGAATTCCAGTGAGGTTGCAGTGAGGTCGTTATAATTTACCCAAATAGATCTATATATATACACATATATACATAGCTGTGTGTGCTTGACACTACCAATGCAAACCAATGCAAGTGCAAGTGATGTTGTTTTTTGCTGCTGATCTATCTCCAAGAGGTGCCCAGTTTGGAATCGCTCGGTTGGTCTATAGCCAACATTTGACTAGGCTGGCTTTAGAGTAGGTATATCTTTCACTAGGATGGGTTGACTGTCTCTCTCTCTATATATATATATTAATATATATATATATATATTAATATATATATATATTAATATATATATATTAATATATATATATATATATTAATATATATATATATTAATATATATATATATTTATATATATATATGTAATAAGTATATTACGTACAAATTATATATAGTGATTATATTTATTTATACATAAATTGTATTATATCTATACTTGCCAAATGGTAACTGTTTTGTTTTCTGGACAGTCATCAATCAACATCGCCACAGACACCGGATCGGCACGGCCTTGTCCGGATGCCACTGTCGAGCCAGGCTGCGGAACTTCTTCTGCACCTCACGGATCACGTGTGGTGAGTTACCACGTCTACGGGGCCCATAGTAAGACTAATACTAATAAATATACGGGATTTGTAGTTTATATACCATCATATATATATATATACATCTATATATATATATACACACCGTATATGTTTCCCATTTTTTCCAAGCATATGAGCCGAAACTCGTGCTGCACCAATCTACCATCTATGCGTTCGATGGTAACCCCTCAGTGATATGTGTGGTTGTTTATACCCTTTAAATATAGATATTATCCCCATAAACCCCAGTTGCGCTGTTTTAGGAGTTATAAACTAACTTAACTAACTAATGGGCACCATCCTGTAGGACACCAACAAATATGTGGTATATATGGGTATGTATGGGATTTCTAGTGGATAAACATCTTGACTTAGGTCTGCCAAGTTGGTACAAATAACTCCAACAACTGAGTGGCACCACCTTTCAGGGTGCTATTTTTTTCTTGATCAATGATGGTTGGATGATTAGTTCGGGGCTCTTTAAACCTGCCCTTTCTATCTTGGGAAATGATCATAAGCCATTGGGAATCATTAACCATCACTTTCATTCATACAACATGGGACAACCAACCATATAATAACCCATACAACCCATAATAACCCATATATATTCACTATATAACCAATCATTATATAACAATAACACTCCAACCAACTGAGTTGCGGGTATCAAATCCAGAAATACGGACGCCGCCAAGTACATCTTGCAAAGCTTGCCAGGTGGGATGTGTGTGTGTGTTTTTCCTTCAAACTACAAAAAGAAGCGGAACTGCAGATTGGCGGTTGAAACCACCGAAGAAATCCAAGAATTAACTTTCAGCCCAAGATGCACAAGAATAGAGATTGATAGATCAATACCACACATGCCATTTTTTGGGCGGCTGAACTTCTGGTTGGTGGTTTCAACCCCTGCGAAATAGGCACTCAGTCGGGATCATCATATGTTCTTTGCCCATCATATCCCCATCAAATCATATTCAAGGGCCCATTCTACATGATTAAATCCCCGTTCAAATCCCACTAAGTCCCATGAAAAAACACTACGTTCTAATGGTTGTCCCTATAGTACCGGTTCTTAACTGTCATGGTCAAAAGATTGTAGATGGGTTATAGTCATTCGTCCCATAATGGGAATCCAAACATGGGTATGTAAATCCCCATGAATGGACTGATGACCATCGCCCAATATCATCTATATATATATAAGCATATATAATTATATATAAGTGTATATATATATATGTATATCTATATATAAGAATATATATATATATATTATATATATATAAGTATATCTGTATATATGCATAGTTAATCTATTGACCATGGCAACATTTCCCAAGATGGCCATGAGTCAAAACCCTGGCACCCGGATACCCCAAAACACCTGGTGAATGGATGATTATTCCCCCAGTCATATGGTAATTTCCAAAGGCGTTTGACCCATCCCCAAATCAAAACCTCATACAGTAATAGATACAGTACAATATATATATATATACAGATAATTATAAGGATGTAAATAATAATATATATAATCATATATATATAATCATATATATATATATAATCATATATATATAATCATATATATATAATCATATATATATATAATCATATATATATATAATCATATATATATATATAATCATATATATATATAATCATATATATACACATATATTTGTACATATATATATATGTAGGTAATTATAGGTATGTAATATAAATATCAATAATTTTCTTGACCCATGGCACCTCCTTTCGGCTGGCACTGAGAGATAGGTCAAGCCTGGGAGCAAGTCTCAGCCATGAATTTCATGGGATGTCACCAGGCAAAATAGGGATTAAATACCATCTGGTTATTTAACATTGCCATGGAAAATCACCATTTTTAATAGGTAAACCATCCATAAATGGGCATGAATGGGCCATTTTCCATGGCTATGTTGAATAACCAGAGGGTACGTATGATTGAATGATAAAAAATGGTGAATTCACCAGTTGAGAATGGAATTTGGCTGAGTTGCCACTATGTCACTATGTTGATTGAAATTGGGGGCGTCCTAAACTGTTCGACCGGAAAATGACTGGTTCGTGGTGCCATCGGGTGCCTATCTTTCAAACAAACGCATATGTGGTGTAGACTTGCGCGAGATCATCATTATCAAAAGTTATATAGTATAACTTGAGGTCTAAATATGTTATCATTTAACCGTAGTGGACCATAAATATACTATATATATATCAAAATAACCATAGTAAATCATACTAAATTGCCACAACTTGAGGTCTCCCCATTTTCAGGCACACATCAAAAGTGCCAAGACATGGCGCAAATCGTAACTCATCATCCCTAAGGATGGACATGGCTTGGAAGTGCATCCCACTGAAAAGTTGTTATAACAATTTTCCTAAGAACCTTTTTGTATAACAACCATTGTAAAAACCGTGAAAACGACAGTTTTTCTCGGCTGGTTTTCAAAAGGGATAACGCGAACATGGATTCTGATAACCCACCATATATATATATATTATATATATACATATATATATATAAATAATATAAAGGATAGTATAAGCATGTATAACATGGCCCATATGCGAACCATGGTGCTGGAATATGAATCCCAACATTTGCCCTTGTCCAAAATCACCCAGTTTTGTAGGTAAATATACCATACATCGAGCATATATGGGTATATAGTATAACCCATAGGATCCATGGTGCTGGTATATATGCTAACATTTGGGGTATATTGATGGTAAATGTTACCATATATAGCATACATGGATCCTATGGGGTATAACCCTGTATAACCATCAAACGACAAAAGTTTCGCAGCCACTTCTTGGCGAAATGATCCCTGGTGAACTCCGCGTCTCAGACAGTCTCCGGGTCTCCGAGCAAGCGATATGCATCGGCGACCTCCGGCGTTGAGGAGGATTCCCCAACAGAAACTGGTTGGCACAGTAGTGATTATACATTACAAATCAGTATACGATTGGTATACACAAATAGATCACCATGATTCAAGATTCATAATTAGTATAATACACTATATAATTATATAACTGTGTGATTATACAATGTGTCATCATCTGTTCTCATGTGTTATCACTTTTCAGGGATCTTTTTGTCACGGCAAATGTCAAAGGTTTCAAAGGTGTACAGTACTTTGATTTACACAGAGGCCCAATTCCTCTGACATTTGATGCGCCCAAACGAATCCCGCCACTCATTCGTCGCGGTCTGTTTTCTGCTCATCGGCAGAGTCTGCTTCGGTATGCCCAAAATTCAGGGACTCCTTCACTATATGTATCAACATGACCTATTTCGATCTATCTCGAAGAGAAAACCAATGGGTCTAGGAATTGATATTGAATTATAATTATGATATAATTTAAAGTTTAGGCCCCCATTTGGGACAGCACCCGGTTCTCAACAACCCAACAATTGTTGAGGAAACACCCGGTCCAGCCAGTCCAGAGTCTGGACCGGTTGAAGGCAAAATGGTAGCTGCCTGCACCCACTGAAGCTAACTAAGAGGATGAAACGTTCGCTTCTCCTCGAAAATTGGGTGCAGTTCAAATCAGCATCTGTGCGAGATCAATTTGTGCAACGAAACCACTGAAATTGGTGGCAGAGTTTTCTAATTTGTGTACACTTTTTACTTTTTTCGCTAGTGGAAGATCCTGAGCGGTCCTCTCAAAAAGAAGATCCTCAGTGATTCGAGAAGTGACATGTCCAACTCCAAGACTTCAGAGTTCAATGACGGTGCTGTCCGTTGTTGCCAACGTTGGCATTCGCACCACCTGAGGGAGACAGCGTTGTGATCATCTGATCTCTTCTCGCTTTAGAAAATCATATCATGATCATATCACAACGTTCCTCAACACAACGACAACAACAACAACAACAACAACAACAAGAAGAACATGATCATGATCATCATGATCATCATGATCATCATGGTCATCATCATCAACATCATCAACATCATCCACATCATCCACATCCACATCCAAATCAATCATCATCCTCATCTTCATCATCGCCATCATTTTTTCCCCTGTTCCTTTCCATCGTTCCACCTGGTTATACTGCGGCATCTGGACCACGTTTGCGGCCGCGCCGGCGGCGTACAACGTGGCCGCGTTGAGCGTCACGTTGAAGGCCGTGACGACCCTGCGTGGCGAGAGCCGCGAGGGCTGGAAGCTGTCGCGCCGTGGATCGGTGCCCAGCCAGGGCACCAGGTGCTGAGTAAAGGCTGCGACGCTGGGCCAGGTGGCTGAAAAGGTGCCACCTGGCGATCGGTGCTTTGAAGGGGAAAAAACCGGGGTGGAAAAAGGAAGGAGACTCCTTAAATGTCAAGTTCATTAGGTGTTGGTAAATGTCTACCATAAAGCATCATAAAGCCATACAAAGCCGAGTTTTACTGGTAACTTTGGACTGATAGGGGGCTTGATGACCACCAGTTGGGAGGATACAACTATATTGGGATGTTTGCAGGATATAACCAACTATACTGGGATGATTGCCAAGAATTGACAATAATGGGGTGAAGGATTGCTGGCTGGATCACAATCCCATTGCAATTTGGTCGTACACCCAGACAGCGCTCACATGCCTGCCATCACATGACACCTACAGCATCTTACAGCCCTAGCAGATGATGTTCCAGGCAAAACCCGCCATGTTCGATGCATTTCAATGCCATTTTCTGGCACGGTCGATGTCTTTTTTTTAACACGACATGGCACAAGGATATGTTTGTTCAATCTTGGATGACTTCCAAAAGATAGTGCTGAGCTGGCTTTCCTCATCAAAGAAGAACCACTCATGAAAACCTGCCCAACTCATCTTTTACCCAATAGTCATCTGGGCAAACAATCATCACTCCCAAATCAGGTAAAATGAGATGAACTCATAAACATATTCTGGAACAATAATCATTATTCTTTGTGGTATTGTATTTGTAAAAAACAACAAACAAACATATACAGTAACTGGTGTGTTTCCCATTTAATCATCGTCAATGCTGATGTCCCCTACGACTCAGTCCGTGCGCCAACGGCCAAGGCACAGTTGCACCAAATGTGCAATGCCTGCAGCTGGGCTACGTGATGACACATGGAAGTCACCAAAACAAAGAAAAAAGATAGCGACAGTTATAGGATGCTACCGGCCTGTAAGATACAATGTTGAATTAGACTTGTCATTCGACTTGTCTATATCCTTTTTTTGGCTGCGATAGAAAATTCATTTTATGTGCTGCCAACTGCTGACCCCTTCCCATCGCCAGTTGATGTGGATGTTTACGGCCATGTCCATGGAGAATATGAGCTTTGCATCATTGATAAACCATCCAAATTTCATCAATTTTCCATGGCTTTCGCCCTACTTTTACTGGTGCGTTTTACGTAGGGAATGGATGGGTTGCTGGGGGTTGCTGGGATGATGACATTACTAGTGATGACATGGATCATTCCCGAAAAATTCCCTGCATAAAACGCACCAGTAAGTTTTGTTGGACAAATCACCAAAACATCCGCTGAAAAGTTCAGCAATCTGCCCAGGTGCCCGCATCAAAGCCTGTGCATAGGCCTCGCTGGCGATATGAAGCCTTCGCCGTGCCTGTTCTTCTGGACTTCCCTCCAAAGGTCCCTCCCAGGATTGGTGATGCACGCAGCTGAAGATCACATCCTCAGGGCTAAACCTGGTACCTTTCGGAGTTCAGAAAATGTTAACATATAAATTATAAATAAAAATATGTGTGGTGTATTAATATATATATATATATGTATACATATTTATTTATGATTTACCCTCTGGTTATTTGACAAAGCTATGGAAAATCGCCCATTTATAGATGATAAAAATGATGATTTACCTATTAAATTATGGTGATTTCCCATAGCTACATTAAATAACCAGAGGGTAAATTATAAATAATATAATATATATATATAGCATTCTATAGTTTCTCAAAATATCACTATAATTACTATATCTATGGAGCTTTCTTATAATGGTTGATCGCCAAACCATAGGTTCCAAATGGTTCCAAATGGTTCCAAATGGTTCCAAATGGTTCCAAATGGTTCCAAATGGTTCCAATATTAAAATGGTCTAATGACTTGAATGATTTTGAGGTACCACTATTTTAGGAAACCTCCATATATTTATATATCCGTATATATATATATATATTATATATTGTGTATATGAGCGACGGCTCTTATTTGCGTATATGGAAAGTAGTATTCGGGCGTACCCGGGTTTGTCAAAATCATCATATTTAGCTTGTAAAACGAGGTAGGAACACCCCGAGAACGAGGTAGGCAAAAACTTTACGGGACTGGAGAACGAGGTAGGAACACCCCGTCAATTGCGTTATGTAACAAATATGGTTCGCAGCTCATATAGTGTCTTAGACTATGTGGGATTTGGATGGATTTAGCTACATTGGTTTCTATCCGTGGTTGGTATTTTTGAGAGATTTGAGATACGATACTAAATATGCAGGATATAAAATGATAAGTATCTAGATATATATATATATGTATAACTCCCCCAAATAGATCCAGGGTTGTCAGCGTGGAGATTAATCAGCACAAAAAAAAAACGCTTGGCTTGTGGGGATTTCACCATCCAGGAACAAATCCATGCAAATCTGGCTACCCTCTGGTAAACTAACATAGCTATGGAAAATAACCACTTATAGATATGATTTTCCATAGTTCTGTTAGTTTACCGGAGGGTATACCCGCCAGTAATTTAACACAAATATGCAACATCACAATGTTAATATAGGTAAATCAATGTAAATTATCTATGAATGGGCCATGTTCCACAGCTATGTTAAAATTGCGGAGGGTAATCGGCAATAATGATCTTTCTTGGCAAATCACCTGCAATGCTTTGGCTGTCAACCCGGTGGTGAACCCTTTAAGGTTCAGGTCCGCAAGCTTGTTGATAATTGGGTACTTGTCAGTTCACTTTAGTGCCCTTCTGTCCACGCCAAAATGGCTGGTCCATCCCCAATTTGGCGGCTTCAAAAAAAACTATGGACACCCAGTCACGTGCCGTTCAAGTATCCCCAACCAACATCTTGCAGTAAAATACTGGTTAATTCGCCAGCCAACTTGAGTCATATTAAGTTTATATGTTAGGACTTACTTTAGGATGGTTCCCTTAATCGTCCATTGTGGTGACGGCCAGCGAGGTGATTAACCAACAAAGTCTCAGCCTAGCTGGCACTACTTGGCTGTGTAGAAAAACAAATTTCGATATTTATATCATGTTATATCCCATATATATATATAACCATAGTTATAGGATGTTATAGGACTTGTATCATCTATATATATATATAATTATATATAATATATATGTATACCATTTTATAATCATCGTATATGCTGGTAGCCAAGCCGGCACGGCCAAGAAGCTCGGCCCAGTTCCTGCGTCATCAGGTCTTGTTCACTGTCTTGCAGATCCACCAAGACCAGCAGCCGCACGTGGCTCTCGGCAAAACGTTGCACCAGGGCGCCGTGTAGGGCTTTAATCTGGCTCAACTCCTGGAACCAATCACCGGAGGCGGATGATTCCAAGGAAACATGGCAAAAACCCATGGGATGCAGACTGCCTTCAAACATGGAAAACGTATAAAACCCCATGGATTTACCAATCCCTTGCCCCCATCTTTCCCATAATCATTAAAAAGATACCCCCAAATCATCAACCTTCGTGGAATGCGTCGGATTTTTTCATGATCATCCAGCGCCGATCGAAAGGCCACAAGAGCCAAGGTGTCACTGTTTAAAAGTAAACCATCCCATCTTGAAGCAAATTCTTGCCCCCCGAAAATAAACACATCTTCGTAGGTCGTAGGTGTCTATAAAAAATGGTGTCAACACATTCCCAAATCAACCATCGAAATCGTGAAATCAACCAGCGTCCTGTGTGCCATTCACCACTCGAATGAAGAGCAGGTTCTCGTTCTTGGCCTTCAAAAAGCGATCTGCTCGTCTCTTGAAGGTCTCCTGCACCTGGACCGGCTGGACCCAGAAAAACAAAGAAAAACGGCTGTCACAACCTGCAGCAGTGATTGATTTATTGTGATCGATATGTATTAATTAATTCTAATACATTTATAATGTATATATATATAGACACACCTACTATTATATTTTGATAATCTTAATCAATAAATATATAAATATCGTAATATACCTATAGCCTAGAATAGTCAATAGTAATATGTGACAATATGTGTAGTATTTGTGAATTATGTGTATATATATATATATACATATTGTATATTATTCCCGTATAATAACAGTTAAAGGAATCACTGCACTTCGAAGGAACCCTTCAAACATCAACAACGTTTTGAGAGCTTTGAACTTTGAAGTGATTACCCACCGAAAATCACCTGTATGGCCACTTGCGGCAACCCTGTTGTCCAGTGCAGGTCATTGTTCTGGATTGCGCTCTTTTGCGCCAGGTTTGAAATGTCAGGACCATCCAACATACCCTCTGGTAAACATACAAAAAGCTATGGAAAATCACCATGCTATTAATGGGTAAATCCACTATTTCAATGGCCATGTTCAATAGCTTTTTGTATGTTTACCAGAGGCTAATGAGGACTTCTAAAGCACTCAAAAAATGGCTTCAACTCCAACACCAAGTCCCCAGGTTACTGAAACATCGGCGAAGAATTTGAATCCGTGACATTGGTACGTACAACGTTTTGGGCGTTGTACGTACCGAAGAGTGTTGCGCAGGAGGCCATTTTTGCAATAATCTGGGTAAATTATAATAATTCACTAACCTGAAATAAGGCCTTTTGAGATGATTCCCCTTACTAACCATGATTCCAGGCTTCGGTCGCAGTGAGGTCGTTATAATTTACCCAGAATAATGCCTAAACTATCCCAAATATTCCCAATACTATTGGACCATTGGACCGTTGGTCAATTCCGGTCCATCTGGCTGAAATCTGAAATAAAAGGGGACCAAGGTCAAAAGTTAGGTGGATCATTCCATATCATTCCTCATCCTGCCTTGGCGTCTCGAATGTCATGGTGCCAAAACGAGCCACCCCACTTCATGGGAAAAACATCCTTAGCGATGGGTGATGAGGGAAGTATGTTCTACCTAAATTAGTATATGACATCATCGAGACAGACTGCTTGTGCAATTACATTGCATTAACTTATATGTACACATATCATATGTATATATATATATAACAATGATATTATGATTTCTACTATAATATATCTATATATATATATATACACATGGCCAAATGGCACATTTTTTGGGGGGCCTAGCATATACATTGTATTGTATGAATTGCATTCCACTGGGAGGTGTCCGTCTAACAGGGATGTTCGGCTATCGCTGCAAGCCCCTCAGGGGGATCCATGCTGGGTGGAGATCTGGGAGGGAGAGAATGCCCCAAGTCATCAACATTTTTATGGGGTGTATAAACCATCCCCCAATGCTAGGTTCATGATTAAATCCATCACATTATACTATACAACAAACACATCATTATTACGTATTTATTATTATTGTCATGATTGCTGTATATATTGTATATATATATATGTAATTATATATGTCTATATCATGTATATATATAATATGTAAAATTAATATATATATATATATTATGTATTTTTATATATATATTATGTATGTATATTATATATATATCTTATGTATATATATATATCATCATGTATGTATATATATATATATATATTATGTGCATATATATATATTATGTATGTATATATATATACCATGTGTGTATATATATATGTATATATATATATATGTATATATATACATATTATGTATCTATATATATATATAATGTGTATATATATATATTATGATGTCCACAAAACTATATTCCATGATTTCTGACATTGCGTAAAGTTCAGCCATTTTCCTACCTTGCATCTCTGTCTGTATAATATCAATTGATTCGAATGGAAGATTGCATCCAAGATTCAAGGCTTCCAATCTTGTGGCTGGTTCCGTCCCACTCCAGAAAGTCCTGCCGGACTTGTTCGCTGGGGACGAAGCGAGGGGATAGGGTGAACTGTTTGGCGTCGGAAGATGAATTCAACTATCGGCAAATTAGGATTCAACATGATTCAACCATCAATTTAGATGAATCACAACCAACTTCGGAAAATTATCAAGTTTTGACCCCTCCCCATCTTTCACAAATTCATACTTAATTTAATCGTTGTTTGATGTTGATAGACAGAAATCACCCGCCCGTCACGACGCACCATGTACGCACCACGTATCACCACGTCACGTGTTTTTCGTTCGGACACCGTGTCCTCAAAGCCGTTCTCCACCAAATGTGTGATGCCCTGGCAGTCGCTACGCATCCAATCAAAGGGTCCCGCAGCATCTCCTACAGTGCAAGGCCTTCAAGGGGAGCTTGCTCTGAGGCAAGTTTGTACTTCACCGGAGTTTTTTGTCCAATCCCCACTGATAGAACAGTAATTTACCGCTGTTTCACAGTAAGCCTATGGGAATTTGCTATGTTGCTTCGATCGATTTGGGCCATACTATCCCCCAATGTCGCATGGACAATGCTGCATGCTTGTGTTTCGCAAGAGCCTGTACTGTACCCTTCATGTTTCATGGTCTTTGAGTGGTCATGGGCAGAAGGTTTTGACGATCTTTGAAGATCTGCAAGTCTGAACATAGTTTTGAATAATATATTCAAAACATGTCAAAACTATGTTCAGACTTGCAGAGATTCAACAAAGAAAAGCAAAACACAGGAAAGAAGGAGACGTTAGCAACAGTACCCATAGGATCCATGTATGGTATATATGCTAACATGAATGGGGTATATTGATGGTAAATGTTACCATATATAGCATACATGGATCCTATGGGGTAAGACACAACGGTCGATGTCATCATGTCACCATGACCTACATCCTGGGACCACATCCACCGATCATCGTTGCGTAAAGGGTACAGTAACATACTCGATTTAATATGCTCAATTATATACTCAATATATGATATCCCTATATATATAATTACAGACTATAATTATATATAATATATCCAAATATACCCTCATCAAACGTGGCAAGCTGGAACATACCCTATAAAATCCTACAACGAGTCATGGTTTAGTTCGCTGGGAACCACTCGAATCATCACCGAGGGGCTGAGCCCTAAGGATTCAAAGGTGTTCGCAACGGCGCAGTAGGAGCCCAAACCTCACTGCGCCAGAAGACCATAGAAATAGTCAAAAATGGCCATTGAGTTTGTTGATTTACTCATGAAACATGGTGCTGTTCCAGTTTGTTGTGTCAGTTGATATACCAGCGAGTATATAGAAATTCATAGACTTCTCAGGTATATCATTTTTTCATCACTTTCACTTTCTCGATTTTCCTGGTTAAACATCACACTTATATATACTTGGACTTATACATTCCTTTTTTGTTGCTAAATCTGAATGTGTAAAGTGTTGCAACAATCATACAATGTGGTTGGTGGTTTCAACCCCTCCGAAAAAAAAAAGTCAGTTGGAGTTATTGTTCCCAATATATGGAAAAAGAACAAATGTTCCAAACCAGCAACCAGCAATCAATATCAATCAATTGTCTGTATCATTCACAGTAATCCCATCTTCTCACCCGGGGATGCGGAAAAGCTGACCATCACCGTGCCGCAGAACTGATCAAGTTTGTCTTGGACAAGAACTCCTGAAGCTGTGGCTTGTCCAAGCCTCAGCTATGCGCACCACAAAATGGATGCTGACCCCCAGCAAGCCCCCAACAAACGCCCATGAGGCCTGTCGTAACTGAGGTGGCTGTCATGTCATGTCGTAGACTCGAGACGCACTGATCACTGAGGCAAGAAACCCAACTGCTGTCTTCTCTGGCTTTGCAGGACCTGTGCGAAAAGAGGATCAAGTTTCACCTCAGGGCAGATCCAGCAGGGTGCAAAATGCCTGGCTCCAAGGTTCGTGGGCTTACAATGCTTACAAGCCCAAGCATCTCGCAGAGATGCTGCGACTAGTTCGGATATATGGTGTTGATATCATTTTGAGGCCCATTTTTGAGGTCATCCTATGATGAAATCACCACAATAAAGCCACCTTATCATTTACCCTCTGGTTATTTAACATAGCCATGGACAATCACCTATTTTATAGCTAGGTAAACCATCTATTTCTATGGGCCATCTATGCCATGGCTAACTGTTAAACAAACCAGAGGGTAAATGGATATAAATGGCCTACTAGTACTTGGATATTGGTCAAGTCTATCAATAAATGTCAATAAAACACCCCTGGATCCTGGAAAAAAAAAACTATTTTTTCATCTGTGGGAACCCCGCTGGTGGTTCCCAAGAAAGGTTGTTCCATCCCCAACATGAAAAACCACAAACAAAATCAACACTTCAGCAGGGTGGTCATGCTGACAATGGGAATTTCTACTGTTTGATGATAGGCCAATCATCAGTAACTCGGTTCATGGAGGATCTTCTGCCATGTTTGATTGCCTGTACCAGAGGGCAAACCCAAAATATTACACTGTTAGAGTCATAAGCATATGATATACCCTCTGGTAAACTAACATAACTATGGAAAATCACCATGCTATTAATGGGCAAATCCACTATTTCAATGACCATGTTCAATAGCTTTTTGTATGTTTACCAGGCCGGGTATCCCCATAAAATCCGCCATTTTTTGTGTTGGTTCACCTGTTGAAATATCCGCCATCCAGGTGGCCATTTCCTCAATGTCGAGATGGTGATGGGCCGGCTGCTCTTGTACCTGACCAAACCCAGGGTCGTCACCAGATCCGTGTGTTTCCTTTCAGAAACAGTAGCCTTAATAAAAAATACGGGATTTTCAGTTAAAACATTAAAACCCAATCGGCAAAATGTATAACAATATATTTGATCATTAAACCTGCTTGGCATCCTTTGATAAGGGGGATTAGTCGGGCAGCCCCCCCTTTTCAACGGTTAGTTGTTATTCTTCTGGGGCCAAAAAATGACGTAGTCAACCATCATTTCTGGTCCTTTAATAATTAGGTTTCATACGTATGCTTATATCCCCTTTGTTTGTGGTTCATGATGATCATGACTATTTTCATGACCGTTTGAATCGCTAGTTATGAACCACTTTGGATGTTGGTCCCATACACAAACAATCAACATTGTTTCCGCTTCATATACCCATTTGTGTGGTTTCATATCCCATCTTTATCGTGTCATGTTCCAGTATCATACTGTAACTTATAAACACAAACAAGAATGCTCATTTCCGAATTTCACAATCCAGTTTTTCAATGTTTTTCAGGGGTTGTCCATCAAGCCGCTGAATGTGTCTAATGTTTGTTTGCAAATAAACGTACTCCAATATCCCATGCTTGATGATCATAGTTCTGTCATCAGAAAATGACAGAAAATCGGGTCTCAAATCATCCAGTATCGTTAGTGAAATGCGTCATTCATAGCCAGTTGTAGATGATTTTTCATTAATGGAGCAGTGTCCAAAACCACCACGTCTCGTCGCTAGAAAGAGTGCTTGGTTGATAGGGTTCCCCCCCATTGGATTGTGATAATTTCCAATATATTGGTTAATTAGTACAATCCCCTAGACACCCATCCCCTTAATATTAAACACCCCCTTAGAAACCATGGTTTAATAGGGAATTTCCACATAATAGGAACCATTTATGGGGTGTTTAATATTAGGGGGATGGGATTAATCATCAACCAACTGGGGTTTTGAACACTGCTCAATTGCCCCAGTAAAACTCAGATTTCATCATAACCCTTCTGGTTGGTTCCAATACCCCCCACAAAATCACAAAATCCCATTATCTATCATATTGTTAGTATATATATATATATTTATTATATTTTATTATATTATATTTTATTATATTATATTATATTATATCATATTGTATTATATTATACTATATCATATGATATTGTATTGTATTGTATTGTATTGTACTATACATACAGAGTTTCTTACAGTATCATTATATCATATCCCCAATCATACGGGTCGTATCCTCTCATGATTGCTGCAGCCCCACCTGTGTTGCCGGTGCTTGCACCGCTGGCACGGGCGCAGCCGGCAACTGCAGCGGCACCGCTGGCGTCACGGGCGCAGCCGGCTGCGAGACTCGAGCCACCGGAGCAGGAGCCATGGGGACCCAGGTGGGAGCCATGAATGGTGCGCTCGGCATCTGATACCTGAGCCACCAGGTGATAGCTTTCCCTATGGTTTATAATTAAGATTATAATCTCCAACAACCCAGTAGAACATAGTAGAACTCCCAGAAAAAACCATCAACCATGGTATGTTGAATATTTGTTTGAAAGCTCAGGTGAGGGTCCATGGCTGAAAATGCGGAAAGTCCCGCGAAAACATGACATGCCTGGGACCTTTTTTTGGGGGGCCCCAAAAATGAGTTGGCCCAGTGCTGAGTGAGGACTTCCAAACAGGGTATTCAGGATCAGCGGGGAAGGGGTTACACCCTTGAACATTCTTTAACGGATTTGGTTCTCGAAAACCACTATCAACTATGTTCATTCGATTGGTTTATTTTGGAACATCTAAACGAAACAAACATATATCAGCATGTATCAGCATATATCAGCATCATATATCATATGTATATATCAGTTCCAGCCAAACATGGTGGTTTCCTGACATATGTTCGTTTACTTCTTGCCATTTGCATCATGCAGCATAAGATGGCCGTCTTTGCAGATGCCTTTGCCTTGTTGTATGACCGCTCTGAACGCGCGTCCTGTACCTGATGAGGTTTGTCAACTTTGTCATCTTGCTTCATGTACACACGAAAACCACCTGGTGGTGCCCCCCCAAGTTATATATATAAATGGGTTATAATCCCATTAAGTATAGATATATCACCTATAAACCATGATTATTGGACTTATTTGCACCAATTTAGCTAACGAACTGGGGCACCACCGAAAACCACCTGTTCGTTGAAAGTAATTTGATGACATGTAACGGTTAGAGCCCGAACAACAATTAGTGACGACACCCCCCAACCATCCCATGGAAACCTGGCATAGGCTTGACCGGCTTGCTACACAAAACAGTGTGGTGCCCCATACTTGGCGAAGTTATGCGAAGTTAGAGAAGAAAAAACTACATATAACATCATATAACTCCAATAACACAATAACTAGGGTTTATGGTAGATATATCTATAATTACATATAATTACATATAATTATTATAGTTTATTAACCAACTTGTAACTGGGGGGGCGCCAGCTGGTACCAAAGATGATGTCTCAGGACCAAGACCTGGGCCTTTTTTTGTTCTCCAATTCTTATGAGGCCCCCATTGGCGAAATCACTAGGTCGGAGCAAATAACAAGCTGACCTAACTATGGTTTACGGTAGATATATATATATTATTCTATAGTCAATGGGTTTACAAGCTTACAACCGGGGGTACCACCTTGTTATGGACATAGACAGCTTGAAACCCTAAACTTCCCCGAAACAAACTGACCATTTGGTCGGTCAAAAACTCGTCAAGTCGCAGCTGATACTGTGCATACGGAGGCTGAGGCATGACGCCCTGGAACTCTGTGTTTTTTCCTTTTGAAAAGCGTCGATTTTTGCCTTGGGCCTTTTTTTCCGGCTGCGGAGTCAGAGTCAGAGGGGGAAATCAATGGCCACCGATGATTAAAAATGAGATGATCTTGGAAATCGGGCCGGAGATCAATATGCTGATTATGCTGATTGTGATTTTTGATTTGACCATCATTCATGGATTTTGTGGATGTTTCATTTCTAGATATTTGTAGGCAACTGAATCTCTGCTTTAATAAAACTATGCTATGCTGATGCTATAGCTAGTTCATTGGCTCCCCAATTTGTTGGGAGCTCCACCCCCTCCCAACAATTACTGATGGTTAATTATTAATGATGGTTAATGATGGTCAATGATGGTTAATGATGGTTAATGATGGTCAATGATGGTTAATGATGGTTAATGATGGTTAATGATGGTTAATGATGGTTAATGATGGTTAATGATGGTTAATGATGGTTGATGATGATTGATAATGGTGAATAATGGTTGAATTGTAATACTGGTTGGTGGTTTCAACCATTGTTGAAAAATATTAGTCAATGGGAAGGATGACAACCCATATATGACATGGAAAAAAAAACATGTTTGAAACCACCAACCAGATTAAACAGAAAGAATTCGAAAGCCTATATGGCTAAAAACGCTACTGTTGTAGACCCAAGGCCATAAACGATCCACATTTTGCCACAGAAATGGGAGGAGGATCGTTCCACTTAGTGGTGAATCCATCCCCATGACCCCGTGATACATGGGGGTTTCCCTGCAGTCATGTGGGATCCCCAGTCGTCACCGACTGGGTCATCACTGGGTGACTGGGGGTACCATGACAAGATGGAAAGCTCCACATCAAGATGGAAAGCCCGAAAGCACCCGCGGCACTGTGGCGACAGTGGCACCTTCTCGGGTGGCGGTGGGCCATCATTCGCTGGCGCCAGAACCAAGGCCTAAGAAACGCAATATTTTTGGCATAGCAACCCCAAAAAAGGATGCAGCAAACGGATACAGTGTATACAGCAATCCCCAAAAAGTGGAACAAATAAAATCCTACAAAATGTGTCGTGATAATTTACTGTTTCTTTTCTGGGGTTTCGAATAAGGATCGCTATTTTCAGGGTTGCTCCTTGGCCACTCCAGATACCTTTGGGCGAAATGGCTAGACCCATTTTCACTCCCCAGTGTGGCCAAGATTCACAAGAAACTTCTCTGTAATTTATTGGGGGGTTGCTAGACAATCCCGGGTTCTTTTCTCACTTGCAATGATGAAAATGGCATGACACTGGAATAAAAGCATGTGGAATCTATGCTTAATGTTCTTTGTCTTTTGCTGGTAACAATATATTGGTAATACTGCATGTGGGTTTGTCTGAAAACAGGGTATATTCCCAATTATAGCCATTTAATAGGGATAATGATCAGCAAAACCATTGGGTTTAGGGGTACACTATTTTCAGACACACCCATGTAGTATCCACGATTGATCAAGCTAACATCAAGCTAACATAAAAGGGCCGCCACGGGATGGGGATGGGTAAAATCTGGGAGAATTCCCCGAACATTCACCATGATCACAGGCTTCGGTCACAGTGAGGTCAATATAATTTACCTAGACTTATGTGTAGATATATTATAATCATATATATATATAATAATAGTAATAATAATAGTAATAATAATAATAAATAATAATAATAATAAATAATAAAAATAATATATATATATATATATATTATATTAAATTATACGTACATATATATATATTGCAATATATTATATATAAATGTGTGCCTGACCAAAAAAATGTCTTGTTCCATGCGCCGGCCCCTAGAATCCGAATCCCTCGACTCGTTTTTCCCGACCTTGTGACCACCATTCAACCTGGAGCCGGAAAGCCTTTTGATTTGGTGAAATTTTCGATGGTGCGGGATATGGTAGATCCAACTCAATGGGTAAACACCAACTACTGGGGGGTAGAAACCTTGTGATGATGACATATGATGACTATGGGAACGGGGCAATTTTCAAACAAGGCTAATATAGCTTTCTCCCGAAGATTGAAGCAGCCAAGATGGAGGATTTCACCAAGACATATCTCAACTGGGGTACCAATCCACATCTCGCAAGCAATGATTTAGCCCATATCCTGAAATCATCAGTGTCAAGCCAGCATGTCATGAGCACCATGGATGTACTATTCATATACAATTTATGTACAGTACCAATCATCATCATTTGAGTCATTTGAGCCTTTAGCAAAAGCTTCACCGTTGAGAAAGATTTCCACCAACCAGTGGCTTCAAAATTGCCAATCTTAGATATACTTCTTTTTGTTTCAGCTGGCAAATAAATACCTATAAAACTGGTCATACACCTGTCTTAGAATTTCGCGGAACGCACCCAATTCTAATTATTCTCACTATCCCCATTTCACGGGTCATTTGGAGGGTATACCCCATTTTCAGAGAGACCCAAAATCATCTTAAGTTGGTTCCGGATGTCCAAATATTTTCCTATCCCCATGATATTCTCATTTGAATCACTGGAAACTGGTCGTTTTCATACAAAGCCATAGAAGTTGCATTAAAAGCTATTAAAAGCTATTACGGTAAAAGCTATGAAAAGCTATTAAAAGCTGGTTATATGTCCGATTCGAACCCCCAACCTCATGATGTCCCATGAATCCAGAACCAACACTGATATCCCTGACACCATTCTAAGCAAGCAATTATCCAGCATTATAACTGGTTGTAACCATTATATCACATATCCATATTCCATATATATAAGTTATTGTCATATAGTATCAAGCATATAATTGTCCAGTAACATAATCACATATAACCAGTATCATATATAATCATATATAATCTGGGTAAATCATCATATTTCACTAAGCTGAAGAGTTCGGCCAGCTATGGGGATGATTTCCCTTACACCAGCTATGGGGATGATTTCCCTTACAGATTCCAATTCCAGTGAGGTCATAGTGAGGTCGTTACATTTACCCAGTATAGTTGATGTTAGTTGTTTATAAGCCATGTTTTTTTTAGTGATCATTACTATACCACTATAATATATATATACTATAATTACCTGTTTATAACATGATTAGTTAGTTGTTCATAATTAGTTGTTTATAAGCCATCCAGCTAACCCAGGTATCAGTTGCAGGTCCAGGTGCCACCCCTGGATGCACCTGGGCCGCGGGCGCGCGGGCGCGGAGCCTGCGGAGCCTGGCTCCGCGGCTTTCCGCTTGGACGAGCCTCGGGCGAAGAACATGGTGCGTTTTTTTTCACGAAAAACATGGGTAAGATATGGTATTAATATAGTATATAACTGTAGTAATATGGTATATAACCATACTATAACCATTCATATGGGGATGGGTCAAAACCTTGTACCCCTGTAGTTCACATCAAAATAGCTGGGATTTATGGATGTTCATCCCACTAAAAATGGTATTAATAGGATTTAATAGGTATTGATCCATACCCATATGGTAAGAAGTGGTAAGGAGATGTTTTCTGGTTGGTGGTATACCTACCCCTCTGAAAAATATTAGTCAATGGGAAAATTTATTCCATATATTATGGAAAATAAAAAATGTTCCAAACCACCAAACAGTTTTGGTACAATTTGGAATGGTGTAAAGATGTATCAACAAAAAAAACAGTCCATGTTTTGGTAGAAACACTCGAAAAAACATGGTATAGTATGATGTGCCAAGAAAATTGATGAACATTGGGGATATGATCAGGGCAAGCAGTGGAAAAACACGTGTGTTTCCAACTATAGAGGAAAAATAAGTATCAGGTCTTGAGAAAAAATATGGTTTTGATACGATTTGACAAAAACATGCACCCTCTGGTTATTTAACATAGCCATGGAAAATCACCATGCTATTAATACGTAAATCAACTATTTCTATGGGCCATCTATACCATGGCTATCCATGGCTATGTTAAATAACCAGAGGTAAGTTTTGATGCAACAAGTTTGAGGAACGTTGGAAGCTTCAAGCAGCATTTTTGTGTGGGGTGGTATTTACTGGGAAGGGACCGAGATTTCCAATGGTTCATCCGTTTGAAACCAACGCTACCAAAAGAGACATTCACCAACAGGTCACCAACAAAAGAACGGGCATGTCATACATAGCAGAAATGTTTTTGTTTTTTTTCCCGCTTGCAGCCATCAAAACACATAAAAAATGAAGTAACAAACGTGGGAAGGTCAGCTGCAGAGGAAAATTTCGCTGGAACTCTGGAGATGAAAAGCGAAGAATTCTGTTTTGGTGAGTTATGAATTGGGTCAAACAGTTGGTGATTCAATTATATCAGCCGTCTCAATGCGGCTGAAATCTGGGAGTGAAGATGTAGCCAGCAAACAATCCCTCAGTTTCAATGGGTTGTAACATGTGCTAAGCCTCTAAGAACCATGAATGTTCAGCAGGATCTGTTGTTCATGCTTTGGCATTGTAGGATTTTTGACCTGGATTTACAATGAGATTGCGATTCCTCCATCAAATTGCCGAACAAAGAAGCTATTACCCCCGCCATCTAGTGCACATCTATTCAGCTTCAACCCAAAATCACACAGTAAACATAATGTGAACGGTATGAGTTAATCACAGCCCACGGTGGATGTATAAAACTGATTGTGGTTATTAACCCATGACATGGTTAGGATGGTTATATGTATACATAGACTGTGACAGACATCGTATATAATTGCATAATTATATATCATTGCACATAGTTGCATATAATTGTATGTGTATATGAATATCATATGTCTATATTGTGTGAAATATAATGCATAATTGTACGTTCAGTATAATCGGTTATGGTGATGTACATCACATCCCACTGACTGCGTCCCTGGCCAGAGCCGCAAGCCCCAGCCGCAGTTTTTACGGAGGGCTCTCGGTCCTGAAGCTACAAACACGGAGGTAACTACTTGGTCCGGCGGTGATAGATGGACGTATGATGACGTATGGTTTCGTGCATCATCATGTCAACTTAGATGCACTTTTCATCAATGGTAAAGTGGTAAAATCACCACGCAGGCCATTCAAAATGAACATGCAGTTTCAAAGCTGCATTTCATCATCTTTGCATTCCCTTTTCTGGGCTCCGAAAAAAACTACTTCAGTGGAGACATTGTAAGGTGTTTTCTTGGTCAGAGCGTAGCATCAAGTACGTGCTAGAAGGTACTTGAGAAAGTTCAGAGCGTAGCATCAAGTACGTGCTAGAAGTTACACGAGATACTACGCGTGCCAAGGAACGTTATTGTCCCCCCCACCCCAACCCCCCCCCCCAACACGTCTAACATTGCAACATCTACCGCGTGCCAAGGAACCTTATTGCCCTAACACTAAAAAAAAACGGAAAAAATGCGTTTCGTGGAGTCGAAATGCTCAAAATTTACAAAAACTGCGCTCCCGCTGTGACACCAGACACATGAAAACGCAAGAACGTTTCGTCACGCGGCCTTCTACGCCCGCCCAGCCAACTACTTGGGGAAGCATCCCTACGCAAGAATTCAATGATAGCTATACATATATATATATATACATATAATGATACAATGATAATGATATCATGATATAATGATGTAATGGTATACAAAATTGCACAAATAATTGATGTTCATAGGTACTTCTTCTCACTAGTCGGATTCATTTGATAATTAATGTTATCCATATATGTTATGTTAGGAGATGGTCATAACCACAGTATAAGCCAGTGGTTAATATTAATCATAAATTATACATAGATGGCTTCTTTATAGGATACAAAAAACTATGCATATCATGATACAAACCCTTTACTGAGATGCACTTTCAAGTATGGACCCTCAGTATGGCTTGGGGCATCCAGTATCGCAGTTTAATGCGACATATGGCAAATAATGGTTGAGCTAACCAGGGTTTATAATGTTCAAGCCTGGCTGAGAACTATTATTACTAATTTGGGGGGCTACAAAAATGTGGGGACACCAGAATTATCTAAGTTCTTGGTCAAGTTTGATAGGGAAAGTAATAGTCATGAGGAGCACCTCAATGTTGAGAAACACCCACATACCAAGACGGGTTCAAACTAGTACTGAAATTGGGATCAAAATGCAATAACAATGAGTTTGACATGGATAAACATCATCAGGAGCGAATTTTCATGGATACTTTCAGGGTTTTTTGGTACAGGATCAATCCCATACAATCATTGGTGAATCACTGCCTTAGTTGGATGTTCATACAAGTTTTTGATCTACCACATCCTTATCCGAATTCCAATCTCTGCAACAAGCATTGCCCTGAAATTCACAGGTTTGGGACTCGTCACATCACTGTACCATTTCTATGTCCTTAGCTGAAAAACAGATTCTTTGAGATGTTTGCCAACACGGGTTTCTACCAAACCATAAACAATCATAAACAATCTATATTGATCTATGTTCAATGGGCAATCTTGCTTCATTCCCAATGATTTTAAGCTTTTCCTGGTGATGTTCCAACTGTTGACACGGCGGGATTGGCCGCAAGTATTTGTGTGGTGAATCTAAACCAACTCTAGATATATCATGATATATCTATTATGAATCTACCATAAACATCCGCGTAAACCATAGCTAGCCTAGTTACTCTCGTCAATTTAGCTATCATGAATTATCACCCATCAATAACTCTCATCTCATCATCATCCCAGCTAGAAACATTCACGCATCGTTGCCAGGACTTTCATCGCCTACTGCGGGCTGAGTAGTCTGTCAAAGAACCTTTGCCCCCAGAACCATCATACTTTCCTACCGGAAAAAAAAACACCATTTTCCTGGCGAAAAACGTGTCCGTGTTTCTAGTGCTTCATCGGTTTTGGTCAGGCCTTGTGTCTCTTCATGTCAATCAATTTCCGCTTTTGCTTGTCAATCGGTTTATCAACCAACGTTCACATCAACCGGGCCCACAGCTTCTCTGTGTGTCCTGATCGCTGGGCGGAAAGAACGTCGTGGACGGCCCTAAGTCATAGCTGGATTCAGATGGATTCAGCTGGAGAACCATCCCCACATGATGTTTCATGTTGGGTTTCATGTTGGGGAAAAAGATGGGAATTTCCATGGAGTTTCATGGAATTGACCCTCCAGTAAATTAACAGTTCGACCCTGGTAGATAGGGGTTGGAAGATTAGTTTCCTCTAAAACATTGGTGATTTCCAGGGTCTATGTTAATCTACCAGAGGGTAATATGATATTTCATGGAGAAACTCTGGCGTTGCCGGAACCTCTGGCCGCTCAACCAGGTTTTTTTGTTCAATCGAATTTTCGGGCCTCCCAGGAGAGTTTCACACTGTGAGATGTTGCGGATTGATGGGAATATCAACCATCGGAATATCAGAATTGAATGATATGAAATGGGAATATCAACCAGGACTATATGGAACAATCAATATGGAATTTACCCTCTGGTTACGACTAACAGTTCGCCATGGAAAGATTCACCATGCTATTAATAAAGAACGGTAAACCATCTATTTCGATTAGGGCCATCTGGCTACCATGGCAAACTGTTAGTGATAACCAGAGGGTATATGAATTTATCCTCTGGCAAACATGGCTGGCTGTGAAATCATCATCCCTTCCCATCCCTTCCCCCCTTTTACTAAACGTACCCCACATACTAAAAGCTAGGGTCCATTTTAAATGTTGGATAGTTTTGGGATAGTTTTGGAACTTGGCCAATTTAAATTTTAAGTGATCCCCCTTAGAAAACAATTTAAAAATGAATGTCCCATTTGATGGTTTCACCCCATAATAATAAAAACTCGCCAACACTGGGGTGTTTTTTATTAGGGCCCGTCCTTTAAGAAAAAAAGTGTTATATTTAAGGTTAAAATTTGATATAGAGGGGAACCATCGAAATCCATTTTTTTGCAATATATTAATTAGATTTTGAAAGGAAATTAATCGATTTTGAAATATATATATATTATATTTCAAAAAATAAGTTTTCTAATTCTAATTCAGGATTTTAATTTAATATTAGGGGAACCTTTTTATTCTGATTTTGAAATCGGAAAAATAGTTTTTATTCTTAAGGTTTTTAATTTATTAATAGGGTCCGCTTCGAAATCCAGTTTTTGGCAACATGTGAATTAGATTACAAAAGGAATTGAATCGATTTTGAAATAGAAAAACTAACTATTTATATAATCATGTTCTTAATTTAGTATTAGGGGGATGCTTTGCACCCTAACACTAAATACCCCCTAATAGTAAGAACTCCTCCGGGTGTTTTTGTATGGGGGGCGGGGGTTAATAGGGGGAAGGGATTAAATAGGGCATTGTTCACTGCAATGTTTGGTTACCAGAGGATACCAGAGGGTATATGAGGTTCCTAGTCTTTGCTAAAGAAACACAGGTATCTTCTTGCCGGATCCAAAATATTGTCATGAAACTTGCACAAGAACAATCCGTTCGCCATTGAAATTAAGGTTTGCTGTATGCAAACAGGAAAACCGGCGGGACTAATGTCCTTTTTTTGACATTGATCATCATGCGTTCATAGGTTGTTCAATGGTTGGTTACCTCTCTGTCTATTGATCAACCAGTTGAAAACCGACATCTCCAGCAATTGAACCTGGCAATGGGAAATCCAGATTTAAATGCGGGCAGATTATCTACAAGAATGTGTTATTTTACCAGATTCCTAATTCCTAATGGCCAATATTGGCCAATATATTTTTATATACATGCTGTATATCTATATAATTATTATATATGTAACTCTATCTCTATTATACCCGGTATATACCTTCCATTTTGAGACAAACTCATTTCCCGTTGCCATGCCGAGCGCCGCGTCAGGTCCAAGTCACTCGATGCCGTTGAGGGGGCCGCTGGCGCGGTCGCTTCTCGACTGCTGTCCCCGTCAAAGCCTAGCTTTTTGATGGGAACAAACTGCCGACTACTTGGGGTGCAGTTGGGACTACCGGCACCAGTATAACCATGTGTTTTTCACACTCAAGTTGGGATATTACATGGTTTTATACTGTTTTATATCCACACCAAAAATAGAACTGCACCCCCAAGACCCCTTTGTTGCAAGGGGCATGGGGTTGTTCCAAAATGGTGAATACTTCCAATGTTATGGCATGTGCCATCAAGTGGGGAGAAGCATGCTCGAAACCATCAGATGAAATAGGTCTACTGGTTGCGGGATTCAAGCAGCAACAAACAAGTTGGTGTTTTATATTGTTTCATATTGTTTTATTGCAGATGGGGATATCAGATATCTATCACGGGATATCACTGACTGAAAGTAAGGAAGGTGAGTCTAAGATTGGTTCTTGGTTCTTAAACCTAACTCAGAAAGACAAGTTATGATCTTCATTCCAGGAATAGGGAACATCTGCTAGACATCCCCATTCTGCTGGGGAAATATATGGAAATATAGTATATAATGCATAGGTATCCTTTATCTTTCCATTCAATCAACCCTCAACCCTGCGACTTTCAAAAGGACACCATAGATGAGATGTGGGTATGATTCACAATTTCCTGGTTTACTTATATAGTGGATTTCTTCATGTTGAGTTCTGATCTGCGATGATTATTCTTGCAAGAGATTTATGCCCAATCTTTGATAGTGGTATCCATAGATATCCTACTGTACTTCTTTTCTTAAGCTTAAGCTGGATATTCTAGTGGAAAAAAGTCTAGCAGCACCAAAACTGGAAATCAGTGTGGAAACATCATTCACAATACCATCATTTAACGTAGCTATGGAAACCATGGCCTATTTATACATGATAACAATTATAAAAATGATGATTTACCTATCAATAAATGGTGATGTTCCATAGCTAGGTTTTTTCATAACCAGAGGGTACCCTCCAAAAACGCAAAACGGCCCCGCCTTGCCGGAGGATTTCAAAGAGGTCCTCGAAGTTGCTTTCTTCCGGCCTTGGCGGTGAATGAACGGTTTCTCACTATTAGCGAAAAAAAAAAACTCATACCCATATGCTCCATGTATGGTATATTTACCTACATTTGGGTGATTTTTAGGGCAAATGTATGCAAATGTTGGTAAATATTCCATACGTGGAGCATGGGATAGTATCCTATCCCTATTGGGAGTAGAGATGAGTAGAGTTTGAACCAGTACAATATCATCTCAATATATCCCAACATTCCACTATTGAAAATAAATCATGTTAGTAAAGCACTAGGAAATCATCTCCAATTTTGCAATTTTTATGGGTGCGATTCCAAGCATCAATTCATATGGGTGGTTTATGACATGTTTTTTGCCAACATTAGCTTCCACCACAGCTGCAGGTACACCAGCAACAGAGATGTGAACCAAAATCCCTATTTTTCCCAAGTTTCGGATGCTGGGGTCCCTTGCTGCGTCGCAGCAGCCGCTGGCTGCCTTGAATGAAACGTTTGGGCCAAAAATGGGGAGGTCACCGGGAAAACAAAGGAAAACTATAGACGTTTCGACTGAAAATCAATGAAACATCTGGATTTAAACCGATTTAACCATCAAAAACGTGGATGTCACCAACCGAAATTTGGATTTCACCAACCAAAAATGGGAAAGTTGATGAAAGTTCCCCATTTAGAAACCGAGAAATGATCATCAAAGGAGGAGTTCCGCATCATGTTATTTTCGTTCACCGCTTCGTCTGGCTTTAAGAGTTCAGGTGAGAAATCCACACAAAAACAGTTGTCAGCGGATTATATGGCAGTTCCTTTTTGGCATCGAAGTAGCAAAAGAGTCTTCCAGTTGTTCAAGTCATTTCAAGTCACTGTTGGCCTCGGGCTTTTCAAGATCAACCAGGCTGTGGTTTCTAGCAGCTTAAGAGACCGCATCTCTTGCGCAACCAAGGCCGGAGATCGAAACTTGGTGATGGCCATGTTGTTCTTCAAAGTATGACAAAGCATTTGAAGAGATCAGGTCAAGCAGCACGATCGCAGTAGAGCTATATTCATCTAGATTCACCAGGTGAAAATTCATAAAAATCCCACTTCATTAAATTATTGGCTATATCATGATATAATGGCTATAATCCCATTTATAGCCAATATTAATCCATAAAAATCCAATCTGAATATTGGCTATAATTATTGACTATAATTATTGACTAGTATAACCAACCCTTACACGTGTTACACGGTATCGGAATTCAAATGGATTTGGTAGCCCAGTTTTCACCAGTAGATTCCCGTTGGACCCAACATAAGAATGAATCCCAGGATTGTTGGAATCCCATTGGAGACAAGTTAAAGCCTATGAAACATCAATGGACGTCGATCAAAAACGTGATTAATACTATGAGATACTATGGTTTCACTTGGTGGCTAGCATATGAATCCCAATGGTTTCGATTTCGGATTATTAGTTCATATGTGATTTTCGTGGATTACATGGTCAATCTTTGATAGTCCACAAAAAAAAAAAAAAAACTTTTGCTGGTTGTGGTTACCCTCTGGTAAACTAACATAACTATGGAAAGTTAACCATATTTCTTATGGCTAAATCCACGAACTAAATGGTGATGTTCCATAGTTTTTTGTATGTTTACCAGGAAGCTATTTTCCAATTTAGAGCAAAGCTCATCCAGTCGCTTGGGAGTTGTTCTTTGTATCATCCCCGATGTTCATCCATGTTCATCCCAAATGATCCGATCGTCATCGCCATTAAAAAAACTGGGATGACTACTGGCCTGGCAGCGCAGTTGTAATTTATATAATCATCGTGATGATCTATATGGATGTTATATGGATGTTATATGATGTTATATGCTCTATCTATGGTATACCTACAAAACTGGGTGATTTTCTTCGGGCAAATGTTGGTAAATATTCCATACATTGAGCATATGGGTGATGTTATAATCACTTTGCCAATCCTATAGCCATTATACCCTCTGGTAATTTAACATAGCTATGGAAAATCATCATTTATAGTGGATTTTCCCATGAAAAATTGTGATTTTCAATAGCTATGTTAGTTTACCAGAGGGTAATCCCCATTGCCAAAGTATCCCACCCATCCTCCATGTGTCTCCAAGTGGCGCTGGGCTCGAGATGGGTGTGGCGGGTGTGGGCTCTGGCTGCCTCGAGAACGACTAGACTGGGCGGGTCTGCTGTCTGTACAGTACATGTATTACTACATCTATGATATATGATGTATATACTGTATTGTATTATATATGGCATTTATTCAATGTACGTATATTATACATATGTGGTTATATATATATATTTATTCTATATACATGTGGTCATATAAATATATTTACATTCTATATACATGTGGTCATATAAATATATTTACCCACTATAGATGCATGTCTGTATGTATGTATATATATATACACATTTATACACATTTGGCTAAATTAACGCTTCACATACTTTGCCAAGCTGAATGATTTTGACGTTGGGATCACCATCATTTCTGGTGCCGCCGTTCGTCGTATCACTCGGACACGGATCAAACTGTTCTGGCAGAAGGGGAAAACAGTAGTAGTTAACCATAGATAACCTATGGATACCTATGGATACCTATGGATACCTATGGATACCTATGGGTCAACCATAGATAACCATAGTGGGCATGCAGCATTCTTCCACATATGTGATGTTCCAACAGTTTTCACAAGGAAGCCATCCGCGTTCAGGATCATCCCATTCACCGCAGCATAGTTCACCAATCTATGGAGCTTTCCTGACGAATATAGGGATAATCCAAATGAAAAAAATCCTTCATTTTATTTCGGAACCCATGGTTTTGGGCTACCTTCATTTGAAAAAAAGACACCTTCAAATTGGATAAGTAATCCCACTTCTCCGTGGATTTTAAGCAGACTATTGTATCCCTTTCTGCCCACTGGCCCACCCAAATTACCCCAAAGTCAACTCTGTTGGGCTACGGCTCAGGTGTGCAGAGGGCTTCAAAAAGGGCCGTCTGCAGATGCTCATCCTGCCGAGGCGCAAAGGTCCCAATTTCTGGCGATACCCAATGCCACAAACCATCCCATTAGCCAACCATTTGCGGCTCATTTTTACATCATTGCAAATAGGGATATTATATAATGATATATAATGATATATACTGATATATAATGATACATATATATATATACGTATATATACACAATCATAAACCTCATTGATGGTTTATGGCATTGGGTTTACCACATTACTTTTGTTGCCGCCACATTTCTGGTCATTGTGGTTCGGCCCCAGTTTTGCTGGTGAAAATCCACATGTTTGCAATTCAAAATCAAACATTTTCCCAAGCGTTTGTTGGTCAAACATACCTTTCTATTTGTGTTCAGATCATTTGAGATCTACACCTTGACATCCCAATTCTTTTTGGATTGAAGTCCCAACTTTTGTTTGTTTGAAGTGATCATTTCGTTGGCGCAACTCTGTCAAAATCCACCAAATTCAACAGAGAATCAGCCAAAATCCAGCGCAAAATCAACCAAAATCATCCATAACATGCCAGAAGATCTACCGAAAACCCATAGATCTCACCTAAAATCTGTAAGTCCAATCTGCCATGGAGTCCAAAATCCCTCGGGTTCCTCGGAGTGCAGCTCTCCCTCGTCCATGGATCATCGGGAGCCTATTCTATGGCTGTCCTGAAAATTGGAGACCTCAAATGGGCTAATTTTTTTCGGCTGTGGACAAGTCATCAAATTTTTTTGGGGGGGTACCACATTTTTGACCAAAACCCATATGAAGATATGGGGTGAATTTTGGATTGGTATAATAAGTGCTAAAAAATACTTGACTGTTTGTTGTCAACTGGGTTGCAACCTCAGGTAAATTCCTCAGAAACGTGGAAAGCAGTTCTTTTCCTAGGCAAATGATCTACACATGGCGTCTCTTCCATATCTATGTGTGTTTGCATGTGGATGTAAGGGATTGTTTTTGATTGTTTTGGAGGTATGCTTTCGGGTAATACAACTCACTTTGACTTAACTAGGTTGATGTTCATTTTGTCGAACAGCCCAGTGGCTTTACCGCATCAATTTTGGTTTCCCTACGGCCTACGGCTGGTTTTCTGAAATTGTGATTATGACCTTAAGTCAGCTTAAGTCAGCTTGCTAAATGGGGTCTGAAAATAGGGCAACCCTAAATCCACTTCGTACTCACGATTTTCCCTGTCACCTCTTGAGGCGATTGGCAAAGCTGAAGCCAAGGGCAGCCCGATGGGCCACTGGGTGTTTCTGGCACCCCGATGCAAATATGGCGTTGAAGCTACCAAACCAACCAAGTCTAAGAGGTTCTGTTCTGTGTATGTCATAGTCTAGTCTATACTAATATCCTTCAATTGAACAGTTCGCTAGCGCTAGAGAAGGAATGGCCCATTTAGTCCAATGATTTACCAGTAAATTGTGAAAAATGGCTTATGTCAAATTACCAGAGGGTATTATTAACCTTGAGAAACGCTCATTTTGTAAGGAGACATCAAAGTCATCCGCTTGCGTTCAGGACACTCCTAAGCTCAAATAGTGAATCTTACCAAAATAATTATCACTCACCATTGGAGGATTGCAGATCATTGGCGTGCAACCAATTAAAGATCTTGAAAATCAGGTAGCCACTGTGCGCTGGCACAAAAATGATCTCACTCAAAGTGGTTTCAAACTGAACTCCATGAGTTTTCGTAGGTAAGTCTCTACCCAGCCCACGTCAATTTCCCCCGTGCACAATGTGGGGGACGCCTGGATATTCTTGATGTCCATGGTGCTATACCTCAGACACGGTGGTTTGACGTGGGGATGATCTTAACGCTTCCGAAACATCAACAAAAACTGAGGAACCAGCAATCCCAGGTTGAACCCATGTACCTTGAATCTTCTTGACAATAGTGATACAAATGGGTACAAATGGGTACCATATGCCACCCAAGTCTCCGTAACTTCCGGAAATATGTTGCTTTGAAATCTATGTTTGTTGCACCCCATGGGTTCAAACCTCAATTTCTATCAATTTGTAGGTGGGGCCCCTATTGTTTATAGATTGGTTTACAATCCCCCTTGACCACAGATATATCTACCACTAAAACCCTACTTCACCTAGTTAAAAACCAGCTTAGCTATAACCATGGATTATCATTGTTATCTCTGCAATATTCCCGCATGATTTCACATTATTACTTGTTTATATCCCATGAATAGCCATAGTCAATAGTTCACCAAGTTATTTGCACCAACGTAGCTTGTATGATCTTCTTCTCACCGTGTATGATCTTCATTCATCCCTATCAAATCATATGAAATCCCTATCAAATCCCCTTTAATGGGGGTAAACAATAATAAACCAACCATTTGGGAGTTTATACCACCTATTTATGGTGAAATTGGGGATGGTTTATTATTGTTTTACACACAGTAATACCTATAAATATGGCAGTTTTGGCGAGGGCACAACTTCATCATCAGGACGGGCAGGTCTAGGGCGTTGTAGAGCAACATCAGAAGGACCTCAGACACTGGAGAATTCATGGCTGAACCAGTCATTGGGGATTTGTATCATGGGTTAATCGATATGTTTATGTTTTTGTTGATGCGAATTTATGGAAGATATCATGGGAATTTTTGTCTGGACATATCATGGGGTATAAGAATAGGTTTCCTATCGTTTCCTGCAATTTCATAGGGTTGACCATGGAGGATCTCATGGTTGCATGATCAAAATTCAAGCACTGCAAGGCCTTTTTGCAACGAATTTTGGTCATGAGATTCCACCAAAATTTGGCCAAGGGAGTTTTTTTTTCGTGGGGATCCCGACCCAAGGTGACCCTTTGGTCATGGTAGAAAACTACTGCTTGAGATTGGGAGTTTCTATGAGTTTCTGCACCAACCACTGATTTTTGGCGGATTTTTGGGTTGTTGATCTTTGATTAAATCTCGGGGAGATCATCTTTGGAGTACCGCCTTTACCACAGCGCAGCCGGTGCCATGCCATGCATGGCACGCATGCGACACTAACCTTACCAAGCGCAGAGCAATCCCAAATATGTCAAAGTTGACCTGGAAAATACCAGTTAAACGCAGTCCCTATACATGTATATAATATAGACAGTATATACAGTACATATTTGGGATTTTCTTTCTGTCTGATCGATGGCTTTGGAATGGAAATTGAGCCACATCGAACGAATGTTTGGTGAGCTCCCACCCACAATTTGTTAACCGCAATTCAAAGAGGGGTGGAGCTGGGGTGTGCTTTTCCCAGATTGGTGCCAGACCGCTAGATTTTCTCATGAACCCCCACAAGCGGTCATGTCCAATAAACTCACATTCTAATAACCAAACCACTTTTCAACTGAAAAAAAAATAGAGATGAGGATCTTTGAAATATTCCGATCAGTTAGAACCAAAACATGGTTTCTTTGACAAACAAATCATATTCCAACGCCACTTCTTTGGGTGAGGCTCAACGGGGTTGCTCCCAACACCCCAGATATGAGGAAAATACAAAGGTTCATCAAAATTATATACAAATTTACGCCCCAAAAGCTGCCATCATGTACTTTACCATTACGTAACATTGTAACTGAACACTATACAGTAATAGGTCGAATCAACCCGCCCCCTTTTTGCTGCTGAAATCCACCATCTCAAGCCATTTACAGCTATCAGTTTCCCATCATTTTGCCACCAAACATCGCGACCCATGGAGAGCACCTTGAACCCGAAGACGTGAGGTTGTTGAGCCAATGCCATCTGCGCCAGCCTGTTGGATGGTCGAAATTGACAATTGGAATAATGTGAGAAAAATAAGAGAAGAACCCATGGTTACGCATCCATTGTCAAAATGGCCCAAAATGGGGCAATGTTTATCTCATCAGAGACGAGGATTCACCAAGTGAACGAACTGGAAACATCAGGGATCATCTAAGTGCTATGCCATGGCTAATTGGAATTTTTATATGTATATATATATTATATATTATATATATACATATGTTTTTTGGTAAATGCAAGTCACAAATTGTGTGGAATGATTACTGGCAAGATCTAAATCCAAGATTGTCAGCATCTCTAACGAAGCGGCATCCCAGATCCATAAATGGGGTACCCCAAGCTCGCTGGTTTATGATGGAAAATCCATCTATAAATGGATGATAACTAGGGCTACCAGCATTTTCAGGAAACCCCCTATATCCCTCCATGCATGGTGTATTGATAGCTGCACAGCTTGGGTCGTCTATTGGACCATTGCGTGGGTAGATCTTGGCAAAGTCTGCCAGGAATTTTCGCTTTGGATGCTTGAAGTCCAAGCCTTTTCTAGAAAGTCATTGGCGATGTTTGGAAAACAAGTTGGTTTCCAATTTTTGATGATGGTTATAGTTTTTACTTATTACTGCCTCTACATCTTACCATTCCTGTACTTATCGTTGTGATCATCAATGGGTTGAAGCGTAAATCTCATATAGTTTGTCTTTTTGCAAGTATCCTCCAGTGAATTAACATAGATATGGAACACCCACCATTTGCAAATCGCTTTGGGAAAAAATATGTTCATCACCTCGAGGGTATATGGACCCTATGGGTTGGGTATTCTGGCTGAATTATATTGAATTATCATAATGCACGAACCTGAACATAGCTGATTTTTTTCGACACTGATCTTCTCTTTGGCCGGCTCCCTCCCAGCAAGAAAGGACCGGCAAGCTGATTTTTTTCGCCATTTGGAGACGATTCCGGTGACGTCACGACGTGAGGAGATTGATGATTGGTTTAATCCCTATGAGTCACTGCAAATCACCATTACTCACCATTAAGCCACCATTAAAGTCACTAAATCCATATGTATATACTGTATATATATATATACACACCCATAGTTATTATGATAAATCCATAGATAATCTGATTATCTATACTCATAAATCCATAATATCCTACAAAGTGGGGCCCCCTAGATAGCTAAGTTGGTTTATAACTCCAATAACTATGGTTTATGGTACTTATAACTATAGTTATTGGGGCTTATAAACCAACTTATAACAAGGGGGCCCCACTTTGTAGAAAATTCCAGAATAATTATCCATATATTAATTAATACCGTGTAAACCCAAGCAGTGATGAATTCCCCCTCCACCGATGTTCACCATTTTTGTTTCGCACCCGATCGCGTCCAACAGGTGCTGTCGACCCGGGGCCTGGGTGCTGTTTGGAAATCATAGAATGTTTATGTGGTTGAATGGGATTTAATTGGATTTTTCTTGGGATTTATACGATTTTAAATGATTTTAATGTTGGTTTTATGGAACTTCATGGAATGTTCTTCATGGGATTTAACTGGAATAAAAAAGGGATGTAAGGGGATGTTTTATTGGACTTGGGATTCAAGTTTAGAATATGAATATCATGAGTATACTGACAGTGAATGGGGAAATGATAAGAATGGGGATCCCCCAGAGGTGACCCCAAAAAACCACCAAATGCATAGGCCGAAACCCCAGTCCACGTTTTTTACGCACATGGGTGCGTCATCATTTATCAAGGGTCGACCCTGCGGCAATGAAACATAGCGAAAATGATCCATTTATAATGATAGTAATGGGAGATTATATGTATTGATAGTAATAGATGATAGTAATAGATGATAGTAATCAATTTTTGTAGGCATTTATAAACGAATTTTCCCATGAAAACCTCTATAGTATTTATAGGAGATTTCATGAGATTTCCCATTGCCATGTTTGATTGCCAAAGAGTATGTACAATGGGTACATCACCTAGTATGAACCTGGAGTTGGCGATTTTAAGTGTTCACTCTGGTGATACAAAGATTTCATCCTGACAGGAGATTTCAGTTGCCATGTTTCAAACGAGGCAAAACTGTTGTGTCATCTCAATATCAAGCCAGTATCAAGCCAGGAAGCCTACAGTATCTACCATGTAGGAATTATATTATTATATGGAATTATGATAAATGGAAAAACGGGGATTCATATATGAATTTAAAAAATCTGGCATGTTATGGATTTATGGATATTGGATAATGCAATCCATGTAAGATGATGCATCCAGATCGGAAGATGGAATGGGGGCATCCTGCTTCATGGCTAGCTGGGACCATCCTACGAATGAAACCATCAGTTTTGATGAGTTAAATCCCGCTTTTCCCCTATGTTTGATGGTCAAAAAATCCCATGTTTGCTGCTAAATCCACCATGAACCCGGACAAGCCAACAGTGATAATATGTGATTTTATGGGGCTAGGGGTCAAAATTATCAACCACGCAAAACGGATGGTTAGTACCATTAAATACCCAGAAATATCTACCATAGTTATATCATATTGGCTAAATATATATATATATGTATACTGAAACTAAACCATTTTGTGGTTCCATGTGGCGCAAAATTGGTGCTCTAAACTAGTGACCCATTCCCACAAGTGATATTTTCATGGTCAGAATTCACTACATTTTTTCTTTCTAAAACCACTGAAATCAGACACTGTTGATGATTAAATACGCATAGTTTGATGATGTTTGATGCTTAACTCATCTCAAAATCCAGGTCAAAATATGTTAAAATCACATAAAATCACAGAGTTTTCTCGGTAAACACCCATATTTTTCATCGTTCAACGCTTCAACGCCTTGGCCGGATCTGCTGCACGATCCGCCTCTAGGAGAGCCACGACCTGATTTGAAACAAGGCTGGCATATCAATCCTAATGGATTATAAGATTTCTATATATTTACCCTCTGGTAAACGTTAGCAAAAAACTATGGAAAATCACCATGCTATTAATGGGTAAATCCACTATTTCAATGGCAATTTTCAATAGCTATGTTTGTTTACCAGAGGGTATCTCATAGAAGTCTAATGGATTATAGTTGTGATGATAGTTCTATGAGATACGATTGTTTCAAAGGTTGGCTAGCATATGAACCCTAATGGTTTCTAATGGTATACTATTAATCCTAGTGATCAATGGATTACATGGTCAGTCTTTGGTAGTCCACAAAAAAAAGATCTTTTGCTGGTTGTGGTTATTTTCCATCTACATATTTATATGTGGCAGAAAACTCAAGGAATAGTTTCTACCTATCCAAGGTTGGGAGTTAAATGGTGATCACTGCAACTGTTGCCCTGAAAAAGACTGGTCTCATGGGATCACCATTGGGCAAAGTTGTTGCGATGCGAGAGGAACCAGGAAGACAAGTGGAGATTTCTCCAGCACACTTGATCAGATCATTGAAAGATACTATTACTACAATCTGGTTGGTGGTTTAAACCATCTTGAAAAATATTAGTCAATGGGAAGGATTATCCCATGTATTACGGAAAATAAAAAATGTTTGAAACCACCAACCAGACAATTGTTATGTTTGACGTTCTAAACTACACTATACAAAAAAACTACACGCTTGTTTTAGACAATCCATGACAATCCTGGAATCCTGCTTGGGCTTGTACCATCTTCAGAAAGGTCAACAACCATGTTTAGAAAATGTTGCTTACATCATCCTCCAGAAAAAACACAGTAAACATGTGCAAAAATGCAAGAATTAGTGCCAAGAAAGACCCAAAAACATGACTACATAACTTAATGACCACGCCACAGTGGGATATGACATGTTCCGCCATCAAAATGGCCATGGCGGAACAACCCTTCACCAGTCAGGCCAGGAATAATCCTGATTGGTAGTGGCAAATATAAATACATAATGTATATATTTATTTATTTATTTATTTTATTTATTTATTTATTTACATTTGTATATATATATACACAGTACTATGTGTTATATATATAATGTTATACATACATGTATATATTATGTGTATATATATATATTATGTTATATATAATGTTATATAATTATATATATATATTATGCTATATAATTATATGTATATTATGTTATATATAATGTTATATATATATATAATGTTATATACTGTATATAATGTTATATATATATATAGTAATTGTAATTCATAATGCATTACAATAATATACAATACATGATGTTCAATTGATTTGCTGGGTAAGACAGAACTCTTTGCCAGTTCATACCAAGTAACTGCCAATTGCAGAAGTGCATCCGGTCCACCCTCAAAGCCTGTTGCACATTTGGGGGCCATGTGAAACTTGCAAGTGACGAGAGTACTAAGTACCCATATGCTCCATGGTGCTGGTATATTTACCTACAAAACTGGGTGATTTTGCTCGGGCAAATGTTGGTAAAGATTCCAGCACCATGGAGCATATGGGAGATAAAATAGTACAGTTCGGTGAGAAATGGGAAAGCTCTATGGCTGGGTTTACGACAGTTACAGCATGTTACAGCTAAGAATTCATGGTAAAAGGTGGTGCCCCCGTGATAGCGAAATCGCTAAGTTGGTGAACATGACTCCAATAACTATATACAGTTTGTAGGGAATAGATCTATATTATCTAGTCTATACTTCATGGGGGGTTGTAAACCAACAAACACCACTTTTTCGGGGGCACCTTGTATGATAACCTTGTCATGTCATGTCATGTCGTAACTGGTACTGGTTTCAACATGTTTAACCCATCGCTTAAATATTCTCAACGATGATCCCAGGATGCACTGCGAAAAAAATGACTTGGATTTTTTAAAACCGTGGGAAAGAGGAAACACAAATAATTCAAATAAACATCCGTATAGAAAACACGAAGCGGTGATATGTTGCTTCACGTCTCATCCCTTTTCGTCCCTTTTTTGTCCTTTGTTGGTTGGTTATATAGTTTATGGTTGTTAAATCCGCATTTCTTTGTTTCAAAGCACATACCAGTACGATTTTGGATGGTAAACTATCCATTTATGGCTTTATGTCAGTATTGTTCATAAAACATGAGAAATACTAGTTTTGCTTGGTACTGTAAATCCTCCATATTTGATGCCTCAAAGCAATATTTAAAAACAACAAGCCGGAATGAAGCAGGCATGATTGGTAAATCATATTCTTTCATTCATGTTTCATGATTGTATCGCCTCCCCAAACTAATGATATAACTGGTAAATGGATGTAAATGGATGTTCCTTCTCCCCAAATATGGTACAAAAAGTGGTTTTGATCCATCCCCATAGGTCCCCATATCATAGGTTGTACAAAAATCCAATAAGGCAGTACTAATCACTGACGATGATCACCATTCCACCGAAGCTGCAAGCTGCTCACTCTGAACCTCCCAAATCCTGCCAGCTCTCGACCAGGCGACGTGCTTCTAAGACCTGAAGCGTTGCTGGGGGGGTAACACCCTCTGGTAAACGTAGCAATGGACAAGTCCTTATGAATGGAGGTTTTAATGGGAACATGATTAAAGTTTTTCCATTGCCATGTTTGAGTACTGGAGCATGACAATAGTTAATTCTGGTTACTTCTGAATAAGTCATGTTAATTCCTGTAACCCAAATCGGAAAGATAGACATGTGGGGTGAAATGTCCAAGTGAGATATGTTCGGTATAATCTCAAGCGCAACGTGGATATTCATGTGAATAATCCCGAAAATAACCAGGTTCTATACATATCTATACCCTCTGGTACATAGCTATTGAAAATCACCATTTTTACTGGGAAAACTCACTATAAATGGCCATTTTCAATAGCTATGTTGGTTTACCAGAGGGTACATCAACATGAAACATCATACCTAGCAAGAAATTGCCACATGCCACCGTCGTTTAAATCCTCATGATTCAAACGGTTTCCACCGACTGGTTGCTTCATGTTGCTTCTACGGCTCACGCCATGGCAATCCAATTTATTTGCCGCAACAATTCCAGGATGTCATGCTCTTTTACGTTCTTGTTCAAGATAGAATTGGAATCTTCACAATTTCTTGCATAGGTATTATTGCGTGTTCACTTCAAAATTGTGGTTGATTCAATGTACCTCGCAACGATGGCAAAAATTGCGGAAACCTATCAAATCATATCAAGCCCAGTTTATATAAATGATTTCAAAGCGGGAACTATTTACGAGTTACCTCAACAAATGGAAAACATCGCATCGCTCATCACCAAAGTTGCAACAAAACCACTCCACATCAATCCATAATCCACCAATTAAATATATTAAATCTATTTAAATCTGCATATCCTTTAAAACCTCCAGAACATGATCTTTTCTGAAAGCCATCCATTTCTAACCGCGGCCTCTGCAGCGCATTCGGCTCCAGCCGCCTTAGCGCGGCAGATACCAGTGCTTTCCGTGCCGTGTGCCACAGCAAACGCTATGCACGGTGCCTTCATTTCCGTGAAAAAACGCAATTACCCTCTGGTGAACTAACATAGCAATGTAAAATCACCATTTTTAATGGGAAATTCCACTATAAATGGCCATTTTCAATTGCTATGTTAGTTCACCAGAGGGTACTTGCTGCAGGATTGAAAGTTTGAACTTGAAAACTCTATGACCTTGGCACACAAAAAAACACAGCTCGGATTCTTGACCAACCAACTAATATGATCTCAAGTTGCCGTTGGAGATGAGCTGGGAAGTTTTTTTTTTTCACGACTCGCGGTAGTGAATTGAACAGAAATCCTAAGAGAGGTCGGTGGACTTCCGTAAAGTGTCTGAAAATCAAGGATCGGCACCCCAATTCATTGCCATCTTGATGGGGAAACTGATGAAGTAGGAGATTTGACAAGAATAAGGCATGGTTTCCAATGGGATTAAACTGTAGTGCAATTGGGGTTGCTACTAGATCAGTGGAGTTGTAAGATGTTTTAATATGTTATGAAAATAATAAGATGCATGACAGATAGACGTCAGCAAATTGCGAATACTATTTGGGGGAAGTGCGTATATTTAGACTACCTAGTAGTCCATATCCCCAAAACAAATGCTAAGTCGGGATGGAAAAAACCTACAATGATGGGTACTAGAATACTTGATCGTGTTGTAGTTGATCACCATTGCTGGTATCTTGGTCAAAAAACAAAAGTTGATCAACCAGAATCAATCCGGGTTTGTCACCACTATATCAAAAGAGAAGTCCATAGAAGTCCACTTGATATATTCGTTTTCAATTAACCAATTCATTTGGGAATACATAGGTCTGAAAAAAAAAACAGGGACCCCAGGCCATCGTTTGGCCTCCACATTGTTTACCTTCCCTTCATGTTTTATAGGGGGGGCTTATTATAATACGATGTTAACATTATATTAATCCAAACCATGTTATAGTTCCTTATTGCATTGTGATTTATAAAGCTTCACTCATCACCATAAATACCCTCTGGTAATGACTAACAGTTTGCTATTGAAAATGGACCATTGAAATAGTGGATTTTCCCATGAAACATGGTGATTTTCCATAGTTTTTTGCTAACGTTTACCAGAGGGTACAACAGCTGCAGGTCATCATCAATTCCCTGGCGCCCCGTCTGGGTGCCCTAGCCCCGTCGTGGCGGCGAAATGCACGCCGCAGCCGCGCAGTGAGCACCACAGCCTCTCGTCCCTGGCATGGGGAAGATGACGAAAAACATGACGATTCACCATGTGATGGAACGGGGGTTATAACATGTTATAATATGTTATAACGCTATAACATACGGTATAAGCTATGTTCAGACTCAGTGACTAAGCCATCTTGTGGGTTTGTCTCAAAATCAGGATATACATGGATATGCATGATACCCTTTAAGAACAGTTTTCATGGGAAAATGAGGCTTTAAAATGCGTTAAATATGTTCAAACCATGGCATAGAATGTGTTCGCAATTTTGAAACAAACCCGAATGAGAGAGTTTGACCAAAATGGTTAAATGGCCTTTAACGAAACAGCCAGAGAGAATCAACATGGAGTTTTCGATATCTCCATACCCATGACGGATCCTAACGGTGCTGCTATATATGGTGTGCCATGAATCCCATCAACAAAAACCCCATTCATGTTAGCATATACCCTCTGGTGAACTAACATAGCAATGGAAAATGGCCATTTATAGTGGATTTTCCCATTAAAAATGGTGATTTTCCATTGCAAACTGTTAGTTCACCAGAGGGTATACCAGCACCAGCCGGATCCGTCATGGGAAAGCCGTTCCGGAAGCCCCAAAATGGTGCTATGAAACCTTTCCCCTACGGTGCCGTCCGAGCCAAGCCTGTCCGGCTCCAGTGAGCAAGGGCAAGGCATCCGCGGCCTTGTTGGATTTTGAAACTGGCCGGATCACTCAGCAAAAATGGACATGAAGTCACAATGAAGTCGCAAAAAAAAAGCTTCTGATATATTAAACAGCAAAAAGATGAGCATGATGAGCATTGAAAAAGGGCCAACTTCAAAACTTACGATGATAGAATATGATATAATGATGAATCAAACATAATTTGGTGACTCTCCGAAAATTGAAACTTGATAGAATCTCATAGAGGATGTGCACTGGATGAACTGTCATTTTTATGTTTCGAATGTTTCGCGAACAAAGCTTGGGACTTTAGCCGAGCTAAAGCTACACATGGACATGGGGGTCTAAAATGCAATTCGAATGCAATGAATTCGACCATGAAAAATCGAGCTCTAGCCTACAGCTCGTACGGTGCGATAGTATCTTGTATCTTATAGCATCTTATAGCAGTGTATTATGAAAAAAATATAGGACATGTAACCGATGTAACCAACAGAAATGGAACACCTTCCAATAAACCTTAAGGGATAGCACTGGATAGGTCATGCCAATATTCGGACAGCATTTTCTGTTACAAACAATGGCTGCAGCGTTGGCAAATCCCCTGGGAAGCCCGGGCTGAAAGGTAACATAGGTGCGGCTTCAGATCAAAGAAGCAATGCGCCCTGGCGTCTTGTCAAAATTTAGGCGGTTTGAAACTGTTTTTGCTGTGTGGATTCCAGATTAGAGTTGTTTACCCATCTATAGATCATCCCCCCGAGGAAAAAAAACAACAAAATCTGTACTAGAGTTACTAGAGCCTCAGATCAGTTTTCGTCTATCAACACTGTCGCTTGATGGGTCTCCCACATTTCGATACAGGCTCATTGAAAAAAAAACACATACATCCTGATGATCATTCCCATATGCTCCATGCTGCAGGAATATCTACCAACGTCTCAGCCAAAGATCACCCAGTCTTGCTAGGTTACTAGACACCAGCACTATGGAGCATATTGCATATGAGCATGAGGTTTGGTTTCATTACAGCGCCCCATATGCCTTCTTATCCTCTTATCCCTGGGTATCCACCTCGTGTCCCCTCTTTCTGTGCCAAAAGCCTCCAGTCGTATCCCCATGATATCCTCACGTTGTCCCATTAGAGGTTCTTTTTTTGTATCCCCAAACAAGACACATGAAATCAGTAATTAGTTGTATCCCCATATACCCCCATTGTTGCCATCCCTATATTCCTACTATGATCCCCATGTATATATATATATACCCATCATCATTGGCTAAATGCATTAGAAAACATAATTCAACATCCGATTAAAACCCATTGAACCCCTATGGAAATCCCGCTTATCCGATAAAACTCCATTAAATTCCATTTATCCATATGGGGGTTTCCTAAAATTGGGGTATCCCACTGGCTGGATGGTGTATAATTATGGAAAATCCAACACTTGAAATGGATGATTTGGGGTAATGGGGTATCCCCTATATATTCTAGGAAACCTCCATATATTTGTTCCATTTAAAATCCCATTAAAAAAAAAAAAACTTTGAAAATCACATGATATCCCTATGAAACTCCCATGAACTCCCACCGCCTGCCGCTGAAGCGCTGGATGAAACCTAAGAGCACTTTCAGCAGCTCCTGCGGAGAAAAACAGCTAAAAGTCCATTGAAATAGAGTTAAAGAAAACATAGGGAAACAGGGAGCGATTTGAACAAGGGTCTGGAATTATAGTTGTGATTTTCAATATCATGGCTTTGCTGGATGCTAAATCCGCGATCAAAACCCGTGAATCCGTGAACGGTGATCTATTCAGCAATTCTACATGGTCTATACAAACGGGACATCGGATCGTCCCTTGTGATCATTTGAAAAAAACAACAAAACCCAGCGGGTGAACGATCACCTGCGACCACGGGTCCCTGGCGCTTGGCGCTTCATGATACATTCATATACATTCATGATATCTAATGATATCTAATGATCAATTCACTGACGTTTGACATGTACTTAATGTAGTTGTAACATCTTGTAACATCTTGTAACTTTCTACACAAAGTGGGGTCCCTGGGACAGATCAATCTGGATTCCAGGGATCTGCAGGGGATGTTGAACTTTGACCATCTTGCCATGTGGAGAAGGTCCTCTCATGAAGTAGTTTGGGGGTTTTCAAAAAATGGATCCCCAAGTCACCATGGGTAAACCCATACTAAGCCATGGTCTACTGACTTGGATGACTTGGATGATTTGGGGTACCCCCATGACTTAGGACCTAGGAAACCTCCACTAAAAAGGAAACAATTCCCCTCAAATTTCATCACGATCTGCTGCTGTGTCAGCGTGTCGTGAGGCCATGGGGATTTTTTTCCGGCAACGATGCTCGGGTCTCAGGTGCCATCAAACGTGGCTGGCTGGAAAATCCGCTATGAAAGATAAGAAGATCATCGGAAAGTATCGGGAAAATCACCCCAAAAATGGAGGTTTATAGCTGGGAAAATCATTTATACATGTTCAATTGCCACGTTTGATTAGCGGTAGTCTCTGTTGCTGTTCTGAACAGGGCAAGATGGCAAGATCGCAAGATCCGGAAGTTTGGCCAGTACAACATAAAATCGACCAAAACCAACCCATCCAGAAAAGTCTCCCAGTATTACCATCTGATTATTTAACATAGCCATGGAAATTTGCACATTTATAGATGGTTTACCGGTTTACCTATTAAAAATGGACCATTTTCCATGGCGAACTGTTAGTCATAACCAGATCATAATCATATCATATCATATCATATCATGTCATATCATATCATATCTCTATACGTCCCAATCATGCGGGTGGCTTCATAGCGCCATTTTTCTTGCCATCCATCATTCGCCATTGTCACAAGGGTTTACCAGCGGGATCATCTATGGCTATTGTTGGTTAAATTCCATAGATATTCCCATCAGATTCCCAATACATTCTCTCCCCACTGCAACTCCTCAACATCCTCCTGCTTCTGTTCTGAAGACTTCGCCAAGGCGCACCTCACTTGGACTTTTCATGTTCCATGGATATTCGGTCTCTACGATGAAAGAAGGCATTTAAGAAAACAAAACATGCGATAACAAAATGGGGATATCATAGGGATAGTCTTCGATACCCTGATTTTATCATGGGGACAAAAAAAATCAGCTACATTTAGGGGATTGAACCAACCATCATGAGGATATCATTCAGATATGATAGGGATATGATAGGGATATGATAGGGATATGATAGGGATATGATAGGGATATGATAGGGATATGATAGGGATATGATATATCATGCGGATGATTTGGTTCAGTTTCTTTTTCCTTAGAAATCCATTGGTTCAAAGCTGGTGTTCAGCCACTGTTGCCAACTATCAATCACCATTAATCACTATATTTATCACTATGAATCATTATCAATCACTGTAAGCCACTTTAAACCACTATCAATCAGTATATCAATCACTATATCAATCACTATACTAGTTCATATTGATTCTATATACAGTATCATGTATATAATTGTATACATATATAATATACATCCATTAATATCCATATATTGATGTTGGTCATTTATTCATAAACATAAACATTTATTACTAATCAGTGGTTAATTATCAATTGTGTTTTAATCATTATTACCCATCTATTTAAAATGCGAATCATTAACATAGACCCACTTAAAATCAATTATTTTCAGGGTCCCGCTGTAATTTTACCACAGGGTAACCACTATTAACCGCTATGATAGAAACATCTATTAACAATGATTCACCATTATTAACCAGTATATCAACCATTAATCACCAGTATCAGTATCAGTCATCAATCATCATCAATCATTAACCATCAACATTATCATTGTGTTTTAATCATTATCAACCATCTATTTAACATAAGATTCATTAACATAGACCCTGGCAGTTATTAACGGGTAGGAAATTGTTTGGGGATTTTTTTTTTTTAGTTTGGGGAATTTTTTTTGGATTTCCGGTTCTCACCATTTTCCATGCTATTTGGAGCATTTTGGAGCTGGAAACTGCCATTTCCACGGTATGTGCAACGGTTTTGAGTTCGAACCTCTCATTTTCCATTGTATTTTCCACGGTATTTGCAACAGTTTGCAGCATGTTCTGTCCATTTTCCATGCTCTTTGCAGCATTTTTGAGCTGGAATCTGCATTTCCACCGTATGTGCAACATTTTACAGCTACATTCCTCACAGTACTTGCAGGATTTTGGAGCTGAAGGCTGACATTCCAACAGTTGTTTGTTGTTACTGTTACTGTTGTTGGTGTTGGTGTTGGTGTGTTGTTGTTGTTGGTGTTGTTGTTGTTGTTACCGTTAGTGTTGTTAGTGTTGTTAGTGTTGCTAGTGTTAGTGTTGTTAGTGTTGTTAGTGTTGTTATATATATACAATATATATATATATACAATATATATATATATACAATATATATATATACAATATATATATATATATATATACAATATATATATATACAATATATATATATATACATATATACAATATATATATATACAATATATATATATATACAATGTATATATATATATTCTAACCAAAGTAGTGTATTGAAATGTGTGCAAGCTTGAATTTAAATAAAAAAAACGGGAGGGGGGGATTGGGGGGGAGGGCGCAGCGCCTCCCCCCCAAAGCAGATTGGAAACACCTATTTTCACATGCAAGGTGCTAGGTTGAATGTGATACTCAAGGTGTATATACTACACGACATGCACCTTGGAAACATGTGGAATGTAGGTTAAGGCACAACGATGCACAATAGTTTCATTTGATGTTATCATCGAGTTGGTTTAAGATCTATTTATATAAGGTTTGGTTCAGGGTTGGCTTGGGGTTTGAATATCATCCGCATGATAATGCAAACCTTTTAGGTAGATATATATATATATACAGATATATATATATATAGATATAGATATATAGATAAATAGATATATATATATTTAAAGATATATAGATATAAAGATATATGTATATATACATATAGAAATATAGATAGATATATACAGATATATAGATATATGGTGGTATAAATATATATATATAGAGAGAGATATAGATATATAGAGATATATATATAGATATATAGATATATAGTATATATATATAGAGAGAGATATAGATATATAGATATATAGATAGATAGATAGATAGATAGATAGATAGATAGATAGATAATTAGATAGATAGATAGATAGATAGGTAGATAGATATATAGATAGATAGATATATATGTATATAGATATCTAGATATAGATATATATAGAGATATATAGAAATATATAGATATATATAGAGATATATAGAGATATATATAGATATATAGATATATATATAGAGATATATATATATAGAGAGATATATATATATATAGATATATAGATAATTATATAGATATATGATATATATATATAGGTATATAGATATATAGATACAGCCATAGATGTAGATATAGATACAGATATAGATAGACATAGATAGATATAGATACATAGATATAGATAGATATAGATAGATATAGATGGATATAGATGGATAGAAGATGTTGCTCCACACCTCATGGAAAAGCAAAAAAGCAAAGAAAAGCAAAAAAGCAAAAAAGCAAAGAAAAGCAAGAAAAGCAAAAAAGCAAAGAAAAGCAGAAAAGCGAGAAAAGCAAAAAAGCAAAGAAAAGCAAGGAAAGCAAAAAAGCAAAAAAGCAAAGAAAAGCAAGAAAAGCAAAAAAGCAAAGAAAAGCAGAAAAGCGAGAAAAGCAAAAAAGCAAAAAAGCAAAAAAGCAAAGAAAAGCAAGGGAAGCAAAAAAGCAAAAAAGCAAAGAAAAGCAAAAAAACAAAAAAAGGAATAGAAGCAAAGAAGCAGAGAAGCACTGCAGGAGGCAATAGAGTAAGCAGGAAGAAATCCAAAAAAAAATCCCTAAACTAAAAAAAAAAATCCCTAAATAAATGGCCCTCCGTTATTAACCATCATTACCATTTGGTTATTTAACAGTTCGCCATGGAAAATTTTCATGCTATTAAGAACGGTAAACCATCTATTTCTATGGGCCATCGAAAAACCATGGCTATGTAACAAATAACCAGAGGGTAACCAGTATTAACCATCAATCATTAACTGGTTGGTGGTTTCAACCCCTCTGAAAAATATTACTCTTTATTGCTCTTTATTGACGAGCTACAGGGCAAACGAGTGACCCTGCAGCCCCACTTTCTCCATGCTCATCCCGTCTTTGGGGCTCGAAGGCAGGCCACATCACCCCCGGTGATCAGCTGACGTTGCAGCTGGCCAAACAGAATGCTATCAACACGGTCGATCTGATCCTTCGTCCATCTGAGTCGATAGCAAACAAGCCAGCGCGAAATGGCAGCAGAAAAAGGCCTGGTCATCTTCTGTGGGACATTGACCCCCTGCGCTTTCAGATACGTTTTCCACATCATAAGGAAAAGTTTGCATCTGCTTCCCCACTCCAGCCTTGCCTGTGGTGGAGCCTGGTCGGCTGCCGCATACCACTTCTTTTTATGGCACCACGGACCCTCAAAACCAGTAAAGAGGTTAAACGCACAGTAGAGCTGAAGGCCTGAAATCATCACCAGTGGAGTGTCACCCTGTAACATGGCAGAACCCTGTACTTGCCACCACTGATGTAGATACCTCAAGTTGTCATGCCCATACCGCGGAAGCAGTTTGCCTGGAATGTCCCACTGCGCTGGAACATGCTGTGCCACCTGCTGTACCACAACTTGAGGTGGCCTGTCCACCTTTGCACCCTTATCAGCTGCCGCAAGTCGGGATGTCTGCAAGAGCATCTTCAAGATGGCCTCATGAAGGCCACGATGAAACTCCAAGGCTTGAGCCAATCCAACCCACGCTTGCCAAAACTCTGGTGATCTGCGACTGTTGATCCCATCTGCTGCTTGGTCGGTCAAATTGTTGTGCCAATAAGCCCATTCTTCCAATGGCCCCGTGGCCAGAGAAACCTGCCCGTGCGAAACAACTTTTCTCACCTGGATCAACTGATGCCCTGTATCCCCCAGCAGCGCCACAATGCCAGCCCATAGGTCAGAGTGTGGTCGATTTCGCTTGAGTGGCAAGCGTTGCAAGACCCTCCTGAGACCCTTCACCACGCCCTGGCAGTCGATCCAGAGTCGGACCTGCTGCTGCCGCTGGACAGCCCACCTGATTGCATAGTACGCCGCCATCAGTTCAGCTCTGAATGGTGTCTGGCACATACCTGTAACATGTCCGCCCATCAAAATCATGTTATCCAATGTACCAACGCCACCAGTTGCAAGTGTGACTGCCCAAGCTGCGAACCTCAATTTTGGTTCTTCAGGACAAGCACCTGTACCATCCAGGAAAAGCTCAAGAACATCGCCAGAAGGGGCAGGGGGAACTGTTGGTGACATCCGACAAAGTCCATCATCCCGCAACAACTGACGGATGTAGACCTCCCATTCAGGTAACACCACAGGCCAACCATGGTCACGCAAGCACGGAGGTAAAGACGCAACAACCGCAAGCTGAGCAGGGGTAAAGTGCGCACGACATGGGGCAAAATGGGCACAAATCCAAGCCCGGTAGTGAAATCCATCTGTTTGGTCACACCAAGGGCACTTGGCCGAAGTGCCCGGCTCAAACTTGGCCCGCGCATTCTGTGTAAACAAGGTTCCATCCAGATGACACCGAAGGTAAACCTGGTCAGCAGGGCCAAACTGGCGCAGCATCCGGTGGAGCTCCGGAAGGTCAGCATTTTCAAGACCACCAAAAGTGGGCCGGTGTGCAACTTCACTGGCCAAAACTGCACCCCAAGCCAACCGCAGCCGAAGTTGGAGTTCATCCCAACTAACTGAGAAGAGACTGAAGGTCCCAAAACGATCTTGGAGCAAGCCCTGTCCACCAACCGCCCATCCCAACCTTCGAATCCTGGACAAAAGCACAGCAGTGGGACCATTGGCAGGGACATCAGCAATCTGAGAAAACAACCCCAACAAAGCCTCAGTACGAGCAGGACAGCTTTGGTCACGGGCATCACGAAGGGTTTGAAGCGTAGCCCAAGCTTCCGGGTCAGATTCCAAAGAGGAGGTGGCCAAGTGCAAGAACGGATTGGCCCCTTTTCTATCAGCTTTGAGCCCCCGGAGGGCACCAGCACGCAACACCTTGTAGTGACAGGCACCAAGATGAACCACCGAAATCCCATGGAGAGCCCTAGGCCAAGCCATCATGTGAATGGCAGCAACCTTATACCTGTAAGGCCCATGAGAGGCGCGCAAACGAACCCAGACAGGAGGCAACCTGGCTAAGCGCTTCTGGAGTTCAGCATTATGACAATGCCGGCTGAAATTGTGGTGCGCCCCAAGATTTCTGGCCGACAAAGTAACTGGGATGTGGCCTTCACGGAATTGTTTTCTGGCAGTGGCCTCAGTAGACCAAAGTCTTGTTTTACCAAGATCAAGGGCTAAGTCCATTTGATCGGTAAATGCCTCAATGGCAGTCCAAGCCCGGTCAAAGATGGATGCATCCTGGAACAGCAAACCCCAATCATCGACAAAGGTTCGCAAGGAAATTCCAACATCGAGAGCGGAGAGCCACAAATCCAGAATCCAATCAACCACCACCATGCCAAACACAGAGAACGCGCAACCCTCAGGCAAGCCGCAATTGGAAACCAGAGGTGCACCAACTGAACGCCTAATCTTAAAGCGCCGTGTCTGGCGCGCAACAAAGTTCTGCCACGCAGTCAGAGGACCCTTGGGAAAATCCAACAAGGACAAAGCACGCCAGAGGGGAAGCCTGGGTAGGTTATTGAACGCTTTTTGAATATCCATCAGAAGACCATGAAGCCCGGTGCCCTGAAGGTAGGCTTGTTCAAGGGCAGTGGCCAACTCATACCAGATAGTTTTCGCTTGGCGACATGGAACACCTCCTTGAACACTGTGCGGCAAAACAGGGGCTAAGGCTTTCAGGGATTCACGAGCTCTTTCCGAAGACCAAACCCGATAAAGCAAGCTGTAAACCACCACTGGACGAAACTCATCAACCTGTTGAGCATCGGGTCGCTTGGCAAGGCTAGAGACAAACCCGTTAGCCAACTGAGCTGGCCAAGGCGAGCCAGCCTCAACCGCATTGTACAAGCTGACCAGAGCTGAGCACGCACCCAGAGGAAGAGCAACAAGGTCTGGCTGAGAGACACCATCAGGTCCTTTAGCCGCACGGGTCTTTTTGGACTTGACTGCCTGAGCAAACCCCTCAGTAGTCCAACCAGCACAAGGCCAAGCCATAGGACGGAGCACGCGTTCCAAAAATCCACAGATTTGATCCCATTGACCAGGCAACACATGGGAAGCCTTATTCCACCGGGGCTCCCATGCTTCAGCAAAGCGTTGCAGGATCGCAACATCTGAGGTGACCGGACGTTCCTGTGTGAGAACATCACCAGCCCGAAGGCCTTCAACTGATTCAACCCAGAGCTGGTCTTCCGAATGAGCAACAACATCAACAACGGATCCTTGAATCACCACCGGAACTCCATCAAGCAGAGTGGTAGGGCCCGTGAGAACAACAGAGGAATCCTCCTCCCGCACCTCCTCCACAGAGATCTCGACCCGATCCAAGAGCACATCAGCCTTAGGGAGGGGATCATCCTTACAGTCTTGAAAGACGTACGCAAGATTGTTGGCCCGTCGGGTCCTGGCATGTTGATACCTTTGTCGAGCCAACTCCTGTTCATAACATCTAACAAAAGTTTGGAATCCATCAAAGAGTGCCTGAACAACATCAAGGTGAGGGCATGTGAGGGGAAGATAAGAACCCGCCCCCGGCAACAAACCATGGTCAACACACCAAAGTCCAAAACCGCCAGGAAAGCCAGCAGCACAACGAATGGCACGCCAAGTTTCATCACGGTTGACCTGCCCAGATTCAGTGGAGACCCCCTTGGCCAGCACCCGACACAGCGACTGAAGACGACGAAGTTGCTTGAAGTATCGAGCATGCTGGAGACTGACTCCCAAGTACTGAGGCTGAATGTCCCCGACCCGAGCCTTTTTCAAAGGACAGTGATGACCATGCTTGACTTTGGTGTCCAACACGCTGGCTCGGCCACATTGGCTCTTGGCAACAAAGCACCCATGGTGTTGATTCCACAGTTTGGCTTGCGTTTCAACCTGAGCCCACAACTTCGCATATTCCAGAGTCAGATCACTTTCGGGGTCAAAAGCCACACAGCAAGTCCAATCCGAAGGCCACGGAAAAGGTGCCGGCATGGGCCAATGCAACACCTGCGGTGACAAACCCGAGATAGAGAATTGAGCGGAAATGGCCGCATGGTCAGCCCAACAGGTAAAGTCCACAGACACACCTCGGTAGACCAACTGAAGTTCGGGAGAAATCCAAAGCTGATCAATCCTTTTGGCCCCCCGTCCCGTAGCCTGAGCAGAAATGCCAAACCGCCATGCAGACAGGTCTTGCACCTCTCTGAAGCCCAAATCATGCAACCGCGCCAGTTGGGGAAGCTCATCTGGGCCAAAGTTGAAATCTCCCCCAATGACGCGGGGCCCCGTGGCATTAAGCCCGACCCTGTCAACCAACTCAGCCAGCAGCGCATCTGTTTGGTACCTGGCCTGTTTGTGATTGGCATTCATGGGCATACCATAGAGAAGGCCTGCGGTCACCCAGACATCATGAACTGCCATACCAACAACCTGCAAGCGCCCAGACACGTAGGCATCAGCATCAAAGGTGTGAGGAAGAGCCCTAGCCGGATATTTTGAGAGAAACATCACTCCCGAGTGCGATCCGGTGTCAGTGCCATGACGCGGCTGGCACGGAGCACCAGCCACAACATACTTCCATGGACTTCGCAACATCTTCAAGCCCTTAACAAACCCAGAAAGGCCCTGGCGTGAAAGTTGCGTTTCACTCAAAATCCATGCTTGGCCATGCATATGATTGATCTGGTCGAGCTTACCATTTAAGCCTGAAGGGTTGGCAACGCCCAAAGACCAGACAGAATCAGCTGATTCAGGACCCGGATGCGACGCTTCCCCAACTCGAAAACCGCCAAGGAAGAGCAAAAGTGGCAACCACCTCAGTGCTATACAACAACCAAATCGTGACCTGACACGCTTGGCTCGCATCAAAGAGGAGGGAGAAGTCCAAAATTGGTCACCGAGGACCCCATGTAGCATCTGAGCATACACAGATTGTCCACAGCAAAGACAAAACAAGACACTGAGTGTCAGGAAAGTGAAAACCAGGTGCCAGCCACACGTGCGCACCGCAAGTGAAACACCAAGACAGCCTTGCCGCCACAGCTGCAAGGAGGAGACCAGCTGGGTACAAATCATGCCACTGTCTTGCAAAAATTCCAGCGACTTCCCAACGTGAGACATCCCAAAGTGTTGCCCAAAACGTACGCAACCACATAGAGCCACCAACTCCTGCGCACCAGCAACCCACATCTCATGACTGCTAGGATACGGAACTGTGGAAATTCCAAGGCAACCATCACCTTGAAGAGCAGAATCCACAACCCTTGTGGACCCCAACACACCAACCACGACACTGCAAAAAGCAAGCTGCAAAAGTCCAATCCCCACCAGGCAGAGCAGAGACTGATAAGGCCACTTCAAACACACCCCTGGATGGACAGCGAAAGGGGGGCACCTCAGACAGAGAATCACCAACAGTGAAACAAGCCATGAACAAGGGGTCGCTACATCATTTGCGCAAGAACTGCCACTAGCACCCCAACGCACCCCAGAAGCACCAACGTGGCCAGCAGTCCAAACGGCCAGAAGCCTTTGACAAAGTCCAACGAGGCCCGAAAAGGAGCAAAGTCCAAAAGTCCACAGCAGCACCATGACAAGACTACCCATCAACACTTCCCAATTGCCCACGGTAGTCAGGCAGACAACTGGGCACCATCACTCTTGCCTGGGTCGCTTGGCCAGCAACGTCTCGAACTGGGTCATCTGCTTGTTGAACATATTGTCCAACATAGTTTGCTGGTGCGAGACCTGCTGCCGAAACTGCTCTTGGAACACATCCTGAAAGGTTTGGATGGATGCTGCCTGAGCCTGAATGGCTGTTTCAAACTGTTGGCCCTGCTGTTGCACCTGAGTACGGATGTCCTGAAACTGGGCCGCGGCATCTTGGGCATGCATCTGTGTGCTGGTGATCAAGGATTGAGCCTGGCCCTGCAACTCCTGGACCTGGCTTTCAAGCTTGGAAACCCTGCTGTCCACTGCATCATCATCCACCTCCATGCTGGATTTCGGGAGCTGCGCCAAAACTTCAGCAACAACCTTTTGGGTCATATCTTCCAGGGGATTGCCAATTTGAAAGCTTTGAGGTCTGGACTGGAGCTTGCTAGCTGCCTTGGCCCATGGGTCATTCTTTTGAATCATGTCAACCTCACATGCCTTGGAGACAAATGATTCAGTGGCCAAAGTGGCAACAACTTTCGGCTCTGAACGGGATGGCTGGCTAGCATCATCCTCCTTGGCAATCATGACATCTCCATGGACCATACGCAAAACTTTCAAGGGTGGGTCCTGAACCGACTGGACACGAAACAACAGACCTTGGACATGAGACTTGGCAGGCACAGCTTGGATGGGTTTGGCTGTCCATCCTGCACTCAACAAGGCCTGAGCCACGGATGCTTGCAGTGTGCCGAAAGGAAAAGGGCCCACCAAAAAGGTTTGTCGTCTTCCTGGCGGAAGGAACGTATGTCCTGGCTTAAGTTTTGCAAACACCTCAGCAGCATGCTCTGTCTTGCACCTAAGACCAACTTTGTGACCCAACCGAGCCATGCCGACAACATGTTGGATGGTCTGCCGCTGGAGAAGCAGCTGCGCCGCATCGGTCTTGGGGACCCAGACTACTTGGAAATCCGGGGAAGGCTTTCTACCATCCAAGGCTTTAGGTTCAAGGTAAACCCCACTGTGACCCGAAAATTGTTGGACCTGCAGCTGGAGGTATTCAGGCAACCGGATGTGTGCAGTGAACATGTCTGCTTTCTCGGGAGACGTGTGTGCAAAGTCCATTTTCATCCACTGTTTACCCCAAAGCTCAAGGACAGGTGAGTTCATTGGGATTTGTGGTGATTTGTGCCACGCCTCACATCCAGTGCATTCAGAGTCAGTGCATGATTGCATCGGAGGAATCCTGTCAAAGATGTGTTGGAGAGGATGAGCAACAACCTGACTCCACTCACAGGAAGTCTCATCACGGAACACAATAGCCTTCACCACACATGTTGGAATTGAATGAACCTCACAACCCGGCTGAGCAGGGGCACGCTGCACACGAACCGCACCAAGTTGCACAAGAAATCCATCGACCAACAACGGCTCTGAATTGGCAGCACAAACCAGTGGAACCCTCTCAGGAGAGACAGGAAAAGACGTATTGAAAAGTCCATCCGAATCCACAACAAAGAACGCCAAGGGCCCGGCAGAGATCGGGTTCAGTGCCTTAAGGTAGGGTTCAATGCAGCTTGATGAAACCACAGCAACACCTGCAGCTGATGGACCAACTTGTGGCAGCGGCAACTGGCTCAAACCCTGACCGCTATCACTCTGGAAAATTCCATGCTCAAGTCGCAAAAGGGCAGGGTCAACACTGGAACCACCTTGGTGACCTTTGCCTTTTCCTTTGGTCGATTTGTGCTTCTTATGCCCAACTGGCTGATCATGTCGACGTTTCTGGACTTGCATCTGAAGCTCAGCAGGCTTAATCAGCATGTAAGGAGGTCTGAGCTGATTGCCTAACCATTTCAAGTCACGCCAAGGATTGGGGGCATCCAATGCACGTTGGACTCCTTCTTCACCAAGTGCTTTCAGGACTGCAGTAGCCCGTGATCCTGCCTCGGCTTCAGGGACGCCATGTTGAGCCAACAGCTCTGCCAACCTGGTGTGCACGGAAACTCCAAGCCCAGCAAGCCTGGGACGTTGGCATGGTTCAGGCAATCCATCAGCAAACTCAAAACGAACACGAGATGCAAATTGCTCCAACTCAACTTGGTCAGAAACCATGGAATGCCCCCACAACAGGTGCCGGACAAAGCTCAACACCATAGCACCACAATGACCCGCAGGAACAAAACCCGTGGAATGAGCTTTCCAGACCCCCATGGCTCCCCCCCGATAAAGTCCAATGGCTTGGCTGAGAGATTCCATTTGTGACTCAAAAGCCGCAGTGACAGACAGAGAATGAAGCACCACCCCAACCATGTCAATACGCCACACCAAAGGAACCCAGTGATGCCCCAACAGCACCGCAGAGATAACAGTAGAGACCGGTCCAAGTGCCAAGACAAGCTCCTTCCAAGTCTCTGCTGTATGCTCTTGGACAAGGCCCGAAACAAGCAAAGGGTCCCACACATGAACCTGTTGATCCGATTCAGTCAAGATGGCAATTTGGAGAAGTCCATGCATGATTTCGTCATCACTCCAAACTGGTCCTTGCATGCCCAGCAGATCTTGCCTGGCCAATCGATGCATGTCAGGAAACCTCAGCTCAGCAAGGTGCTCGGTTGTCTTGACAATGGCAACCGGTTTTGAGGCTCCTTCTGGAAGTGCATGTTCAAGAACACCATGACAATCCAAACAACAAGGGATACCTGGATCAGCACGCAGTTGATCTTCACTCCAATCAGCAGGGACAAGGGACACAAGGGATCCCGCCGGAATGGGAAGTGCCGGATCAAAGTCAAGTCCATCAACACGCAAACGACAACCAGGGACACTGGCCCCAAGCTTTTCTTGGGCTTGCAACAAACCAAGACCCGTCGTACCAGGAGACAGCCGAATTTCAACCTCCGGTTCACCTGAGCAAGGCCAAGACAGAACACATGTGGACCGATCAGGAACTGCATCTTCGATAGGGTCATCAACAGACGCGGCTTCAAGCACCGTAGGAGCAATGGGGGGAGGCCACAATTGACGACAAGTCAAGACAACTTCATCCAAATAAGGCTGCAGAACCTGCAAAGGAACACAAGGGGTCGCAACTTCAAGTGTCAAGTCCAAGCAACGCTTCACCTGGGCAAAAATCCAGAGCCCCATGATCGGAGCTACTGCCTGTCCAACCCCTGCCATTGCCAATCGCAAGTTGTGGCCCATGGAGATATTGGGTAAACCGCCCATCAAGGCCCACATTTCAAGGGGATGTAGGTATCTCGCATGTTCCATCCTGACATGCATGTGAGTCTGAGACGTGCCAAGCTTCAAAAGGGTACCAATCAGTCCACGTTGAGCCAAGCGGGATTCACTGAGGGCAGCCCTGCAACCACAAGCACATGTATACAGCTGGTTGCCAGCACTGTGCAAAAGAGTCGGCAATTTCTCATGGGGTTTCAACCAAACAGATTCCATGCCACCAGCCGCATACTGATAGTACTTGGACAGCTCATACAAGTTGAGAACAAGCTGAGCCTGGTCAAACTGATGCCACAACCGAAACTCAGGAATCAAGTCTTCCACAACCTTGATCTGAGTAACTGCAGGTAAGTCCAACAACTCACAAGGCTGAACAATAGGGGCAGTCAACACAGCAATCCACCGGTCTCTCCTGGTGCACCAAACATTCCCCAGCTTCATGATAGTCTGGGAGACCCGAAAGCCAGTGTCAATGGCAAACTGCCGGATGATCTCCTGGGCATTGGCATCTCGTAAGATCTCAGGAGTGCACTCAAGGATCAACACCGCAGCCTGCAAGATCCATGCAACAACCAATGCTTTTGGGAGCGACTGTGCCCGAGGGTCCAACATGCCACGACGGTCCCCCAACACCGAATGGGGCTGGCAGCTGATGCCAGCACAGACAACGCCATGAAACAACCCTTGCCTCAAAAGCTCTTGAAGTACAAAAGGATCAGTCAAGTCCCCAGCATGAAACTGAGCATCAGGATGGATAGTAGCAAACAGCTTCTTCCAAAGTCCATTTTGGTCAACACCAGCACAGACTCGAAAACCCAACCGACCAGCAGTCGAAGAAAATCCACCCATACCACAACACAGGTCAGTAACCCTCTGAAGTGCAGCACGATCACATAGGGGCACAGGAACCAACACCGTCCGGTCATCAACAGTCAGTTGCATGGGGGAAACGGATGTCACCAACAGTTCAACCCCTGCTACAGTGGTGGCTCTGGGTACCTCCCCATAAATCCAAAGCTTCAAACCACGGCGATCCTGAGACTGCGCTAGGTGCCACTTCTCCTCCGAAAAACAAATAACTGAAAACACCAAAGGGGTTCTTTGCCCAGCAGTGAGTGTAGACCAGTTAGAAACCATGGCACCAAGCGCAACCGTCAAAACAAGCCCCCAGGAGTTCGGCATGAACGGTCCCACTTACTGGAAAGATCCTGGGCCGAGACCTCTGAAAAATATTAGTCAGATTGGATCATCATCCCAACTATTGGGGAAAATAAAAAATGTTCCAAACCACCAACCAGTTAACCATTCATGGCTTCCGATTCCCCCAATTTTCATCAATTTTCGGCCTCCGCAGTTCCAGCTCTCCCAGGACTGCCACGCGGTTCACGCCGCTGCCACCCCCAGTGGCCGTGCTGTGCTCCTGACATCCGACGCAAGGCTTCAGATGGAAGAAACCAACAGAAAACAAGGGTTTTACCATCAAAAATGACATGTTTAACATGGTTTAACATGGTTAAACATGGTTTAACGTGGTTCAACATGGTTTAACATGGTTTAACGTGGTTCAACATGGTTTAACATGGTTTAACGTGGTTCAACATGGTTCAACATGGTTTAACATGGCTTAACATGGTTTAACATGGTTTAATATGGTTCAACATGGTTTGACATGGTGTAACACCATGAAAAATGTTGGTTTAAGCTGATTTGACACACCTGAAATACGGATTTCATTCAACACGAATGAGATTTCACAATGAAAAAGGCGTATATAATATATTGTGTGTGAATTGAAGTCTAGAATCTAGAAACATGGGTTTCTGCCAAGCAATATGGCGTGGATTTCGCCCGGAAAAATGGGGGTGGTTCAATTCAAGACAATTGGAGATTTGCCTCAAGAAATTGAGATTCCACTCAAGAAAATTAGATTTCAGTGAGAAAAACTGGGATGCAACTCAATGACGATAGTCAAAGAATTGGGATTTCACCAGCAGGAACGAGAATTCAATTTAACAAGACTGGGATTCTGGCACTTGAACTCACAGACCCGCATCCTTTCACAAGATGCGGTCCTGCACCTGTTGCCAGTAGCGGAACAGCAGCAGGGCATTTCGTACCTGGAGATTCTCTGGTCAAAGTCCTGTCATTTGGGCATGGGATGGTATGCATGTGTCTGAAAATGGAGTTTACCACGCATAAAAATGACCATTTGATGCCATTTTACTAGGGGAAAACGATGGGTTTCCATGACTCATTCCATCTCATTCCCGTAACTAATCTCAGCTACCCTGCAAGAAACACACATCGCAAATCCATTTACCCTCCAAGGTTTTTCCCTGTAGCGAGCCGTCTTCTAGCAGAAGAATTGAATTCAAGGCTGGATTGATCAGTTATATAAATCAGCCAATTTCATGATGGTTAAATCGCAATCTTGGTGTTTTTTGAACATGTCAATGGATTCAAGCAATCTGGGTAGATGCTATATCAATAAAACAGTGTAAAAGCCATTATATAACTATAGACACATCATGATATATCTACCAAAAACCATAGTTAAGTAGAATTTCATAATATAATATGTATTATAATATATATTATTATATTATATGTTATATGCTATATGTTATAAATTATATGTTCTATAGTCTATATATTATATAATATATAATCTATAACATAATATATTATATTATATAATATAATATAATATATATATATATGGATATCAATTTAGTAGCTATAAGTAGCACCATCAAAACCATCTACGTAGCAAGGCATGGCCCGCGCGCGCCTCGTCCTCTGTACGGTGCGTCTCCACGTCTTCAAGCGTTGTGACCTGGGTTCGTTTCACATTCCAATGGCTCGTGGATGGTTCTGGGAAAAGTATACCCTCTGGTTATGTCAAAATAGCTATTGAAAATGGCAATTTTTAATGGGAACATCCACTATTAATGGTGAGTTTCTATAGTTATGTTAGTTTACCAGAGGGTATAACTTGGGATTTCATGGGAATATCACGTGGGTTAAAGTCTTTATAAAGTATCCCAATTTCATAGCTGGTTCTGAGGAAGATCATGGGAATTTTTGGAATGGTTCTGGAAAAATACCCTGAACTAGATGGAGGTTTATAGTAGCTGTGAATATCAAATGGAGGATTTATAATGACCTCTCTGAAATCAAGGGAAAAAACATGGGGCAACTATCCCAAAATACCGAACTTTTGAGGTCAGTGAATTATGGTAATTTAATGTAATTTACTTAGATGGTGAAGAGATAGTTAATAAGCCCTTCTTCGTGATTTCATGGTGATGTTCTTTGCTGCTTCAGATTCAAAAAACGTACAGTAATTCGACGATTTGACAAAATGTTCATAGGGTGGATGGGCCAGCAAAATCCTGCACCAGTTGAAAACGGTGGTAAACATCCCATTATTTATAGGCTTTCAACCGGTGTCAACCATCCTTTTGGTTCAGGATTTTGCAACCATCAGGATGTGATTGATCAAGCTGTCCTCGTGCCAGGTGAGCCATGATCGATTCGCCATTTTAAGGATATCGCCAGCTGGAAACAACCACAACTGGCATAGAAACAGATGGCTTCGCAATCTTTTCATGACACAAAATAAAGGGCTGCACCTTGGACAGCCAGCCTTCTCGCACTAGTGACCACAGGTCCATTCTCGATTATGGTCAAGCTTTGATAGTCCACCAAAAATAGTATATATTTTGCTGGTGATGACTATTCTCCACTAGCAAGAAACTAAAGCATTCTGGTTGGTGGTTTCAACCCCTCTGAAAAATATTAGTCAATGGGAAGGATTATCCCACATATTATGGAAAATAAAATTCATGTTTGAAACCACCAATCAGCATTAAACTAGCTATCCAAGGTCGGGAATGTTCTCAGGTCTCATTTCCGGACAAACCCAGTCGGTCATGCCTGAGATACCCCATTGACGGCCAACAAGTAAAGGTTCTAACAATACCAATTTGTTTAGCCAATATACTTCCAAACTATCAAACCATGATGGTGTATTTTATTTAGTTCCATGGTTTGCCCCGAAAATATCTGAAAATCAGAGTTTGGGGGTGAAATGAGACATTTACCCTTCCCTAAATTGACACAGACTAGCATAAAATGGCCAAGGCACTAAGTCTTATAGTGGAAAGTTATCTTCCAAACTCCAACTTGTGGCAGGGTCGAACTGTTGCATTGGGAGAGTGTAATGGGATTATCTATAAATCCCTTTATGGACAAGATGGGATATATATATATATATACTGGGATTGACCCATAATGATAGATGAGATGGGATAGATGATTGACCCAAGATATAAATCCCAAATGAGGTGTATGATAGATCTAGATGGAATATAATAGGAATTGATATCAAGATCTCTAAGAAAATACTGGGATAGATATCTGTATGTGTATATATATAATATATATAATATATAATATCCATTATAAGTTTGAGGGTAAGACTTTCAAAGTTCTCGCCAAACAAACAGCGCCAAGACGCTGTGGGCACCTCAAACTGTGTACAGGAGGCCTGGAACAGCAGAGGACACATAGTACCCTCTGGTAATTTAACATAGCTATTGAAAATGACCATAGAAATAGTGAGTTTTCCCATAAACAATGGTGATTTTCCATAGCTATGTTAATTTACCAGAGGGTACTTCAGTTGGGGTTCACCATGATTGACCGATCCGGTCAACCTGGTTTTTTCACGGAAAACCATGGATTCACCGTCACCCGTTTTGGGCATCGTTTTTCAGACTCCTTGGGTGGACCATGATGGGAAACGCAAGCACTAGCAATGAACATGCAAAAAACAGCAGCTGGTTGGTGGTTTTATATAATCATATTGAAAAATGGAAAGGATTATCCCGTATATTATGGAAAATAAAAAATGTTCCAAACCACCAACCAGAGCAGTGTTCAGTTGGGGAGCCTCTTTTCACCTCTTTTGCCAGGCGGAATGGACGGAATGGAGGATGAAAAATGCATGATATTGTCTGAGATTGCCTGACTACCCACATGGATTTGTATACAACTTTAATCGAACCAACCTGGCAACGGAAAAACACCGTACTCAATCGGTAAATTGGCAAATCGGATGAAATTGCTGCATGTCATGGGATTTCCATGAGATTTTCAGAGTGCCAGCTTTGTTTCTCAGTAAGTGCCAAGACCTTGTGTCATTCCCAAGCCTACTGCTTGGTGGATAGGTCTTCCAATACTCTTCAGTGATTCATAATTATCCCCATTTATCATACTGTGGATGGGCCAGCGAAATCCTGCACCATCCTGCACGGATGGTTTTTCAACCCCAACAAAATCATGGGATCTTTACCATCCAGTTGGACCAGATCCGCGGGTTTCCCATGATCTGCCGTGGAAAAAAACCCATGATGATGAAATGAGCAAGAACAAACTATACCCTCTGGTAATGACTAACATAGCGAAAATCACCATGCTATTAATAGGTAAATTTCAACTATTTCTATGGCAATTTGAACCATAGCTATGTTAAATTACCAGAGGGTATCCTCAGTGTTGTTGATAGGGTGAACTGTGTTCATGTTATCCACATGACTAACCCATCCTTGCCAGTTTATATCGTTTTGAATAATATTTTATATCGTCCTGGAAATTCAATTCCCAATTTTTGGGCAGGTTGACTTATCCGGAGTTGTCATTGTATTCATTGTGAAGTAATATACCATACCCATTCCAAGCATTGACCAACCATCATTTCAGGATATTATATATCTATATACACTTTATTTTTTTGAAGATTCTGCAGGCTAGTTATTCAGTTATTCTCCAGCTGAATCCGATTGACAATCCCTAAGATCTGGGCCGGTAATCCCCAATAAACACTTAATGATGAGTACATGATTGTACTAAACACGAAATTCTGGCTATAAACCAATTATAGATCATTCTGTAAAAAAAACACTTTAAGCACTTCATTCTGGTGAAAAAAACCGTTGTACTCATAATCAACCATATTACCTTTTTATTTGGTTCGGTTGATCATATTAAACACTTATATAATTTGTTCCCATTCCAATCAACCACTTCGTACTTAGATGGGCCAAGGGATTAGCGATTCCCGGTTAGGAAACTGGGTTATAAACCACTATATATATATATCCCAATTCTATCCACTTGTAATCCATTTACTAAGCCAGTTTCCACTTGTACAGTAATCCATTTACTATCATTTACTAACTAAATCTAGCTCGTTAAGTAATCCCATGGTTCATCTAAGCACTTCTTATAACCCCAAAAAATGGCATGGCCAATGACATCCGCCACCGTGCCACCTCCCCTGGGAGCTGCGAAACCATCCGCGCCAAATCCTGGAGCGCCAAACCGTTCGAGTTTCGTTGGCAAGTGCACGAGACCAAATGGACATTATAAAGTTCATACCAAAGCAAGCAAGAACATCTTCCTCCTACTCAGTCCTACTCCTACTTAGTCCTACTTCCTCTCCTTTGCTCCTGGTGTGCTCCTCTTGCAGCTCGTCTTGACTGTGGGCGTCAACGGATCCGAGCCATATCGTGAGCTCCGGATGTGGTGGAGCACGCCTGGACCCGAACACATGCCAGAGAGAATGTTTGAATAGATGCCAGAAAGAATACCAGAATAGATGCCAAATTAGAATGCCAGATAGAATGTCAGAACATATGTCAGATAGAATGCCAGAAAGCATGTCAGATAGAATGTAAGATAAAATGCAAGATGGAATGTCAGAATATATGCCAGATAGAATGTTGGATAGTGCCAGAAAGAATGCCAGATATAATGTCCGAATATCTGTCAGAGAGAATGTCAGTTGGTTGGGATCACTCGAAGAAAGTACTTTTTTGTAACATAGCGTGTTATGATTACTTGAGATTCTGTGTCCACACATGCAGTGTTGCTCGCTTGATTCCATTGTTTCCACTTCAAGCAGGTGTCATTGTAGTGGTCTGTTCAAGTTTGGTGATAGCCTCGTGTAACATGTTTCAGGGTGTTGATCATTGAAAGTAATTATATATATATATTCATATATAGATATCGCATCACACATGGAAGACGGGTGGAACCCCACTGGCAGGTACTGAAAGCACGTTTATACTTTATACCCACTGTATCTCAATTCTATTGTTGCTTAATATCCATAGATATCATGTTTTTCCATATGTTGGTATTTTGATTGTTGCTTTGTATATGTATATATAATTATAAATATATATATATAATATTATTTCGTTGTACTAAATACCAAGTCGTTATTGCTTGACCTGATTTGTGATGTGGTAAATCAAGTTCACGTTACACGTTCCATGTTTGTAGTGTTCTGCTGGTTTGTACATGTTTGCAACCAAATTTGCTTCGCTTGTCTTGAAAAAAAGGGTATGTTCTTTCAACGTTCCGTAGGAATTTGCCAGTTTACGCACAATGTATCTTGGTAAATTACCCTCCGGTAAACTAACAGTTTGCTATTGAAAATGGCCATTGAAATAGTGAGTTTTCCCATTAAAAATGGTGGATCTTTCCATCGTTTTTTGTTGACGTTTACCAGAGGGTGTAGTGATTCATCAATTCATCAACATCAACCTAAAAGAACATCACTTGTAGTTACCCTGACTGGCGGTCGCTTCAAATGGCAGTGCGGTGAGGTTCTTGCAATTTTCCCGATTCCCAGATATACCTAGTCTTTTAAAATGGTTGTGTTCAAAAATAGGCGATGGTAATCCCAAAATTGCAATTTGACCATTTGATCGGGCCTGTCTGAAAATATCAGCTGTAGAATACTATTTTTGATGGCATATAACCCCACATGTATCTCCATGTTAAAACATGTTCAATCATTTTTCATAGGAAAACAAGATCGAAAAATGCGGGAGTTCGCGGGAGTTCCTGCGCTTGCGCCCAGCTGCCAGGGCTCGCCACCAGCTGCTCGCGGGCCTCAAACTCAAAGCCGGTTGGAGTAAAGATGTTTATGTGGGGGTTGGGTAAAATACTTTATTAAATAATATTAAATGGTATGACATTAAATCTTTGGGTAATGGTCTATGGTTGGGTAATCCATTAATGTCATGTTTACCACCCACTGGGAATGGTAACCATACTACCTATAAATTTATGGTGATGACTGGAGGATGGGTCATGGTGATAGCAAAACCAAGGGTGGGCATTCAGCTTCTCAGGCTCCAACACTGTACCGAAAGGGTTAGAACATGTTACGAGTAGAACTTGTTTGGTCTTGGTAGTTCACCATCCAAGTATGGAATCAATCGTCTCTTTGCAGCAACGCCAAATTGCTGTGTTAACTTTTTGGGGTCTTCTGTCCAGTTCTCGTTCGGGGTGCCCATAAAGTTCTCAAATGATTCGATATGTCCATGTTTTATTGATGTTTGTCATTCACACTCGAGGTATATCCAAGTGGCAAGATGCTTGTTTCAAAAAGCAAAAAAATAGACAACATGACAACATATCCTAATTACAATCATCCATTTGAATGCTGTTCATTAAGGTGTCCACAATGTACTATACAGTATCAAAATCAAAATATGACATGTGCTAAACAACCGTCAATCTGTCTCCGGCTCCCTCTCTCTCTCGCTGTGTCTCTTGTTCACGTCCCCAATTTTCTCTTGCTCAAGATCTTGACCTACCAGGACCTACCAGTGCTACCTCTGCCTATATTCTGGTTCTTCCTGTGCTTGATTCTGTCCCTCTTCCCTTGCAGGTTAATTTGCTCATATTGTTTGAATCAAAACGTGTTTTTGCGTGGTAGAATCACATTTTGGTTTCTCAGGCCATCATCAAACTATCAGGCAAATGACCATTGTGCTTCCTTAAACCCCTTTTTTTGTGTAGCTTACACTCCCTAAATTTAAGATGAAACTCGTTTTAGCCCATATCATCCCATGACAAGGTGTAAAAAAACATCCACCCCTTCCTGCAAATCACCTCCTTGACGGCTTCTTTCTGACGACCTGCCTAGCGAAGTCACGAGACTTTCTGAAGGGAAAAATCGACAGCAAACTCCAAGGTGCGGGGGGGGTAAAAACCATGGAGAACGGAGAACCATGGTTTCCTGTAGGTTTTTCACTTAAACCCAGTGAATAAAGCCCTGGGCTGTTGAATGGGTGGCTCATTGGGGGGTAACTGGGGTAACCCCCTCACGAATCAACGAGGCTGTTTCCATCCGCGCGGCTTACCATGAAGCCGGTTTCATCTCAGTCCCAAGGGATGGAAATGAAAGATCTGATTTCTTGGTTCAACATGGTTCAACGATATTCAACTGTTCAACTGTATCTTTTTTATTTTTAGGTCAACCCTCCCCTCATTGGTTGCAAAAGAAACGTGTTTCTTGTATGTTGATGAATTCTCTATGTCCATCATTTTCCATCCACCAATAACGAAAAGCCGCCGCTTAAAACGCGCGAGCCTCCCAGAGCAAATGCACCTTGAGGCACCCCCAAATCCGAGTCTGAGCCAGGGTTGTTCACCCTGCTTATACCAAGTAATATGAGGTCAGAAATTGTGGGTCATGTGGCTAACCCAAGAATAAACTAGCCCCGATTTTACCAGAAGTGGCTGGTATTCACTCAGTTTCCAAGAGGACATGAAGATAAGGTCAGAATCCCCGGGAGGGGGGCATCAAATGAATTTCAAATCGGTTTGCAATAGGCATGTGCTTGCTGTCAGCCTGAGACCCATGACCCATGGATCAATCGAAAGTCATGGAATGGTTTGGTTTATCAAACAATATTAATTAGACCATATCATATCATACTATAACGATAAACCATATTGAATTAATCCCGGATCCCATATTGGAGGGTCTTACATTTGGTCCAAGATGTGACCCATTCTGTTGACCCAGATCATGGTTCCAGCACCCCAGATACCTTTGGGGCTAGAAACCATGACCAATTTTCCCCCCAAGAGTGGCTAACATTTACCTATCTTGGGTTGGAGCAGCTGAGCAGCCCTGTATTGGTGCCGCGAGACGCGCAGTGCCGAGACATCCGAGGGCAGCTTCAAGAGCGGCTTGCAGTCCTGCCATGCTAAGCACTGCGAGTAGGGTGAGCAATGCCCAGTTCACCCTCTTGATTTAATATGATTCTAGAAACCAATCACAATGGGGATATCATGAGATATGATTATATTACAGTACTATAACTATAACCAATGAATATGATACTAGTATGTGGTTTTCCCGATTTGGGGGATAACCCAAAATGTAATGATGAGTGTAATTGGTGAAACCAACAGATGAATTTGGTTGCTCTAGTGAATAACACGTTATTCATGACCATATTTGCCAGATTGATGGGGGGTCCCTTTTCAAAAAAAAGTTGGCTAGACACCAATCTAACATCCTAACATCAATTATTGTTATTATTGTCATCAGATTAACTTATTACTTAACATCCTTAAGGGCTAACATCCTAACACTTATTATATAATTACGGCCAGGCCCTTCAACGCCATCTGGACCGATCGATCATGTCACCAGGAAAAAATGTGACGGCTGTTGAACTATGCAGCAGTTTCTTCGCAGAACAAAATACTGTATGTTGCCAATGAAAATGTCGGTGTTTTGCAGCAAGAATGATCACCAGGCAAATCCTGGTTAAATTTTGGTTGGTTCTTTCAGCCCATCATTGTATGAGTAAGTGGATAAATATCCCGTCCCTTATTAAACATGGCAATGGGACACTTTCACATCAATCTGGTAAATTCGAGCCTCCAGTGTGACATGGGTTTGTCATATTCACCTAGAGAAACTCATGATTGAGAACACCAGTTTTCAAGAAAAATGGTACTCAAATAACCCCAGAATATTTTCTGGCAACCCATAATAGATACCCATAGGTTATAGCATCTGTATCTGGTATCTTGATGTATCTTGTATTATCTTGATGTATCTTGTATACTGAGGATTGATTTTATATACTTGTATGGATGTGGGTCAAAATGGAAGACCTAGGGGACCACAGATGTTAGTCTAGTTTAAATTAACCATCCAATTATTGGGGTACCTAATTTTGACCCATACCCATATACTCTCAGCAGTTCACTATAATCCCTACACCCGAAATTCGCCACTTATGGGGCCCTGGGGTTTCTTTATCGTTTGCCACGTAAAAAAGGAGACCGAAGACTTTTCCTGATTCCCTTTCCGAGGCCCCAATTTTTTGGGTCTAATCATTAATGGTTTAAGTTTCAATCCCAGTTTTTCTTGGCTAGATCCTCATTTCTCGTCGTAGCGCCGTCCCTTGATGTCTGCACAACCTCTTTTGTTGTGGTACTGTAACAGTTTGTGCTTGGTGATTCGTCCGCATTTTTCTTGTGGCCCACCATGCTTTATCTTGGATACCAAATCAGCTGGAAAGGCTTCTACCGGGTTTTCCCCACCTTGTAGCCCAAAACAGATGTACCATTCAGCTGTCACATTGGGTGTTTCTGAGATCTATCTCCATTTTTTGGGGTTTCTCAAGGGCAAAGCTTAACCACCAACCATGAAATCACCCCCAAAAAAATGGTTGGTCAATTCATCTGGGTAAATTATAATAATTCACCAACCTGAATCTTGCGGCCATTTGGGGATGATTTCCCTAAAATAAACCATGATTCCAGTGAGGGAGAACAGTGAGGTCGTTATAATTTACCCAGATATATCATATATTATCCATAGATTCACCATTATTCACCATTATTAACCATTATTAACCATTATTAACCATTATTCACCATTATTCACCATTATTCACCATTATTCACCATTATTAACCATCATTCATCAACAATCTTTGGGCTTATCAATGGCATTGGCGAATCACGGCCTCCAAGAGCTTCAGTGCTTCTGCCTTGCGGTGCTTCGCTGGTCAAAACCCCCCGGGGGTCCCTTCTGTTCACCGCTCTTCATAGCTCTTTTTATGGTAAACGGATGCTGATTTTTCCAAACATAACTATGGTTATTATAGGACTGTCAAATAGTCTACGATAGTTAGTTTCTATAAAATTTTTGATCCATCCATTTTAGTTAGTTTCTATAGAATTTTTGATCCATCCACATTTTATAGCTACAAAAAATAGTATTTACCAACCAAAATTTGGGGACTGTACCAATGAAAACTAGGGACTTGGTGAACGAAAACTGACATCGAACATGTGATCGGGTCATATATGGCCGAACACAATGGGGATTGACAAAATCAATATATATATATAGCATCATCATTATTATTATGATATTATTGTTATTATTGTTGCTATTATATATATATTATAGATTATATATACTGTATAAAATTAATTACTGATATAAATATAAACATTATCACTGGGTTTCTTAGTTGAAGACCTGGCAATCCACTGAGGATGGTTTTTGCGGAGTTGGCGGAGCTGTGAACATCCAATGGAGGCTTATTAAATTGGGGTTTAGCATCCAGTAAAATAGCATAGTTATTGAAAATGGCCATTGAAATAGTGGATTTACCCAGATATAAAATGATGATTTTCCATAGTTTTTTGTATGTTTACCAGAACATACCATGTGGTTGTTTAACATAGCCATGGAAAATCACCATTTTATAGCTAGGTAAACCATCTATTTCTATGGGCCATCTATACCATGGCTATGTTAAATAACCAGAGGGTATGGCAAATCCTATGGGCAAATCCCACCATTTTTCAATCGATCATTTCGCGGGAAAACCATATGGATTCTTATCGTGAAAATCAAAAGTCTATGATTAGCTGAGATCAGAAATCACGGCATAGAGCCTCCAGATATGAATGGAAAGGACTTGAACCTAATAGCCAAATCTGCACAATCCATAGGGTCGACAAATCTGAACCCCCGAACCAGTGGCATGGAAATACTTGCGAAAGCTTTCTTCTGGATGAACTCATTATAATTCATTTGCCTGAAACAACACCATTTCGGGATCGTTCCCCCGGTCCTAGCCATCATTCTAACTTTCCATTATTGAAGGAAGTCTGGCAGAATTGTTTCGTTTTTGATGTTGCCAACTTCAAAAATTGAGGAAGTCTCGCTGAAGTGCTGCGTTTTTGACGCTAACAAGTTCAAAAATTGAAGAAGTCTCGCAGAATTGCTTCGTTTTCAAGCTTGCAGGTAGACAAATAGATCGATAGACAACTATTAAATACAACTACAACTACCACTATACACTACACTACACTAATTAAACAACAACAACAACAACTACAACAACAACTACTACTACTACTACTACGACCACTACGACTATGACTACGACTACGATTACGACTACGACTACGAGTACCACCACAGCTACAACAACAATATCAACTACACCACATTACACTACACTGCGCTATTTACACTGCAGCACACTACAACTACAAATACAAATGCAACTACAACTACACTGCGTTACACAACACTACACTACACTACACTACACTACACTAATTACATTACATCACGCCACAACTGCAACTACAACTGCAGCTGCAACGACACTTGCAACTACCACTACATTGCACTACACGACACTACACTAATTACACTACACCATACTACAACTACAACTACACTACCTTACACTACACTAGACTACACTACAGTACACAACACTACAGTACACCACAATACACTACACTAATTACACCACACCACAACTACAACTACAACTGCAACTACACTACACTTATTACACATTACAACTACAACTCCACTACACCACACTAACTACAACTACAACTGCACTACACCACACTACATCCAGCAGTTGTGGGTGAGGTGACCACTGCAACCATTCCAAAAAACACAACTTCAACGATTCAACCACCTTTCGGTCCATCAGTGGATTCGCTCTGCCATCCGTGGTTCACAACAACCAACCTCTCCTATAGGTGTCCTATTCTTGAAACTTCCGCCGCCGCCTTGTGCGGTACTACTGGTAAGTTATAAATGTGTCTGAAAATGGGGACATCCATAAAATAGTGCTTTTGTTGGGGAACATGACAATGATAATTATGCACGTAACTGTTGGAGTCTAGGCTTACCCTATTTTCAGTCCAACCCATACAGTTGAATTTTTACTCCAAGAAAGCACACCAAGGTTTTTCTGGTGATTTCGAAAGAACTGAAGTTTCCAGCCTGCTTCTGCTGCAACTGCAAGGCGCCCAAGTGCAGAAAAAACAAATAGACCTGACCTCGTCCGGTCCATTGTCAACCGGTTCCACACAAAAGCGTCATGGGTCTGGCTCAATGATTTGCCGAGAGTGGATTTTGTCAGTTCTCAATAGATCCCTGGTGATTGAGCCATTCATCCCACGAAATGTGGAAAACTCATCACTGGGGATCATCATCTCATTTCTATGGTTGAAAATATCACACAAACTGAATCCACCAACCAGATTAAGGTGAATATATATATATACACATATATACACACACACATATATATATATATAAAGATGCCTCAGGTATTTTTGTTCCACTCCGCAGCAATTTAGTCAACGGAAAATTAAATAGAGGGACCTACCACAAAAAAACATCATTCATCACTCTTCGCCCCAAACTGTTAGATTCTCAAAAGTCGGGCCAGACCCCAGACTAATGAGGAAATTGCTCAAGACCCGGTCCAAGGTGCCAAGCCAGACCTCAGGCCCCTGGATCACAGAGCCAAATGGAAATGATGTTGTGGTAGGTAAAATAAATGAAATAAGCTCTGAGATCTCAGTTTTCAGGAACAATCCGCCACACTTTTACTTTCATGGCTCTTCGTCCACGTTTCCTACCCTCCATCAAGGACTAGCCTCGGGAGGGATGGGATGGGACTTGAACCCAAACACTAAGGAACATAAACCACCCTTCTGCATCTTAAAACCCGGGGACGGGAATCTAAAGATGCCTCAGGTATTTTTGTTCCACCCCGCAGCAATTTAGTCAACGGAAAATTAAATAGATGGACCTACCACAAAAAAACATCATTCATCACTCTTCACCCCAAACTGTTAGATTCTCAAAAGTCGGGCCAGACCCCAGACTAATGAGGAAATTGCCCAAGACCCGGTCCAAGGTGCCAAGCCAGACCTCAGGCCCCTGGATCACAGAGCCAAATGGAAATGATGTTGTGGTAGGTAAAATAAATGAAATAAGCTCTGAGATCTCAGTTTTCAGGAACAATCCGCCACACTTTTACTTTCATGGCTCTTCGTCCACGTTTCCTACCACGGCCCCCAGTACTTCCAGTTTTTGAAACTGGAGGCTCAAGTGTTGAAAAGTTCGAATTCTGGACAGTCTGAACGAAAATATTAATGAAAGGTTTCACCTTAGGGTGATTTGGTGGCAGATTCATGCTTGTTAGCATGGCAAGTCCTTCATTGAGATAAAGGCGAGCAGTTTTCTGAGATGCCCACCTCCCCTGGATCAAAAGTCGATCTAGTGATTGGTGTTTACTAAACCAATAGGTGGCGCCGCCCCTCCTGAGAGAGTACGGTCGAAACTGAAACTGGGATAATCCTAGTGCCTCCAGACATTCATTAAACAGTTTGCGCCACTGAGCCGAAGTCTTAGAGAAGGAACTTGAGGGATCACTAACATGTTTCCATCTCTTCACCAGCATAACGGCCGGCTCGTAACCCAAAATGACACTTTCCGCCGCTCCACGGCGTTTGCCCCCCTTTGTCAAGCCCAGACTGATAACGACCTGCTTGTCTTGTGGCCCACACAGGAGGTGACTGGATCTCAGGTTAAGAATTTCGCCAGTACGGAGCATGGAGTAAAAGCCAACAACCAGGGAAACCCCGAACGAGTTCCAGCCCTTCAGGAAGGCCCACCCCGCCATGGCTTTTACCACGTGTTCAGGGATCGGTGGGGCTCTGGCTGGGATCTCGTTGATAGCCCATGTCTTCATCAGTCTCCATGCGCCAGGGAGGTTATGCCGTAAATCAGGTTGCAAGTCCTGCAGCCCCGCAATAGTATCACAGGCTTGACCGCGACCAGCCCCTGTTGACCAGAGGTATTCGATATAGTCTGCTAGGATGTCGTCAAGGTGTCTCTTTTGTCGAGGTAGCACCAGTCCAGCTTTGTCCAAATAGGTGAAAAAGGCTTGGGTAGCAAGGGTATACCGTCTACGGGTTGCAGGTTGCACAGTAAGTTCCTTTAAGCTTCCTAGACGACGGCGTTGAGCCGCCCGGTCTTGGGGCTGACCAGCCTCAAGCACGCGTTTTCGAGGCATTCCTAAACTTGGTCTTTACCCGCTGTGCCCAACGCGAAGGGGCATCAGCCGGGTTATCATCCGTGTGGACATATGCCCACACCACCTGGACATTGCCAGCCAAGACCAAGGCATTGACTCTGGCCATCGTCCGACGAAGCTTTCTGGAACTACTGCGGCCACGTGACAGCGTGTGCAGACACACCAGGCTGTCAGTCAAATGGACCATTCTGCAACCTATTTGCCTTTGCTTACCCACTCTCCATTTCAGTGCCGTAAGCACCGCACGGAGCTCGAGGCTGTTGATGTGCTCCTTAGCATGAACCCACTTCCATCCGGTGATGACGCGCCACCGCCAAAGGCGTGACGGAACACTTGCTCGGAGACGGTGGAATTTCACCATCTGAGATGTGGGGGTAGAGAGGAGGATATCTTCACCTTTGATCGACACGAGGTTCCCCAGCTTGAACGCCAGCTGGTAAGGATCCATGTCACTGCGGCTTCTTGAGGGATTCAAAGGGAGACGGCAAAGACGCCCCTGCACAAATTGATGTTCTCCGGACCGGCAAGCGTCAAGCACCTGCTGTGGACTCATGGCATGGATCCAACCCAGCCACGCAAACAGCTGACTCAACAAAGTGGCGACCACTGGCACGGACCAACTGTTACCCAACAAAGTGAGCCGGGTATCGTTGTACTCGGTCTTCCGCCGCTCAGACTTTGGCAGACAGGACGCAGCGTAGTGAAGGGGAAAACCAGGCATCAATTCCCTTTCAGAGACGTCAGGGACCCGATAGACCCCGGCTCCGTTGCACAGGGAGTTTCCATCTTTGTACTGGTATGGCGGAAACCGAAAAGAGTCCATGTGCCATCTTTCCAGCTCTGACAAGCTGCAGTGCTGGACACCTGCGGGCTTCCTTCCCGCTCTTGGGCGCGGGTGACTAGTAGTGAAAGTAGGGAAAGGACGTGACACATCCACCTTATTCCAACCAGACCGAATAACTTCCGTCAGGTGCTGCTGGCCCACCAGAGTTACCTGCGTCACTGGGCCGCTGTCATCCACTGCCACCTCGTCTGAAGCCGAAAGCTCCCAACTCAGCCAATACAGCCTTGGGCGATGACACCAGGTGAACGACCCCGCATCGCAAAAGATCGGCTCTCCTCCATAGCCAGCGCTCATGATGTTGCGGTCGATCTCGTCCATCGAACCTACGGACTCCATCAGTACATGCACTGGACACCACTTGAAAGCCTGCTTGACCAAGTCACGGACCCGGGGGACCTCACTGAACAAACAAGACCTTTCATCCCGTAGAGCCCCCTTTCGGTCAGGGTTCAACCCCAAGACCCCCTGGCACGGAGGTCCGGCTCCAATCAGGACCATTGAACACTGTGAGTACTGGCACGCCCACCGGTTGACCATCTCAAAGTTGATCTCCTGTACCGAGTCCACGACTTGAACTCCAGGATAATGAGCCTCGACAACTCTCTGTGCTGACTTGTTGCATTCCACGGACACATGCCCTAGTACCTTAACACTGATGACCTCCAAGGCCACCCTGAGGGCCCCGATGCCGTCAAAGAGTCCGATCGAAAAGACCGTCAGGTCATCACAAGGTTCAGGGATCTCTCCCCGCAAGCTTCCACCGGCCACCATGGTTCCCATTGCGGTGAGTGCTGTAGTTGCGCAGACTCCGCCACCTTGAGATGAGGCGTCACTGCAAGTGACCATCGGGTGCATATCCAGACGAAAATCAAGCCGCGCAAGTGGGAGCATGCCCAGGAAGCGCAAAACCTCCAACCGACATTCGGGTGGCGTGTCCAAATACCGGCGCTTCAGCCTGTCATAGGCCAAGATATGTTGCCACACTTGATTGAGGCAACCCAAAAGTGGCCTTCGGAACATACTGAAGTACACCAGTCCACCGCAAACTATCTGCCACTGTTTCTGCGTAGCTTGTGTCTGCTGGCAGAGAGTGACTGCCAATCCAAAATACTTAGCCAGCTTGGATTCTCTAGGGTACGCAACCCCGAGTTCACCGTCCACCGTTGCACCTTGGAGTTCGCAGACTGCAGATCGCTGAACCGACTTCTTGAGGTTTCTAGGGACACCCCATCTTTCATACTCCTGCCTCAACGACAGGATGCTTGCTGCACAGGTACCCTCGAGATCATTGGCGGCATACCTCTGGACCTTCTCCAACAGATCGTAATTGTCGAGATAGACCCTCCAGTTAGGGTTATGCAGGGAAAAACCCCGATCACGGCGCAGCTCTGCCTCAGGGACATTGACCCCGTCACCCGCTGAGGACCTCGGCGAGGAACTCCACTTGACCAGGTTTCTATGAACGTGCTGTGCCAGGCTGACACTGTTCAAGAATCCCATGGGCAATACCCGGCTGGCCAAGTACACCCTGCGGCCCTTCAAATGAGGAGGCAACGCTGATAGAGGGACTAACTTGTTGAAAGCGAGAAACTTGATCCAGCATCGAGGAACGCTCATTGTGTAGAAAAAACATTTGACGTCCTCACTACTGATAAGCAGCTTCTCATCCGGCTGCAGAAAGAAGGGATTCATGGTACTCCAGGCCGGAAGGGAGTCCACGTCCCCCGCAAGGGGCTTGCACAGGTGGTTCAAAGGGATGAGATTCATGATCAAACGATAGATCTCAACTCCGCTAGCAGTAGACTCATCCTTTGATACCCCAAAGAGCCCGTTTAACAAGGGACCGGAAGCAGTATGAAACACCTCTTCCTCCATGATAAACTCGCATACCCGGCTTTCCACAAGACCTTTACATACCTCAGGCCAGTCAATGTCCTTCACCATCACTTTCGGGGCGGCAGAAATCACCCACTCTGACTTAGGCCTAAGATAGTGGTCAAAGTTTAGGACATAGTCCCTGCACCCCAACTCACAGACTGCCTCCAATGGGACATTACCCACGTCATTGGGCAAAGCAGGGGCCACATTATGCCATGAAAACGTCTTTGCCACTCTAACTTCATCACCTTTATAGTCAATAGATCGCACAGCAAACAAGTCATGCCAGCTCATCTCTGGGATCACCGCATTCACGTTTGAAAACCTGTGCACCTCTTTGACAAGTCCCGACAGGCAGGCTCTTTGCCCTTCGTTCACATCTTCTTCACAATAAAGACCATCACCCCAAAAAGAATTGAGACACAAAACGACACACAATAGCCATGATAGCTCCATCTCATTCAACGACGGGTCAAAATCAAGCAAAAAACTCCTAGAGGTAGGCAAGGGGAAAATAAACGCCTTATCCCGCTTACCCGTGTCCTGGCTGCAGAGTGGTAAGACCTCTAAGAGCTTAAACAAAAGCAGGGGTCCACACGACTCCAGCCTCAGACCCTCCCAGTCCGACTGTCCCATGCATTTTTTCACCCCACGGCTGCCGACATCCGAACTATCTCCGGCCACGGCTGAACCTTGGTCAGAGCTCATTGGCTCTGAGGTTCTTTCAAAAGGCGGGGCGGCCACATGCACTGATTGCGCCAGAGCGTTATACTCATTCTCATAGGCCACATCGCTCTGGCTGGAGGGCTGCTGCTTTACCAGCGCCTGGGAAGCCAATGCCGTCCTTCCCTCATATGGAACATCCTCAGTTCGAGTGCCCTCCAAACTGGCCTTTTCAGGGCTCTCAACCCCCGAAGGCTCTTCGGCCTCAGGGCTCTTATTCCCCGATCTCACATCTTCTGTCATCCCTTCCTCAGCTAGCTTGCCTTCGCTCCTCCTCCTTCGTCTTTTTTCTTCCAATCTCCTTTCTGGCCTTGCGCTTTCCCTCCTTTCCTTGCGTCGCTTCCCTTCCTGAAATCCTCCTTCCCTGACTGCTTTCCTTTGCCGCTTCCCTTCGGGCCGTTCGAGGGTCGCCCCTCCGGGAGCGATGCCATCCATCGCGTCTTCGATTCTTCGAAGGCTATCTTCTGCGCCTCTTTCATTTCGGGGACTCCCGTCAACGTGGCCTGCTCGGCCGGGAGTAGCTCCAGCTTTTGGCTCACCGTCCAGTGGGTGCCGTTTAGGGTTGATTCGGCACTCTTTATCCTCTGGAAAACGAGGTCCAGGGCCTGAGTGACCCTTCCCTTCACCAGGAAATCTGCGGTGGCACACAGGCTCAGGAGCTCTCGGGCGACCCCTCCGGAGCACTTCTTCTGGAGGACCTGGCGGTAGTATTGTACCGCAACGGGCCTGGTCGAGGAGGTGTGGTCTTCCTCTCCCAGACCCTGCATCAAGTTCGATCGCATCTGCGACAGGGCCTGGAAAGACAGGACCCCTGGATAGGAGTCTGCTATGCCCCGAACCCGTGCAGCCTGCTGGAAAACTGTGTCGCCTTCGTCCTCCAGCAGGGCCATCCTGGAGCTCTCGCTCGAAGACCCCGAGCCTGAACTGCTCCTCTTCCCTTTCTTTCTGACGTATTTCTTGGCCAGCTTGATGACCTTGTTTCGGACCTTCTCTGACGGGTCCATTCCCATGCCTCCAAAGAGGCTCCTGACGGGCTTCTGAGCAGCCAGTCGAGCCCGACTGCCATCCAGGGCTACCTCCCCCGAAGTCGATGCCTGACTGCTTGAACCTCTCTTCTTTGTCCTGCTCTTCTCCTTTTCCTTTTTTGTCTTCTTCTCTTTGGCTTTCTCTTTCTTTTTCTTTTTCACTTTTACTGCCTCTGCCTCTCCTGGTTCCTTCCTCAAGGGAGTTTCCCCGTCTCTGGCTAGGTGACCGCGAAGCCTGGCCAGCTCGTCCTCGCCTTCGGGTGGGGCAACTTTGAGAAGGTTGTCTACCCATGGCTCTTCCTGACCGGGGCCTTTTCGTTTGCGGATGCGAGCTCCGTGGACGAGGTCCTCCGCCGCTTCTTCGTGGTTGCAGTCGCTCGGGCATAGGATCACCCGAAGCTCGAGATGCGGGGTCCCGGACTGCAACTTCAGAATGGCCTCGTCGGTCGTGCCTGTGGGGCGAAGACACAAGCACACCTGCGCTCCGCTCAGGCCCGCTCCGAGGACCTCTCCAGACACTTTGCAGGCCTTGTGGAAGTACTGTGCCTCCTCCACGACCAGGTGCTGTGCTTTCAAGGCCCAGTCGACTGTCAACTCTGCTCCTCTCAGAGTGTGTCCAGCCTCCCAAGATGCTAGGTGATCTCCTCTGCCTTCTCCTCGGGTATCGGCCCCTGCTGGGCGTCGAAGGGCTGCAACTCCCCGACCCGGGCCCCTGGCTCCTCCTTTTGCTTGTGCTTTGGCCTTCATCCTTGCCATGACAGGGGGTGCGCCCCTTGCCTTGGCTTTGGCCTTTGGCGGCATTTCTACTTGTGACGGCGCCGCTTCTGATTCTGCCAATACTGTCTGCCTCTCTCAACGTGGGCGTACCCCTTCCACCTAGGGGGCTTCCTCTGCTCAGGGCTGTGTTCCCCGTAATCTCTCCCTCTCTGATCGGAGTTCTGTCTCTCTTCTGTCGCTCCTCCTCGACTGGGTGGCGAACCGGCTGGCTCTGGCGGACGACGGTGTCCTGCAGGGATGGGCGGTCCACTGAGGTGCCTGCCTGCTGAACCTCTAATGGGGAGGTGCTCCAAGCCAAATCGCTCTGGATGTCTTCGGACTTCCTTGTCCTTATCTTCTTGTTCCTCTCTTCTATCCTCTCTTCTCCTTGAGCTTTCTCGTCGCAAAGGTTCGTCGTCCCTGTCTTTTCGATGTCCAATCCTGCTACTAGTTGACTCCAGGGCTGTCCCCCGATCCGTCCTCTTCCTTTCCCCGCTCTCAGGGCTTCTCTTTCCTTTTGATTTGCTTCGGCTCCTCTCTTTTTCAATCCTAGCCTTCTTACTTGACCTTCTCTTTTCTTTCTTTGCGGCCTTGGCCTTCTTGGCCTCCTTGGATTTGTCCTTCTTGCTAGCTTCCTCCTTTTTCTCTTTCTTCTCTGGCTCTTCTACCTTATTGGGTTCTTCCACCACGGGTGACCTACCGATCTCCTCTGCCGGAGCAGCAACTGCGCCAGGGCCACCAGCCCCGAACGGTCCTCCCCCACCTACTTCGACCAGGTCACTAAGTGCACCAGCGCAATTCCTTAGCGCCCCCAGCACAGCGCTCTCCTGGTAGACAGAGAGCTTGCCTCCTTGGAGTAGATGGCCAAGTCTGAAGTAGGTCTTGCAGCTCGGGCAGGTCGGAACACCCGAAAAAAGGTGGCAATGAGGACAATCGCCCATTCACTTGAACCCAAACACTAAGGAACATAAACCACCCTTCTGCATCTTAAAACCCGGGGACGGGAATCTATATATATATGTATGTATCTTTCTCTCCCTGTTTTTTCTATCACCATTTCGAATGCCAGAATTGGGGGCCATCCCGCCTCGGTTGAAAGGAACTTTGCCCTTCGAGAACGCGGCCACATCCACCGGAGCCTGGCATTTTGACACAAAAAAAACGACCCTGGAACCATCGTTGAAAGTGTCACCCCCCATAGGTCATTTTTTTGTAAAAAAAATCGGGTAAAATCAACCACCTGAAAGTTAGAGTCACAAAAAGGTACCTTAAAATTGAAGGTAAAATCAGGCAACTGGTTAGTGGTATACCTACCCCTCTGAAAAATATCAAAGTCAGTTGGGATGATTATTCCCAATATATGGGAAAAATGTTCCAAACCACCAGGTAAATTAGTAAAATCCTATTAACATACATAATCCAACATAGGGTTTTTTAGTACTTTTCATTTTTGTGCGGACTACTGAAACATACAGTAACATACAGTAACTATATGATTCTTGGGGTATCCAGTTGACCAAATTTGAGACTTCTCTTGTCGAAATTCGAGTGGGTGAATTTGGCATGAAATTCACCTGGTTGGAAACAAACCACTCGTTGGATGGGAACTTGTGATCTCGAGATGTCCATTCCACGAAGAACTTCTGGCAATCTTCGAAAAATGTCCTTCTTCAATTTAAATTCATAGGTGATTTGTCCATGCCAAGTGCGAGCTTCCCAGCCAGCTGATTCATTGAATCCTTGGTTCGTTGATTCATTGAATCATTGAATCATTGGTTCACTGATTCACTGATTCATCGGCTCACTAACTCACACATTCATTGGTTCACTGGATCACTGATTCAGTGACTCATTGGTTTACTGATTCGTTGGTTCATTGATTCATTGATTCACTCATGAACTGATTCACAGAATCATAGGTTCCTTGATTCGTTCAATCACTGACTCACTGAATCATCGAACCACTGATGCATTCATTCATTGATTCATTGGTTCACCGGCTCACTAGTTCACTGATTCATTGATTCACTGCTTCACTGATTCACCGGCTCACTAATTCATTCACTGATTTATTGGCTCATTGATGCATCAGTTCATTGATTCACTGAATAATCGATTCAATGCATTCATTCATTCATTCATTCTTTCTTTCATTCATTCTTTCTTTCTTTCTTTCTTTCATTCATTCTTTTTCGTTTCATTTCATTTCACTTCACTTCATTTCATTTCATTTCATCCATCCATTTTTTCATTCATTCATTCATTCATTCGTTCATTCATTCATTCATTCATTCGTTCGTTTCATTTCATTTCACTTCATTTCATTTCACTTCATTTCATTTCATTTCATTTCATTTCATTCATTCATTCATTAATTTCATTCATTCATTCATTCATTCATTTCATGTCATTTCATTCATCCATCCATCCATCCATCCATTCATTCATTCATTCATTCATTCATTCGTTCATCCGTTCATTGCTTCATTGACTCATGGACTCACTAATTCATTCATTCATTGATTCATTGGTTGTGAATTGTTTATTTCATGTCATTTCATTAGCATCTTTTTTCTCAGTCGTTGATGCACCTCACAACTTCGACATTTCATTGCTTCTGCATCTCAAAAACTTTCCTATAGGCCATTGACCATTGATTCCTTATAGCTATTTACTTCTAATTTTTCGAAACTTCCGCCCCGGCACAGGCCGGGCACTACCTGGTAGACGAAAGGTTCCCACTGCCATGTTTGATTACCCGAGGGTAACTTACTCCAGAAGAACTAATTGGATACCAATGCCAATCCGAATCCCACAACAATACTTGGATACCCTGCAAACCCAAAAAGCTCGCCTGGGTATGAACTAGAACAACATCCATAGTGAGATCTTTAAAATCCATTCCAATACCAAACCAAGGGTTGCCCAGATTTATGATCGTATCATCAACAAGCTTGGGGAAGGGCTCAAAAAACATGGGTGCTGAGACACCAAAAACCTCATTGGAACAGGGTCAAAACTTTCCGGACCCTGCAGACCACACATTTTGGTCATTTTCAGTAGGGTTCTGAGTCTTTCTTCAACCCACTTGACCTCATAAAGGAGTCCATCCTCTCCAAAGGTTGCATGCCCTCGAAGAAAATTCACGTCCCACGATGGAATAGCAACCCCACGGCATGTTAGGCAGGTGATGTCATGACTCATCCCCATTGGGAGCATCAAAGGATTTGGCCATGGTCACAGGGATAATTGGTTGACTACATAGGAGCATAACTTAATGGTGTTAAACTCCAACAATGACCCAGAACTTCAGAACCAAGAGTACACTGTTGTAACATGTTGTAACATGTTGTAACATGTTGTAACATGTTGTAACATGTTGTAACGTGCTTTCATTAACCGGCAAGTCAACAAGTGAATCCGTAGAAGCAAGCGAGTTGTGCAGTTGTAGGTGTGGCTGATCTTAGAAACTCTGCAGGAAACAAAAATCACCAATGTTCACTGACCTTCACTAAGCTTGACGCAGTAGATAGGACAAAGCCAAATATTCACTGGGAATTCCAGGATCCTAAATTGGAGGTACGTTAGTACCATATAAGGCCATATTTTGTGGGGATATTCCCTTATATAGGCAGGTACCTCCAATTTAGGTTCCTGAAATGGCCATTGAAATATCATCTGATCCTATATTTTCCCATAGGGTAACTGTTCATGTCATAGTCCATCCCCCAAACAATGAACACGGCAGATACCCTGGCGTCTTACTTGATATGCATACCCAAAAACTATCAAAACATTGAAACATACTTAAAACATTAAGCTATTTTTTGAAAATTGAATTAATACTACAGTTACTACAGATACCAAGGGAACTCATTACCTTCATACTCACTCAAAGCTAGTGGAAGATAGTGGAAGTATGAAACTAGTGATAAGCTGATTCCCCATCAATCTATATGAGCTAAAAACTAATCTTGAAACAAAATGACTGATTTTACGCCCCATAGTGGTGACAAACAATCCACAATTGACAGTGGGCGTAAAATGTGTAGAATCTTGAACTTCTGGGATCTATATATGGTATCTCAGTCTAAGGCCTTATTAAGCGCTTCTGAACCACCACCAACAACAACTGAAACCAGCAAAAAAGGGGCTTATCAATCTATCAACAGTCTATTGTTGGGGAGGTCAAGCTGTAACTACAATGTGGGGCGCCTCACTTATAAGTCGGTTTATAAAAACCCATGAATACCATATCATAGTTATAAGTACCTATAAATCCGATAAACTGATAAACCATAGTTATTGGAGTTCTGCTCACCAACTTAGCGATTTCAAAAAGAAACGGGGCCCCACTGTGTAACCATTATTAACTTATGATTATTGATGATCCTATAATATAGCTAACAATTAAACTACAAAAGTGGGGCCTTTGTTTACGATAGCTAAGTTAGTGTAAATAACTCCAATGTCGGTTTATGATACAAAAATAACTTAAAAAAATAAGTCACTTTGGTTATTTAATGTTATTTATGATACCAAAATAACATCAAATAACCTGCTGGGCCCATGGGCTTTATAAACCAACGTTCACATTCCTGGGGCCCCACATTGTCGCCTTCTGCAGCATCATCTGCGCCAGATCTAAGGCCTTCGGCGACGCACCCGCCTGGCGTGGCGACGTGGCCGGAGAGCAATGGAGAAAAACCCAAAAAAATGGAAGTTTTCATCGTGTTAAAGGATGTGAAAGGAACATCCATCTATAAATGGTGAATTTTCCAATGCGAAAAAATAGCTTTCTTGGGTGGACACAAACAGAAGCCCGGAAGAATTTAGATATTCTTCAGCCCCAAACCAAGGAGAAACGTTGTTTCTTCGGCCGCAAAACCCCCAAACTCCGGGAGAAGTGCGGCATCAACACATGAGATTTGGCGATTTTGTTTGCCACAGAACTAGAAATTATACCTATGTCTAAAACACCGGTGATTTTGCGGAAAAACTTATGTTTTTAGCCAAGAAAAGTCTGGATTCAATCAAGAAAAATAGGAAGAATTACACAACACAAACAACAAAAACAAGAAAAACAAAAACAACAACAACGACGACGACGACGACAACAACAACAACAACCACCACAACCACAACCACAACAACAACAACAACAACAACCACAACCACAACAACGACAACAACAACCACAACCACAACCACAACAACAACAACACGATTAAAGACAACCACTGAACAAATTAAAATGGCAATTTTGACCAATGAACATACAGTAGAAATATGACAAAATAAACGTAAGAATATATGTCACTTCACCACTGAACATGGGATGTTAGCCAAGAACGTTAGCATGTCACAAGCAAAATGCGGGTTTCAGCAAGAATCATGGGGATTTCAACACGCATTTTGAACGATTTCAAGTTGGAACAACTTGGGTACAACTGATGGAATTTGGTATTTCAAAGCAAAACGCTGATAAGAAAGAATGACCTTGGTTTCAAGTGTGTATATATATATAATGCATATTTGTATATGCCAAAAAACGCATTTCATTATTGCTGTGTTGGTACTAACCCTCAGGTACCCCGTAAAATCGGAATTTGAGGATGCTATCGGATTCTGATTCTCTGCAAGAAGTCATTCTAAGTATCAATGAACTCCATCTCTGTCAAGGCTTCAGCAGTCTGCAACCTATCACCTCAACAAATAATGAAATAGCCCTGTGATGAATGGATAGGGCCCCATTTCCGACATTTTACGACCCACACGTTTGCCCAATCTTGTTGTTTGTACCACCATGATCCACCATGTTCATTCTGTTCTACAGGAAGAACCCCCCCAGTTATCACTTGATTTATAATCTGTTATAACCCCATCTAACTAGTTCGACATAACCACACATAAACCACATATAACCACATATAACCACATATAACCACATATAACCACAATATAACCACAATATAACCACATATAACCACATATAACCATATATATATATAACCACATATAACCATATAAATATATATAACCACCACAATTAAATGCAATCATTCGCCTCGTCATGTTCCCCAACCTATCCTTCCCAAGCCCCCTTAGCCATCAATACCTCTGTCCATTCGATCAAACAGGCAGGAAGTACACGGACCTGCAAGAGAATGGAGGCAATGACCTTACGTTGCCGCGGCCGTGGGATGTGGGGGTCTAGGGCAGTGCGCCGTGCGCATTCCAGGGGAGACCGGGAAACATGGTTTTCAACAGCATGTAGGCAGAGTCAGCAGCCTAATCTATCAATAACTAAATATTGTACAGTACACAACTAATTATAAATGTGATTGTATAATGAGATACAGAGAAAAAACAAAACCACAACATAGATATCCTATGATTTCCTGTATAATTGTTCCCTTTCTGTTTCCCCATTGGATTTTTCCTCCGAGTTTGGGAGTTCTTTGGTGGCCCAGCAAGTCCACCGGAGGATCAATCTGGTCATAGGAGAACCCCCACGGGTTTTCCCAACCATGGTTCTACCCCAAAATGGATGGATACCACCCACATGACTTGGTATTCGACCTATTCATGACTTGGGGGTCTCATACGGGGGGTATTTAGTATATACAAGGGGGATGGCATTGACCAATCCCAAGCGGGATGCAAATCCAAAGTACTAACATGAACCCTAGGCCCTAAGGCTTGTCAGTACCCAGATACTGGATATGTGACCTGCAAAATATAGACGACTATACACAAGCAAAGAATGCGCAAAATCAGCATCCGGTGCTACACCAAAATATAATTCAAAAGGGCAAACCCAAGATCGCCAACAAGTTCATGTTCAAGTTACCCTCCTGTCAACCAACAGTTCGATGTGGAAAACCCATGAAAACCCATCATTTCCCGAAACGGTTTCCCCATGGGTTTTCCACACCGGCCACACGGTCGGTCCAAGGCATCGCAAAAGGTCCCCTAATAGATTTGCTTTGTGCTTTCCAGAAAGTTTATATCATCATTAAAAAAAAAAATATTAAAGAACAACACTTCTGGAATTCGATGAAAAAGCATGCCCGTCCGGGATGGATTTTGTGGTTTGGTGGCTTCAGCCCTTGGGGATCCAATGAGGGGGCGCCTTAACTAGGACTCCGTCTCAGGCGTGCTTGTTAACCACGTCTGCTTAAGGGTCTTAACTCTGGCCCGCTTAGGGTCTTAACCCTGACCCTTTTGAACCAGGCCGTCTAGAGCTCCAAGCTCCGACAAGAGCCGGGTTCCATTTCCAAATGGAGCCGGGCCGCATTTTCCAAATAGAGCCGGGCTCCATTTCCAAGCAAAATTCCAAATAGAGCCGTGCTCCGTTTCTGGGTGGGGCCGGGCTCCATTTCCCCCGGCTCCATTTCCAAACAGCCGGGCTCCATTTCCAAATAAAGAGCCGGGCTCCATTTCCAAGCAAAGTTCCAAATAGAGCCGTGCTCCGTTTCTGGGTGGGGCCGGGCTCTATTTCCAAATAGAGCCGTGGGCTCCATTTCCAAACAGGCGGGCTCCATTTCCAAATGGGGCTCCTTTTCCAAATAGAGCCGGGCTCCATTTCCGAATGGAGGCGGGCTCCATGTCCAAATAAATTCATTCGATTGCAAGTGCCGCAACCTGACACGGGTTGAGCGGCAGCATCCCAGGAGGTACTGGTCTTGAAGAAGTAGAGCCACAAACCTAAGAGCATGACTCAGACTGTTGAAGAAAATTCACCAAAAATGGTGACATTAGATGTCGGACATTTGCTTTGTAATTAATGGCAACGCCTAGTTTGTTGGCTGCCAGGGCCAACTGCACTCGCACGTTAAAAGCGGATGCGGCTTGAAAAGTGATCCATCCCATATTTGGTGGTGCACCGCGGCTGCTGTCGCCACCAATTAGGAGAAATGCTATACTCAAGTTCCAGAGCAAGGCAAGGCGGTCTTGCGAGAATCTAGAGCATTCTGTGAAAAAATGTCTGGCGCTTGCTTGCGCATGCTTGCACCAAGGGCACATTTTCTTTTGTGGTGGTTCATCCGGACGGAAATACCTACGTGTTGGAGTCTTAATGGCGCCACAACGCCAAATCATTAGTATAGTGAAGTCAGCAGGGTTCAGCGAGTTGACCCACTTACTCCACTCTGATGCACTTGATATTTCAAGGTCAATTGCTGAGGTACCCTCCGCATCTAATCTGGAGCTTTGGATGCTGGAAAGCAGGATGCGCCGAGCGCGCATTCTGAAATTGTGCGCCCAGGCTGGGTCAGGACTCCGACCTGTGCGCAACGCAATGGGTTGCATGAAATCGGCAGCATGGTCACCAGATTACGCCCACAATGAACCGCATTGGAAGAAGTTCTAATGACCAAGTGATCATGATTAAACTCAACGATTTGAAGTTTCAAGGCTTGGGCATGCAAGAGCAGGACACTCCTGATTTTAGAACAAGCAGTAGGTAAAATTTTAAAGGCGTTTAGCAAACCACGGATGGCCACACCGAAAAGAGGATGGTTATCGACCTGCTGGGCCCAAAAACGAGCCTCACACTACCAACTAACGGTAGGTTTGCAAATGGCATTGAACAGTAACGAAGCATCTTGGAAAGTGCCTGGCGCCATGAGAGGACTGGCCCAGTCCAGGAGCGGACGCACAAAGGCCGTAGTTAAACGTGAACGGATTTGCGTGGTGCCAGGACAACCGTGAAGTCGCTGGACAACGTTCCGAACTTTGTCAGGATCCCTTGGCTGGATCGGCTTTGTTGGAGAATCAGGCTCATGGACTAAACCGAGATGCTCCATGGTACCATTAGATTCACCGGAAAACCAAATTTACGTTTTATCATTATTGATGGTGAAACCGATCTGAGCATCAAAGTGATTTGTTATTTGAAGCGCTTTTTGGAGCAAGGCTTTGTTACCCCTACTTACAACAGCAATGGTGCGATCATCCATGTAACACCAAGTACGAAGCGTATTGCTGAGGCCTTCAATGAGTTGGTTCCAAGGACACAAAGCAACACCTACACCTAATGCCAGTGGCGAGCAGGGATCACCTTGCGGCACTCCCCTGGAAGGGTGAAGCGGAGCAGCAACAATTCCGTGAACTGTGCAAACCCTGCATGCCGACCAAGCCTGGGCAAGTGTTGCAGTGATGGCATTATGAGCTCCAAAGTGGTGCAAGGCATGTTGCGCCAACACTGGCGACAAATGATCGAAAGCTTTTGTGAGGTCCGTTTCAGCAAAATCAATTGGAGGCGGGTTTCATGTCCAAATAAAGCCAGGCTTCATTTCCAAATGGAGGCGGGTTCCATGTCCAAATAAAGCCGTTGGCACCATTTCCAAATAGAGCCGGGTTTCATTTCCAAATAGAGCCGGGTTTCATTTCCAAATAGAGCCGGGCTCCATTTCCAAATGGAGCCGGGCTCCATGTCCAAATGGAGGCAGGCTTGATGTCCAAATTAGAGCCGGGTATCATTTCCAAAAAAAAGAGCTAAACTCATTTCCAAATAAGGCTCCATGTCCAAATAGAGCCGGGCCCCATGTCCAAATAGAGCCGGGCTCCATGTCCAAATAGAGCCGGAGAGACGTGATCCGGAGAGAGGTCTGCAGAGTTGGTTTCGACCAGCGAAACCCGAAACCCGAAACCCGAAACCCGAAACCGACTGTTAAAGTTGGTTTCGAACTGCGAAACCCGAAACCCGAAACCCGAAACCCGAAACCGACTCTGAAGACTTAACTTCCCCAGGACCGATCGCTAACCTAATCTAATCTAATCTAATCTAATCTACCTAATCTAATCCAATTCTAATCTAATCTAATCTAATCTACCTAATCTAATCTATTTCTAATCTTATCTATCTAATCTAATCTAATTTAATCTACCTAATCTAATCTAATTCTAATCTAGTTTAACCTATCTAATCTTATCTACTCTACCTAATCGAATCTAATTTTAATCTAATCTAATCTACCTAACCTAATCTAATCTACCTAATCTAACCTAATCTATCTATCTAAGTAATCTAATTCTAATCTAATCTTATCTACCTAATCAAATCAGATTCTAATCTAACCAAAACTAATCTAATCTAATCAATCTAATCTAATCTATCTAATCTAATCTAATCTACCTATTCTATAAAAATTCTTATTCCAATCAATCTAATCTAATCTACCTAGTCTAATCTAATCTAATCTAACCTAATCTACTTCTTCTAATCTTATATTTCTAATCGAACCTAATCTAATCTAATGATATCATATCATATCATATCATATCATATCTATCCAACTAATCTAATCTAACCTAATCTAATCTATCTAGATAACCTAATCTAATTTAATCTACCTAAACTAATCTAATCTAATCAAATATAATTCTAATCTCATCTCATCTATATAGTCTAACCTAATCTAATCTACCTAACCTACTCTAATTCTAATCTAGTTTAATCTATCTAATCTAATCTAATCTACCTAATCTAATCTAATCTAATCTACCTAATCTAATCTGATCTACTCTACCTAATCTAATCTAATCTAATCCAATTCTAATCTAATCTATTCTACCTAATCTAATCTGATCTACTCTACCTAATCTAATCTGATCTACTCTACCTAATCTAATCTAATCTAATCTAATCTAATCCACTCAGTGACAGCTAGTTTCCCCCAAACCGTTGCCGTTTTTCCTCTCTGACCTTTTCAGGCGCTTGTCACTCACCGCTCTTGTTTTTGACGACTGCATGGAGAACGACACTTGGGTGATGTGAGATCGGCATCGTACTGGTGAATCTAAAGGTGGTTTCGACCTACGAAACCCGAAACCCGAAACCCGAAACGGACGGCTAAAGTTAGCTTCAATCGACGAAACCCGAAACCCGAAACCCGAATCCCGAA